ATATTAGTACATATAAACTCATATACTTAAAGTATACAAAATATACTTTAAGTTGTTCCACTTTAGCACATCAAAGTACACTAAATACACTTCAAGTTGAGCTTGTCCACAATTTAATTACAATTAAAATATATTTAGTACAAAATTAGTTGTTCCAAAATAGCATCCTTCAAGTTAACTAATCATAAACACACTTAAAGTATAGTAATGATTAGTGTGCCTTCAAGTACACAAAAGTATGCTAAATTTTAGTACACTTAGCACATTTATTTTTCAGCAGGGCAGTCCGGCAAAATATGATTAAACCATGTTTATCTGCATTTTAGTTGTTTCTCTCTTTAGATTATGCACTATATAACATAAGGTTAAAACAAAACAAAAACATAAAACTCAAAAAGACTAGATTTATGTTTAAATCCAAAGCCAAAAAAGTTAGCCACCGGAAGTAGCGTAGGATCCCATTTCTGGTGCAGATCGGGCACAGAGTGATAAAGCAAAGGATTTTAAGGCATTTTTTTTTTTTTTTAGGAAGTACATTATTAACCTTTAACACATATTCTAATACGTTTACTATTTTGGGGGAGGGAAAACGTAATTTAGGTATCTTAAACAAAATAAAATCGAGGACGACCAGTATGTATATCTGGATGCACAAATGAGCTGATAGCGCATGCGCAGAACGGATCGTGCTTCCGGAACGGATCAGGTAGTGACAGCCCGGACCAGGAGAGGTGGCCAAGATGGCTAATCGAGCAGAGGTGCTGTGAATAGCTCAGAGAAGCAAAGCCTTGCAAATCAATAGAATAAATGTATATGTCAACTAAACTCTGACTTATTGGATGTAAGACTGTAGAGATCTTATTAATATATCCCAGAAATGTGTAAGTAACTCTGAAAACCTCCCGAAAAACGTAATTGTAGAACATGGCTAACATTAGCATCAAAGCTAACGCTAAGTTGAAGGCGCACGAAACACACGACTAGTATGGTACAGAAAGGATGGAAACTAAATGTAGAGGAACCAGAAAAAAACACCTTAACATCTCCTGCCAAACCACCAGCGCCATAGAAAAAGTCCAAAGCAGACGACATAGTGGATGCTGAAGCCCGTGTTGAAGAAAACTCTATCGCTTCTATCCTGACTGCCATCGGCACGCTTCAGAACATGATGCAGGATTTCAGAGCGGAGTTGAAACAGAATACATTGACTATAACCAACATTGCCAAAGCGGTGGAGTTTAATTCTGCCGAAATCAAACAATGTAAAGAACAGTGTCGAAAACTGGGCATCGAGGTGAAACAACTCAGAGAAGAGAACGCAGAAATTGGAAGAAGAGCAGCAGAAATGGAAAAAAGAGCTTCAAAGAGGGAGTGCTATAAAAGAAAATGGAACCTGCCAGTTATTGGCTTACAGGAAGAAAAAGACGAAAACATGAGACAAGTCATCTCTGATATCATCGAAAAGATCGCGCTGCACTGGAGGAAGAAGATGGATTTCTTTCTGGACGGGGACCAAACAACACCAATCCCCCTCGTCAAGTAATCCTGCAGTTCACAGGACGCCACTTCAGGGACGAGCTCTGGAGGATCACCAAACTTCACCCTGTCTGCAAGGAGCTGAACATCAGCTTGGCAGAAGATTTAACCAAGTGAGACAGTGAGGCACAGAGGGCTGTGTGGCCCAAAGTGGAACAAGCAAGGAAAGCAGGACTAAAGACAGTGTTCCGGGCCCCCATGCCTTCATTAATGGACAAAGACTCTCCCCATAGACACAACTGTCCAGGGGGGTTGAATCCAAAAAATGAGTGAGTTTGAGTGAAAAGGTATTTTTAAGGTTTGATACTATTATATTTTCCTAAAAGGGAACCATTACTGTTCTAAGCTCAGGAATACAGTGTTGTTGATTGTTAATTTGTTTTTGCCCTATCTTCAGTTTAAAGAGCAATATTCTTTTAATATCTGTTAATGCAAGGGGTCTACACCTTGTGCACCTTGTCCACAAGGTGTAGATGTACATCTACACCTTGTGGACAAAGGACCTTCTTTTGAGGACCAGAATGTTCACATTTTGGATAAAGAAAATAGGTGGTTTGAGAGGGGCGTGAAGGAAGCCATCTATGTTAAGAGAGAAAAACCAACCTTAAACAGAGGGGGTGGACTCAGATTCCAGCTTCCAAAAACTTACAATTCAGTTATAGAATTCAAACCTCGGAAACCAAGTCCAGTGGATTGTTTTTTTTTTTTACTTTTATGGAATAACTAACAAATTCATACCAAAAAGTGGGAATTTTTAAAATATAAAATACGTCTATTTACCATTTCATTCCACAAAATTATTTAAAAAAAGATAGAGAACAACAAGAAGTAGACATCATTAATCAGTTAAATATTTACTGCAACAGGCCAAACCCAACTGAAGACGATTTTAAACCTCCAACCTAAACTAGATGAAGTTTACAACCGTAAGGCCCGAGGGGCCTTCATCAGATCCAGAGCTAAGAGGATAGAGGAGGGAGAAAAAAATTCTGTGCATTTCTGTCGTCTTGAGAAACGGAGACGGGAACGAAATAGCATCAGATCACTGATGAATGATGATAATGAAGTCTATGATGGAAAATTGATCTCTACAGAAATCTTTAAATTCTAAAGCCAGCTGTATAGCTCTAAGTTATCCCACATGGACTGTGATTTTTTTTTTGTATTCTTGAAATATGCGATAATCCAGTAACAATTAGAGAACTTAATGCAATGAGTGGTCATCTTTCTCTTAACAAAGCCCCCGGATCTGATGGTCTCACAGGAGACTTTTACAGACACTTTTGGACAGATTAAAGAGACCTGCTGCTACAAGTTTTTACTGAAATAGTTGAAACCTGTGTGCTTCCTCCAACAATGAGGCATGGAGTTATCGTCTCAATTCCAAAACCTGGGAAAGATCTTAGAATCATAGATAACAGAAGACCCATTACACAAAGAAATTCAGACCACAAACTTCTAAATTACATCTTTAAGTCTTGTCTCCAAACAGTGATTTCAGATCTAATTGCCGATACACAGTCAGGATTCCTAAAGCGGAGATCAATCCCTAATAATATTAGATTAGTGATGGACATCATTGAATATAGAAACCAAATAGAAGATGATGGTTTCCTTCTATTTTTAGACTTCTACAAAGCATTTGACTCCATGGAGCATCCGTTTATTCTTTCGTCTCTTTGGATTTGTAGTCAAGTTTAGAGAATTTATCAGTGGACTGTATCGAGATATTAGCAGTTGTGTCCTACTGCCCATTGGCACCACCCCAAGCTTCAAGGTTAATGTGGGGTTTCCTCAGGGCTGCCCCATCTCACCATACCTGTTCATCTTAGCCACAGAAATGTTAGCTATCTATATTAAGAACTGTAATGAATTAAATATATTAACCCAATCAAGCTAAATTTCATTTGCAGAACTAGACAACATTATATGGAGAAAAGCAGTATGGTTAAAGACGCAAAGGATGGAGGTCTCAAAGTTATTGATTTTGACCGTCTAAATGGGACCCTAAAAATAAATTGGTTAAAATCTTGGATCAAACACAGCAATTCCTTTTGGTTTTGTATTCCAAGGACCTTGTTCAAGATAATTGGAGGATTGGAATTTCTTCTGAGAGCGGACTTTAATGTAGGCCGATTGCCAATATCACTGTCAGAGTCTTACAAACAAATCCTTTTGTACTGGAAAATGTTATATGTGCATAACTTCTCACCCCACACAACTGTTCTCTGGAACAACAGATATATTCTGCACTGCATCAAATCTCTGTTCTTTGAAGACTTTTATGGGAGAGATACTGTATATGGTCCATAGCATATTTAATGGATAGCAACTGAGTTTTTTATAGTTATGAACAGTTTTGCATTAAACATAATTTCAAGCCTTTAAACTTTAATAAATTACATAGAGTACTAACCCAAGAATTTGTCTTTTTAACCAAAAATACTTCACAATATCATCCAATTCACCCACAATTAGCTGCTCTGTCAATTCAAGGGATTAATATTATGGATAGAAAATGCACTAACCATTTTATTAGAAACTTTTTCAATGAATACCTTTACCCTGAAAGACAAAATAAAAATAACATCCCAAATTTGATAAAAGCTCAATAACTAAACTAAGAACAATGTATCTAGCACTACCTATACCCCCAAACATGAAAGAAACACACTTCAAATTAATGAACAACATTTACCCCTCTAAAGAATTATTGAAACTTCGCTTTGGTATAGATGATAACACATGTAGGTTCTGTGAAAATTATATCGAAACTACAGACGATGTGTTCTTCTCATGTTCAGTGGTGCAAACATGTTAGTGTGATTTGCATAGATGGATTAAACAACAGCTATCTTCATCCCCAACCTTTATCTCCAGGGACAATATCACTTTTGGTCTAATATTGCAAAGTAAGGCTGATGAGCTCTGCACTCATACAATTGTACAGTATGTCTAGCTAAATTTGTCATTCATAAATGCAGAATTGCTAACTCATCTCCCAAACTTTTTTGTTTAAGCTATATTTAAAATCATTAAAGATTCTGAAAAGTCCTAAAGCACAAAAAAATTATATCCTAAAACACTTCCCAACAGAAGTAAACAGCTAAACCAAGACTGAATTCTCCCCTCATGTTATACTTTCTTATAATTTTATTTATATCATTGGATTTATTTTATAATTATTCTTATAATTTTGTATTTGTTTATTTATTTGGTTTTATGTGTTTGCATGTTTATGTTAATAACCCTCTATGTTATAGATATATTTCATATTTGTAAGAAGAGATGCTCCCCCTAGCTATATTTTCTACGTATCCAAACTTGAAGAAACAAGCTCTATGCAGCCATGTTTGTCTGTAAATTTTGATATTTCCAATAAAAATAAATAAATAGAAAAAAGCATGCGAAGAACGGATCGTGCTTCCGGAACAGATAGCCCGGAACTAATATATCGCCCCGGATAGTTTTACGTGTAACACTCGAACATCTTCCGGTGTAAACACTAACCTGCTGTTTCAAAAAGAAATCGCTGATAACTTAAAAACACGGATATCAAAATAGTGTAGAGCTTTTATTAAATCCTTTAGGAACTAGGTAAGTTTTCGTTCTACACGCTGAGTGAATGAAATAATGGAAGGGCTGCCGCAGCTACCGCCTGAACTCTGGGTTTACGTATTTAGCTACCTTAGCACAGAGGAAAAACATGCGGTTCGTTCCTGCTGTAGGCACTTGAAGAAACTTGTTGACCACCCATCCTTGTGGAAAGACTATACGGTGGTGATGTCCGAACTACGTCGCTACACCTACGGCTTCTGGCATACATTAAATTACCGCAAACTCACCCGGGTCACTGTGCGACACCTACGGCGAAAAGAATGGCGACGTCTCGTTAAGTTCCTTCCGTCGCTAACTGCAATAGTGTTTGTGGATGGAGGGCGACAGTACAAAGAGAAGTACATGGACAACCTCGCCAGATTTCCTAATCTCCGGGACCTCGGGGTGCGAAACGCGACCTGGGATGAACCACTGCTGGGTCGCTGCCTGACTGAACACCTTCAAGAACGACTTACACACCTGAGCGTGTGTAACGTGCGGCTGCCCAGCACCGTTGAATTCATAAGAACTGTGTCGCAGCTGGTCAACCTCCGGTACCTTCTTTTCCACCAGCAGAGTGAGGGTTACGGACTGGACACGGTTAGGCCTGTGCCCCGAGCCGACTTTCATTCAATGATGGTGAAACTAAAGAAGCTAAACCACCTGTCTTGGGGGATGAAGGGGGAGCCACCGGAGCCGCTCCCTGACGACTACTTAAGTCCATCAGATCCAGACTTGCCAGGTGAGTCCACTCCTCATCTGTCTTGGGGAGTTGGGGCCTGGTGGTTAGGGCGTAGAGCCTGTTATCCTGAGGTTCTGAGTTTGAGCCCCACTCCCACAGACTGCCACTCTGGGTCCCTGAGCAAAGACCCTTAACCCCACACTACTGCCCAAGGTGATGGGCTAAATGCAGAGGTACATTTCTCCAACGTGAGATCAATAAAGTTCAATTATTATTATTCCCACAACCGACAGCCTATGTTATGTGCATATGTGTTAAAAGTACACACATTTGTTACTTAGGTAGAAGTATAGATAATGCAGTTTAAAAACACTCTGTTAAAAGTTGAAGTATCAACTTGACCTCTTTACTCAAGTAAAACTGAAAAAGTATGTGCTCCAAAAACGACTTAAAGTATAAAAGTATAAAGTAACCTTAAAAAAAAAAAAAACACAGCCAGATGCCACTATAGTAATTGAAAGCTCAATTTTTCAACTATTTCGGAAAAATCATTTAGATAGGGCCAAGGATGACTGAGGTCTTGTTGGTCTCCGTCTCCCGATACGCTCTCGTCTATGTCTGACCTTTCAGACATTTAAACATGTTTTTCTGAATCCGCCATTGTAGCATGGCATAGACAATTCCCGTTTGCAGTTTGAAGAACACCTGCTTAGTTCTGATGATTTCCAATAAGTGTTTACGTTCTATGACTCATCAAATTACTCTAGTTTTTACTAGATGTGGATGGTGCCATTGATCTGCATTGGATGGAGCACATGACGTGAAATAAGTATTTATAAACATTAAACCGAAGCCAAGAGTTACGAGTAACTTTGTTTTAAAAATGTAAGGAATAGAAAGTACAGATACTTGTGTGAAAATGTAATGAGTAGAAGTCAGAAGAAGGAAGAAAAATAAGTAATAGAGTAAAGTATAGATACCTAAAAAGTGTACTTAAATACAGTAATAAAGTATTTGTACTTCGATTGATTACAATTCGTTTGATTACGATTCGTTTGATTACAATTTTACCTCACTCCAAACATGCTCCAGAAAAAAAAAATGGATAAAAACATACAGCAGTTTTTATTCTAGTGGCAAAATATCAAAGCAATATTTAGCTGTTTGATTAGTAAAAATAAAATCTCACCTTTAGGAGTACTGTATTTATATTCACAAGATAGTCTTTCAAAAGCGGTAAAAGCTTGAATTTCTACATGTTTTTTGGCATGGTTTTAATACCTTTTTCCTGTTTTTATTACTTTATTGATCAACTTTAGTGGTATTATAGACATGTTTTATAGCTTAAACGGAACATAAACAACCACTGGCATTCCTTATAATTATTGTAGTTTTGGCTTAGAAAGTCTTAACGCCGCTATTTAGGACTGTAACGTTTTCTTTTTATGCTGTAGGAGTGTCTTCCTATTGTGGGCCAACGCTGACCAGCCTGGAGCTTGTGGATTACCCAGAGACCATCCTTCCTGAAAATGCTCTGAGGAGTCTGACCTCCCTTAGGTCTCTTGCTATCCGCTATCGGTACATTAGAGAAGGTATAGAGTGTCGACTCGGGTCCTGGCTGAACCCTCTGCAACAGCTGAAATCACTCTCCATCATTGGTGGGTTCTGCAGCCCTTTTGGCTCAAAGCTTTATTTTTGCCATGTTCAATATGACTGATCTTCTGTAGTTGTATTTTTTTAGATGGTTATGTATTTATATGCTCATAGTTATTTTTCTTTTCATATGCACTCACATTAATTAAGTTATTAAGTTTTTGTGCCATGCTGTCCATATTATTATGATTTGTGTTAAGCCAGTGAGGAAAAAAGATCTTAAAGGAGAAGTCCGGTCAGCAAGGAATAATCACTGGATCATTTACTATACCTGAAACTAATATGTTTGCAGTGATTCAATGAATTTAGCGTTAATCAGTAAGAAAAATAAATAATTTTTGTTGCGATCACTTAATCTGGGACCAGCCATTTTTGCCCAATTATAGTAATACCTCACTCCTGACATCTTCCGGCAGTGACGTTATGGTGCGGTAAGCCTAGCGCCATTCTCCCCGCTTTACAAGCAAAATCAATGGAAGCTACTGGACACATCTGAAATCAACAACAATTATTTAAGATTTCCAGAGGACTTCACCATTAAAATTTGCGAGAGCTATAGTTAAACTGACAATTCCCACGTGGATGGCAGTTGGACGTTGTAATACATCGTGTAAAAGTGAAAACAACAACAAAAAAAAGGTATTTCACCTTTCTGATTCATGATCCTCCACAGACAGGTTCGTCGTTAGAGAAAAAATATGTAATACGTTTCCAAAATTTGAAAGAATAATGTTTTCAAGGTGATTTTGATAATGGCTTGTTGTGACAAGCACCAGATACAGCACTGGGACTTGATCAACATCCGATACCGCACCGTGATGTCACAAACCAGTAGGTGGCAGTAGTGTTCTTTGAGAAACATGGATGCCTCCAGTAAAGCGCATTCTAATGAAATTACTCTTAATTAAAAACACTTGTCATTAATTGAACGGTATGTAATAATATCATATTTAAAGTACTTTCAGAAGTTTGAATTCTGAATATGAGCGGACTTTTCCTTTAAACAAGTTCTTTTTATGTCTCATTCGTCTTGGAGAGCTCATCAGGGAAATAACACAATAAACTGCATTTATCATTCTGTGATCGAAACTAGGGGCTGCCAAAGAGATGAAACGCATATAATTTCCTTGCCGTCAATTAATTTTCATCATCATAACCCTGGTATGGTTTCACCCATACACGTGTGACAAAACATGAAGTGTGCGGGGTGGGCGGCTAATCTCGTTGGCAGGGGGAGCCTTCCTAGGATAATGGTAGGGTAAACACTGAAAATTTAGACACACACACCTGAACATGTTGGTAGTTATAGGTAAATTGGGCACTTTGCCAATACGCGTAGATACTATATCACAGAATACTGACACCTGCTGGACATTTAAAGACACTACAGGCAGCTTATTGGACAGACTAAACTGAATTGATTTGATGACCTAGTAAAATTATATAATTTAATTTATCGTAGATTAGATTGTATTATTTCATATCTATGTTTAAATTGTAAATATTTTTGATATTTTAAGATGTAGCCTATAAATAATATAAACACCATAATGTGAAAATTTGGGGGGAACTGAATGAGGATGTTTGTGGACTAGGATTTTAAATCATAATTTTAAAACAACAAGAGTCAATTTGAAATGAACTTTGATTCAGATAAGTTGAGTGATAACTTAGAGGATAAGTATGACACAATGAGAAAACTAATGTAAAGCAACGGCTGAGACGTTCCTATTCCTTTTAGGCTGCTCCAAAATTCTTGATAACTTTAATGATGAACCGCAAAAGATGTGAATTTTTTAGCAGATGCATCATGTTGACAGATACGTTTTTAGACAGTTTAGTGAGTCAGTCAGTTAGAAACAACTCCTGTATCGGTCGCATGTCTGTCTTGAAACGACACACACACAGTGTTTTGCTCTACTGGCTTAACGCATGCACCGACTCATCGTTGTGTTGCTGGACCCATCACTATGCTTTCAAATTAACATCCAATGTACTTTGTTTCTGAAGGTGGGAATTCCCTTTCTACATATACAACTAATATCCCAGAGAGTGTGACCAGACTGACACTGAGAGTTGCCATAACTCTGAAAGACATGGACTCCATTGCACCTAAAGTTCCTGGACTTGAGCACCTGGATATTGAGCAGAACCGCTCCAGTGGTAGCCTCTGCAGACGGATCCCGATGCTTTTTCCTCAGCTCAAAACTCTTAGGATTCGGTGAGTGTAAATGTTTTCAGAAATATTCTTATTTTACACAAATTTACACCAGGAATGTTTCCACTAATGTTTCAACCCTAATTAAAGATTAGATTCACAGCCAAACGTATGTTCATCATGTTGGTGGTGATGTCATGATATTTTGTTTTTTATTACCTAATCAAAGACAATGTTAGGAAATTATCAAATCTTTTGTTTGATGCACATATATCTACTTTTCTGTTGGACAAAAATTAAGCCATTAGAAAAATTACTGGTGTGCGTATATATATATTTATGCCCCACACTCTCTTAAAAAAAAAAAAAGAGGGTTTTAAATCCCCACAAGACTTTTCTGGATAAATGCAGATTAAGAACAAAAATAAAAACTAGACTTTAAGGAAAAAATTTGTTGATCAGTACTAGTATGTCGCCAAAAGTGGTTAATTTTCAAAAACTTTATAAAAAGAATTTGAAAAGACCTTAGTGTTTTATTATTGCAGATTGATGTAGGCCAGAATTATACAACGTTAAATTGTTTGAGCAAAACAACAGAAACAAAACTGAAAAAATATAGTTTGACTATGATTGCATTGGGGTTCTGTCCTGTGTGTTCTAAATGAGTCCCCACAGCACAGCAGAATTCGTCCTATTCACTCATCACTAGCCTATTAATCACTCAAATAAGTGAGTCAGCCTTGGCGAAAAATATAAATCATTCAGGACAGTGAGGACTATGGTTGAAGACCCCTAAATTTATTTGTTTCTTGTCTGAGAAGATGAATGTGCACTTCAGGATTTTTAAAAAGCTTTAAAAGTGGACCGAGACCCTTTTAAAGCTGCCACTGGTCTGTGATTTAAATGAATATCTCTACATAACAAAAGACCAATTTATTATCCAGCCCCACCACATGAGTCATTTACTGACTCTACCTAATTTCTGTTTTATATGTGAAGATTTGTATTGATGCTCAGCCGTAAACCAACAATAACACATTCTAAGCCTGGCTTTCAGAAGGTTTGGGTACAGAAATTTGATAACATTGATATTCTGACCTAATTAAATTGTATGTTGCAAACAATTCATGAGTAAAGCAAAACATCAGCTGATTACCAAAACAATTCAGTTATTGGGATGGAGATATGCAAATTACAAATCTTGAAGGGATTTATGGGTGTCTCTGTATTAGGATTTACATCCAAACTTGCATACAAACATGTCTGTAGTCATTCTTGCCAGAGAGAAAATGCGTAGTAGTAGAAAGAATACTTTGAACAAATTTGGACTTCCAGGAAACAGTTGATACCGTTGATTTAAGATGGATTTTGAGGGACGTGTTTTAGTGGTGCAGTGGTTCGCATGATCTGTACGGAGGCCTTAGTCCTCGAAGTGGCCGTCCCGAATTCTAATCTGACTTGTGGTCCTTTGCCACTCATCTCTCCCACTCTCTCGTAACCTCATTCCTGCCTGACTGCAAAAAATGAGCCACTAGTGCTGTAAAATCCTCAAAAATTTTTTAGATTTTTCAATAGTTTTTCATTATATTGCCAGATATTGGATATTAATGCAATGCATAAACTTCCCCTGGTTTCCTGTAGATTTTTTCGTCGTGAGCCTGAGAAGGATCTCCTAAGTCTCCACAAACTCAAACATCTGGTGCAGCTTGAGCTACTGGTTGAACGTTCATTTATCCTGCGAGATTACCTAAATGGCCACCCCTGGCCCAGCCCCTCTGTGCAGGAGCTTATCAATGAGCTTCGGGAGCTGTCCGAGAACAGGATCAACGTCATCACCACAATGCGGCCAAGAAACCTTCTACGAGAGTGTGACTGTTTGTGGGAAGGGGACTGATCATCTTTATACCAGTGCTGGGCATTGATTTTTTATTTTTTTTAAATCTAGATTAATCTCACTGTCATCTTGGAATTAATCTAGATTAAAATCGCTTATTTGAATTCTGCAAAAGGCATTCATATGTATGTGCCACCTCCAGAATGTAAAAGAAAAGGTTTACTTTTTTATGTTTGAAAAATCACATGCAATTCCATCTTCTTAAGATTTTGACAGAAATATAAAAAGTTTTGCTCATTTGTTACTCTGTTTTTGCAGCAAAAAAGTGTCCCACTTCCAATTGGAGATGTCCCACTTTAACAAGATAGTGTCTCCAAGAATCTGACACACACGTCACTTCGATCAACTTCTCATCTTTCCACGGCGTGCTGGTCATGTATTCTCCTCATGATAGTTCGACTCACAGGTAGTTTGTAAGATGGGTCACCTGTGGCCGCCTGGAGAACAAGCTCGAGGCCATTGGCCACGCTTATTCTTTTTTTTTATCGCCCAATAGGAGTTTGCCGTTAACACCAATAATGTCCCACAACTACTTTATACAAATTTTAAAAAACTGTTAACCACTTCATAGAGCTCTACAGAAAGGTCATCAAGTCAGAAATGTTTAAAGGTTCTCTTTTTGCCTGAAGTAAAACATTGATTCTATATGTAAGCATCTGTCAATAAAAAAAAAACTAATTCAAATCTTTGGCTTTGAAGATTGAAGGTGACAATTTAAGTTGTTTCAGGGTGAATCTGATTCCTCTGAATTTGCAAATTTTTAGTTGCATATTCTGTGGTTTAGAAGTCCACAATTTACTGCATGCTAATACAACAGGAGTTTAGCAATGTGAGCAGAATTGATGAATATAAAAAAATATTTCAAGGTTAGATTGTTCTATACATAATTGTTTTGAAATTTTTCCCAGATCTCAGATTTTAAAAAATAAAAAAAGTCATATACCTATTGATACTAACTGTAATATGGGGAACCCGGTTCAAAACCGTCTTACTGATTCTAGTATCTCATTCCTTGAGTTTACATTTCTCAAGAGGCTATGGTTGTCACTGATCCTTGCATAGAACTCAGAGCAACTATACTGAAAGTTCACCCGAGTAATGAGCAGTGCTTCCAAAGTGTGCAGTCCCATACGGTTTCTCTCATCAGTATTGTTCATAATTTAAAAAACACGTCCGACGGGCATTTGTGCCAGGAAGGCACATGGCAAACTGGCAGATGATAAAAATGTTTCTAAATGGAGCATGACTTTGAAATGTATGCACATTTCTGCCCAGCACTCATCTGCAGGTGTTGACATCGTGTTCCACTGTTCAGTCTTTTTTTGATGTGTAAGTATTGACCGAAGCGACTTCATCAATCAGCTCTGTTTCACTGATGCCCGTCTGTGGCAGCTTGGTGGAGACATTCCTCAGGGAGCACTCAACCTCATCCCTCTCTGGTGCATGCTCTAGCAGTGTCTGGGAGAGGCACTGCGATTCAGTGAATGGAGAGCCCCACTGCTGGAAATATGAAATGCAGCAGTCAAAGAAATTCTGCACACAGTTCTTGAACACCACTCCATCCACTTGAAAGCCAACCACAAGACCTATCACCAAAAAAAAACAAAAAAAAAAACTACTTTTTGGTATGCAATTACTGAAACAATGAACAGGTGTTACTATTAAATTGATATTTACACTACAAAGTATAAAACTGTATGAAAATTATTAATAATGGCTATCAAATGTGTACCTGTATGGATAATGTTAGTCTTATATGATGCATACAACTCACCTTTAAGCCCATGAAGGGTGCAGCCTTCATCTCCACGAGATTTCCTTAAGATCACAAGAAAGTGCTCCACATTGGATGACTTACTCCTAAGGCAATCGCACTATGAGCACAGGGCGGATTTGAGACCTCCACATGGATTCTGGTAATGTCAGTGGGGTGGTAAGTAAAACATATAACTCGCTATGCTTAGCTTGTTGTCTGCTTGGTATGATAATTTGTTTAATTAACTTTAATCGCTTTATATACCTTCAGTCTGGGTCGGACAGAAAACCTCTGATATAACCCCTAGCACAGGTTCCCCTCAGGGCTGCATCCTGAGCCCCCTGCTGTTCACCCTTATGACACACGACAGCGTCCGCATGTTCACCACCAATCGCAATGTGAAGTTTGCAGATGACACCATGGTGGTGGGCCTCATCAGAGACGGCAATGACCTGGACTACAGAGAGGAGGTGGAGCAGCTGGTGGACTGGTGCAGAGATAACAACCTGATCCTGAATGGGGAGAAAACAAAGGACATCATCATTGACTTAAGGAAGAACCAGCCTAACCACGCTCCACTGCTCATCAACAGCTCAGCTGGAGAGGTGGTCAGCAGCACCACATTACTTGGGGTGCACATCACAGACACCCTGACCTGGAATGCAAACACCACCTCACTGGCCAAAAGGGCACAGAAGTGCATGTACTTCTTGCAGAGGATGAGTAGAGCCCACCTGCCACCACCCATCCTCACCACCTTCTACAGAAGCACCATAGAGAGCCCTAACCCACTGTGTGGTGTGGAGGCTGCAGCGCCTCAGACTGGAAGAAGGTGAGGACTGCAGAGAAGATCCTGGGGCTCCTCTTCCCTCCATAAAAGACATTTCATCCCAGCGCTGCATGTCCCAAGCCCGTAACATCATCAATGACCCGTCACACCCCCAACATTGACCATACTCCCTGCTCTCTGGGAAGAGGGTTTCGAAGCATCCGATGATTCTGCAGATTCTGCAACAGCTTCTTCCCCACTGCCATTAGACTGCTGAATGTTGAATGAACCGACAAGGAAAAAAATTTTGGTGTCTATGTCAAGTTGTTCCTTTTCTTTAACAGCTATTCCTACTCTTCCAGAGCATGCTTCTCCTTCAAAGCAGCTGCACGTACCAGGAGTGCAGCCCTTTCTGCCTCTGCTTTTATTTGTTTAGAAATTGCTGAAGATTTGTTGGTTTTTATAGAAGAACCCCTTTGACTCCCCACTTTTCTAAATTTACTAATTGAACAGTTTATAGCGTGCATACATACATACCTGATAAGCTTGTGATTGGTGTCGATGTGTATCATGTACTTTGGGTAGGGAATTATGTGCGTTCTCCTTGCATCTCAGACGGGTCATCCTTGAGAGTTTATGTGTGATTTATGGATGCATAAACTCATGGACGATTCTAAGTGCCATGAGAGGGGGCCCAAAATAAAAAGAAAAGATTTGTCCTGCTATAATTTCCAAATATACAAAGAAAATCCAGGAGTAAAATAAATAATCTTCATGTTTCAGTAGTGAACAGTGAAACAAAGCAAACAAAGAATTAAAACTAACTCCATCTTAAAAACCAAATCAGCACAAACGACAGTTTTACCGGCACAAATGAAGTAGCAATGAAAAAGAAGTTATTTTTGTTCAATTCAGAGCTTAATAGGGAATAGTAGACCTCAGGATGACCTAAAGAATAAATGTTAATAGCTCTAAAACAACAGCAGCACATGATCTTTTTGTTAATTCATTTTTACAGATGGTCATTTAAATGCATAAACCTACACTAAAGAAGCAATAAATATTCAGTCTATTTGCAGAGATTTGTTCAGGTCGGCGGGATTTCACCTTCACACAGCTGAGGCTCCTCCTATTTGATGATGCAGTCCAGGGTATAAACACTGCAGCTGAAATGCAGAGTGGTGAACTATCTGCGGGGAAATCACTGCATGCTGCGTGAACGCACCATAACAAAAGATATAGAGAAAACTGGGTGCTCCATCGTGCATCTTGTACTTGGCAGAAGTGGATATAGGTATTAAAAGTTAAATTTGTTAGCTTTCATGGTTTGTTTACACTTTCTCATTTAGAGATTTTGATAAACTACACAAAGCCATTCCTGACATTTCACTGGCTACATTTTTAATTGAGAGGGCTTTTAGTTCAAGAGATTTATTAAAAGCAACATGGCTCCCGTATGCATTTTGTCATTTGTTGGTGCAAAAATCTACTAATTCATAGTGGAGTTCATTTTATTTTAGCAACAGATGAACAACTTAGTCTCTGAACCGTACAAGAAAAAAGATTACAATCATTTTTCTTTTGGAACAAAAAGCCTCTCTTCTTATTGTCTCAAAGCTTAAAAGGAAAAACGAATTAGAGGTCCAAATATAACTTCAGAAACAATCCAATAGATAAAAGTATTTTCTCTTTATTTACCGTTGCTAAAGTATACAGAGGGCAGTGAAGACAAAAATGAACAAAAGTCAACATGAATGCATCCTAACAGGAAAACTACAAAGCCATAAACAGCATCACAATTGATGGTCAATCAATTGAAGAATTTTTTTTGTTTTGTTTTTCTTTTATTTGCAAGACCTCTGTATTATTGTACAACGTAAAAATTCTTAACATTGTTTTGGCTGTCACTCTTTAATGGAGAAAATAAAACATGTTAAAGACTCACAAAATATGGAAATCAGGTTATAAGTCATGTGTATTCAAAATGTGCTTCAAAATTCCAGAAGAAGTGATTGTGGCTCCAGAGATTCAAAGATGAGCTCTTGTTTCTGCCCGTACACTCCATGCTCAACCTTCATGCCCTCGTTTGAGCACTTTATTGAGTCCGACATGAGCCGCCTGCAAGCGTCAACTAGGTTTGAGAAAAGCTGAGCACCCCGCCATGGCTCACATCCCTCTTTGTAATGCATCCTTCTGTTGGCCAGTGATTCACCAACCAAGGAGTCTTGGGGAACCAATAAAACATTTCCAGGAAGGTCAAGAACAGACACAGTGTGCCTGTCTTTTCGAAAAACTTTAGCTTTCAGGAAGTTGTTGGCTGTTTGGGCAAAGATAGAGGAAACAAAACAAAATGTGACCAACTTAAAGCAGTAAGTTAAAATGATTTAAGACTGTTTAATATATAAAATATGTAATTCTCAATTCTTTATCTTTTAAAGAACGGGGGTGTGGAAAAATGTGCCCTTCTGACGAGGGATCAGTCTAAAATAGAACATAGAGAATAAATATATATGCTTCTGCTGTTGAAACATGCAGATAATTCATATGAGCCAATGTTTTAAAACCTAATTTGTCAAATTTAGAAACCTCTTTAAAGCTACAGTGTGTAATTTTCAGCGACATCTAACGTTCAGACTGCAGACCGCAGCAACATGAACATCTCCCCCCCCAACAGTACGGCGAGCGTTACGGGACAAAATGTCTTCCACGACGTCCGCATCACCTACCTTCTCAAGTGATGAGGTTTGTTTACATAGATCATTTTAATACTGCCATCTATTGTTCATACCGTCTCAGTTCATCTCTCTCAATTTGCCGTAGTTACTTTCGAGCGTAATGGGCGATCTCGCAATCACTAGTTTGTTGGCTCTGTGCTGACGTAGCGCAAAGATGTCTGCCTCCATGGCTGCGAGACCCGCTCCTATGTAATTATAAATAACGAATTCTAAGGCAACGCAAATATTAAGGTTAAGAGGCTGAGCTCGTAGATGATGATAAATAACATAGTTATGTATAATATATTACATTTCTGACTGTATATCCCTGTAATTATTACACACTGTAGCTTTAAGTTACAAAAACATTAAATTTTCATTTGGGATACATGATGCAAGAATATCATGTGATGCATGTTTCTTGTAATGAGGGAGTGTGTGGCCTAAGCAGTTCAATACCCTTTTGCACTGTCACAAGTGAATTTATCCATTGTGAGATCAACACACTTCTATTCTATTGTATTCTATTAAAGTTTGCATAATTATGTAGCATTAGCTTCATCTCACCCCTACAAAATGCTCCACAAAAGGAAATAACTGACTGAAAAGTAAAAAAAACAGCAAATGGTTTTTCCAAGGGATGTAGCACTCTTAATACTGAGGAATGATCACAGAACCAATAAATTGGTTACTATTCAGTATTTGAACACAATACATTTTGTGGAAATAGTAAAAAGGGTAGAAAGAAACCAAAAAGAATGGCAAAAAATTACCCATTCTCTCCAGTGTTGTCATATTTGAATTGAATAATTTAGGGGTAAATGAAAATGTTGCACATTAGGACATTTCACAATGAAAAAGATGCAGTATTTATGCTGCTGCCCCACATGGGACTGAGCACTCGAATGCAAGCAGACACACAAGCAAGCTCTAAGAGGGCCTTTCATAGGTGATTTAGGCCTATGCGTCTCCCCTCACTCACCTTGGTCTCTGCTTAATACCCAAGTGCCTGCTTTTAACACCAGAGCATGCTGGTACATACAATTTCAATTATGTTTACATATTAAGAATGCTTTGACTATAACAAACACCTTTCTGAAAGGTTATTTTTGCCTACACATATAAAATGTAAAATGATCCAGTTTGACTCTTTGGAAGAATAATGAAGTTGAAAAATATCTCACCCATCTCAAGTGTGACTTCCTCTGTAGCTCCATGAAAGAAGCATACATATACGACCAACCCCTGATCAATCTAAAGATAGAGACATGATCAATTAGAAATTGAATCTAAAAACAAAAAAAACAGCTTTGTTTATGTGTTATATTTATGCATTGGGCAGACACTTATCTAAAGCAACTTGCAAAGGAAGATGTAACAATTACAGCTAATTTTAAAGCTATCAATCAGCTACTTAGAAAGAAGACAAATCAGATGCTGTCAGCGGGAACAGGCAGTGGTGTAGTAGTCCAGGGTATACGGCGTATACCCACTTATTTTTCAACCTGCATTATGAATACTCACTTCTAAATCCCCCATGATTAGCACTATTAGGCAGGATCTCCAAGCCAAATCTCCCATTTTTCACTAGGATGGTGAAGCCATCACCTGCGTTACGCTGCCTCTAACTGGCTAGTACTCTCTGACTTTACTGATTACATTGGTTAACTGGAGGCATGACGACCAGTGAGCCAATTGGGGGCAGAGAGGGGCGGTTCATGCTGAGGTTAATATTGCTCACATATTAAATAACATTTATAAGTTTATTTTAAATGATTTGCATTTAGGATTTGCAAAGAATCTGTAATATGAACTGAGCTAGTCAAACAACACTTTCATTTCCTTATTAGAAACATCCTCGCTAATAAACATTTGCCAATATTTTGGCTAATGTTACCCCGTCGGACAAGATCCTGCCTCTTTGCCCTTAGCCAAAGATGTCGGTACAACTTTGGATGACGATATCAACTATGCTAGGTGAGTGTGGGCCATTTCTATAGTTGGACCCCCTAAATTATGTTGATAACATGTCAGGGCTCGACAGTACTGGGAATATATCACTAGAATATATCACTAATGTAATAAATAATAAATCAAGTATTATTTTTGAAATGACTAATGCATTTATTATTTATTACCTTTAAAGTTACTTTAATCTTTTCAAATATTTATTTTTTACTCTGAGAAATTGGACCAAGATAATCATAGGGCGCTTTGACAGGTCGGGTAGGTTAAGTAAATTTGAAAACAAATGGGAAATAAATAAATCTCACTCACCTCAACCCACTCAGCATCAGCACCATCTACCGCTGGCCTGATCTTAACCTTAGCTCGGCTGCACTGCTGGATGATCGTCCGGGCCTGAAGCTTTTTAGACTTCTGATGCACAAGTGGGCTTTTAACAGACACATAATTTAAAAAAAATGTTGAAGGATTACTTAAAATTAGAATATTGCAAAACATAAACAAACAGGTAGTTTTTGTATGTTACCTCTCCACTCTGGGTGGTGGCTGTGCTGCCTCTGCCAATGCAGTGTTTGCGATGGTGAAAACGGGCCAAGGTTTGGAGCTTGGAGCCGCCATTGGCTCCAAACCACAGCTAGAGTTACTCTCAGTTAAACTGTCTCCCTTTTCACTTCTCTTTCTCTTTACGGAGGGCTTGTCATTGTGCTGGCTCTGCAAATCTCTTGATTTTTTGTTCCTTTGTCCATGATTGTTTTTCAGAGTTTTAATTTTTTGGGGGGTAGGATGCAGCTCTTTGAGAGGTAGGGCTGTACTTTGCTCTTGGATGAAATGATTCAGATCATTACCATCTTCAGTGCTACTCATTCCTTTTGTATCTTCAGGCTGAAGTGGCTGCTGCCTCAGGGTTTGGTTGCTTGACTGAATCTCAGATTTGTTGAATGCGTCAGAATGTACAGAGGTCGTCTTTCCTTGCGGCCAGAGTCTGGTAACAATTGTGGAGTTGGGAATCCTAGGTTGAAGAATGATAGAAGTTTTGGATGGAAGTTGACAGGGAGTTCTCAGATGGATAAGAATAGGAATTCTTGGCTGTGGATTGGTGGGAGGCGAACTGGAGGATGAAGGGATAGATGGTGTTTCTACAGACTGTAATAGGGAGAAAAACAAAGGTCAGATCTATAACCATATGTTAGGCTTTGCTCTGATAGTTTTGAAACCTAATAAATGAGTGTTTCTAACTGTAAATATGGTCGATTAAGACAAGGACTTTCTTGTCTTAATGCTCAAACTACAGTGATTGAGGCTCATTACCCTTTATTGGGTCTATATAATGCAAAATCAACTTTTATGAGGCATTAATATGCTAAAATAATGTCCCTTGAAAGCGAGATTATATTTGACTCATGCACGTCTGAGTAACCCTCATAAATTTTACTCCGTGAGGAGCAGCCCCTCCCAGGCCTAGCAAATCAGTGGCGGGTCTTTATAGAGCAGAGAGGAAAAGCCTAACTAGCTTAACCACGTCCCGTCTGTCAAGCAAACAACACCCCCACTTTCCCCAATCAGGGAGCGGCGATGTATGTCAGAGTGTGATCATTTCTACATGAAGTTAAGACAAAGTGGCTCTTCTAGCAGCTAATCTGTAAAGTGACAGTAACTGTTCATTTTGTACCTAATGTCTACGTTATTGAAAATGTGTTTTTCGGCTGTGAGCGGTTTCAGACTCCCTAAAGAAGAACTTAATCACCACTTCTAGCGATAAGCTTCTAAAAAATTTTTTTTAAGATTTAAAGGCATTAATGTAAACTCTGAAACCCCATCCATAACTGTTATTAATCAAGTTTGTGAAACGAAGCTAGCTTCACCGGGAGTTTATCCACGCTAGCTTTTACTTTAGAAAAGGCTTCAACACAGGAGAGCCAAATCCTCAGAACAGGGCTCAGCTGTTCACCTACACCTGAAAGCATGTAGGTGAACCTAAAGGAGACTCACTTGAGGACATCAACATCCATATTCTTGCAAAGAATGGTTTGAGCGAGGGTTTAAGGAAGCCATCTTTGTTAACCTGGAAAAACCATCTCGCAACAAAGAAGGGGGCCTTAAGCCCCATTTAAAGTACATTTTTGAAACCGGTCCGAGAACGAGTAACCATTGAGTGTAAATGGCAAACTGAACCGGATGGTGCAAGACACAACCGAACAGAGCTAAACTGGTACTAGTTCATCAGTAGGGCTTGGCACGCTTCAGTTCTGCCACAGTTCTCAGATAACAAAGAATACATGAGTAGAACGCGTGACAGTCAGCCTCCGTACACTGCAAAAACCATCTGAAAATAAGTAAAAAATTCTTAAATCAAGTGTATTTACCCTTAATTTGAGTAGATTAATAAGATGATTTGCCAATGGAATTAGTATTTTTTTCTCTTAAAATAAGATAATCAGATTAAAAGCACTTAAAATAAGATAATTCAATAGTTTTTTTCTTATTTCAAATGTAAATTGTCTTGTTCCCTTGGCAAAGTGTTGAACTTACCTCCTCAATTCAAGAAAAAATGCACTTATTTTAAGAACAAATTACTTATTTATATTAACATTTTTTGCAGTGTAATAATGAAATTTAAGACATTCATGTAAAACTACTATCTTCCCTACCGTGCCACACGATTTTCAGAAATGATTTCGCTTAGTAGGGTGATGAACCTCAACGTCTGTCGTTTTCTGTGTCTGTAAGCCATGATTAGACTATCATTTGTTGTATCCACTTCCCAAAAGCCGACTCTTGTCAAGTAAATTCACCAAAGCCTGCCTTCTTTGCCTGACTCTCTGCAAACAACGAAATATCACAATTATAACCAAACTTCCTGAATGTTACAGGCGCCGCCATGTTGATTTGCTTGTTTCCCTCTAGAGAGCATAGTAGTACCATAGATCGTCACGAGGAACTGTGCTAGCGTGATGTGTAAAATTTGTCATAAGGAACCGAGCTTGGCATGGTTAACTGATCCAAGCTCGGTCCGAACTCTGCACAGATGGCTTTTCAGAGGGTAGTATATACAGACATAACTTTTCACCCACCTACAAGGCACTTTTAGGAACATTACCCAGAATATTCACCCCCCCACCCGCCCCCACCTGGCTCACACTTCACTGAGGAATGTGACCCAAACCCCTCTGAAGATGGAGTTAACGACCCATCAGAACCCGCTAACGACCATTAACACCATGTGACCTCCTTGGCCAATCCAGTGGGAGCGATCAAAGCAACTTTTTGTCCCCGCTAACTCTTTGTTACAACTACCATATAATGATCTTAGCCCTCGCCACCACTACTGAACTGAACTTTTTCAAGCTATTTCCCTCATTTAAAGATTATTTTGTTTTCAGTATACACCATGATCTTCCAGATAAAATTTTGATATCTGGCAAAGAAAACCTAAATAAGTTTGAATTGCAGTATTTGTAATAGCCCACTGCCCTAAAAGTGTTTTGGCAATGTCAGTCACTGATGTTATGAGTCTGTATATGTTGTTTTACTGTTTTACAAAATTGTTTTACTTGAGACTTGCTGGGGGGTTTTCCTATATAAAAAATCTGTCCAAGGTAATGCAATCATGCTTAAATTTGGCCCTTAACAAAGCAACCACAAAATATTAATTTCGATGCAGTAGGCTGTTTAGAGCAGGCATCCCTAACCCTGGTCCTCGAGGCCCGCTGTCCTGCAGGTTTCCCTGCTTTAGCACAGCTGATTATAACGATTGCAGTAGACCAGAAGCCTGTTAATCAGCTTTCAATTAAAACCAGCTGTGCTGGAGCAAGGAATCCTCTAAAACCTGCAGGACAGCGGGCCTCAAGGACCGAGGTTGGGGATGCCTGGTTTAAAGCACAGACTTGTTTTACCTTATCGTGGCGAATAAGATTCAGACGGTCTTGAAAACCCACCATCATCTCCACAGACTCCAGCGTATGCTCCTCTACTATGCCATCTCTTCCACCACTCTCAACATCTTCATCATTATCTCCGCCATCAACTTCAATATCTACAAAGCCATCCGCTCCATCGCTGCAAGAAGGGGAAAAAAATAAGTATGGACACTTAACCCCAATTCTATGAAATATAAATACTGTTGTTTCAACTTTGACCAAAACAAATCAAGTTTGTTTTATACTTCAGTTTGCTTCAAATCTTGGTTTATAAGAGGTGTAGAAATAATCTGAGCCATGGTCATGTTAGATTATAAGGGCAGTGGTGGATAGTACCAATGTGCATTTATTTGATTACTGTACTTACGTAAAGCAAATATACTCAAAAAAAGTACTTGAGTAACTTTTTTTGGGGGGGTACTTATAACTTTAATTCTACTACGTCTCAAAGTAAAATATTTTACTTTCTGCTCCACTGCATTTCGAGGAACCTGCTAGTTACTTGTTCCTTTTGGCTGAGCTTAGCTTTATAATCTGCTGTGGGTGTTTTTCTTTCTTGAAATGCAATTTCAACATGCAAGACAGCAGCCCTTAGGATTGAACTCAAAATAGGTATGAAAGCACTACTGTTGTTTTGAAAAGCTTTCCATTGGTTTTTGTTTGTGTCCTCCCATTTCTTTTTATGAAATACAATAATTTTTTCAGATAAGTTTGATGTATTTCTTTTTGTCTGATGTGTTTTATGATACCTGTTTTCCTTTAAAGACCTTGGATTTACTGTAAATATGAATATTGTCATAAAGATAAAGCTGTTCAAACTTGCCTAGGCTGCAATTGAGCACAGTGTTGGTGCATTACTGCTTTTAATGATAAAAATAGCAGTGAAAAAACACCTGTGTGAGTCATCTTCTGTAGATGTCAGAGAGTGAAGCATCTCGGATCTTTCCACCTCTGCTTCACGACATGGTTTCCGTCTTATTTTCACACTGCACTGAGAACAATTGTTTATCCACTGCACCACATCCGGCTTCATGGTTTGCCAGTAGTACCTGTCAGAGATCGGACTTTGTAAAATAATTGTATGAATATGAGTAATAAGTAGCATCTAAGGATAAAAAAATTGAAAACCTTTCGTTGAGTAATCTGAGACATTTGTTGGCATTCAGGTGGTTAAGGTCATTGTGAAAGTCCATAAGAGCAGTTTCAACCTGCTGCCTACTCCTCAGAACCAGACGCATTTGATCTCTTGTCACCACGTGCAGCTTGCCATCTGTCAAAACAGGGCAAATAAAATTATTATAAATTTATCAGAAGTTATCTAATGCTTGCGTTGATTTTTGTGGATTTTAATACATTTTTGTAAATATGAAAACTGCAACTAAATCCTGGAAAAAATATCTAGGATTAGAAAAAAGAAACAATTTACATGTTTTTCTGTTAAAAAAAAAAAAATCAGCAGGAAGTGACAATTGAAAGTAAAATGGATAATTTTTGAAAATCATAATTTTAACTGATAGCCTTAAACTTTCTTACACAACAGCCTCCAGAAGAACTCAGATTGTAAAAAAAATAAATAAAAAATCTTTTGTGTGTTTATTCTGCTGCAATAATTCAACTCCCATGATGTGAACAGGATTCAACCTGTTTCTGTTTCCTCTGAAATCTACAATCATCTCCCTTCACGTTGAGGCCACAAAGTGGTACACCAGCTTCTTGTCCACCTTTGATACACCTAATGACTGCAGAGTTTCTGTAGATGACAGGACTTTCTTTTAATGGAAATCAGAGGTCTAAAGAGTAAAAAGGAAGGAGCATGTCCTGTGGTGTAGACTAATGTTTATACAGTTGACCCTTCAGTCTCACAAACTATGGTTTGTTAGTCAGGTAGTCTTTTAATATGCCACTTAAAACAATAAGAACTAGACATCAAACCTGCATCTATGATCGCCTGCTAGATCTACGGTCACAAAATGTTTTAAATACTGACATTTTTGACCGCTTAAAAAGCTGCGGAGTGCTACGGACGGGTGTCAACAAGACAACAGCAGAAAATAACGGACAGAGGAAGAGATAAGCGAGACGGACAAAGCGGGGCTGCAGAGGGGGGCTAACTGCTGAGCTAAAGAGAGATCCCCACAGACCATCGCTTCCATCAATCCTGCTCTCCAACGTCCGCTCGTTGGAAAACAAAATGGATAATCTCCAATTCGAACTCTCTTCAAAAAAGATATGCAACTGCTGCGCCATCATTCTGACGGGGTCTTGGCTGCATCCAGCAATACTGGACAATGCTATTAGCCTGGAGTGCTTCAGGAGCTGGAGGCAGTATGTATGGCTGTATGGCATTCCCATCACCAGTGTCATGCAATCACACTGACTTACCCCTGGCAGGATCCTGTGAGCAGAGTTCTCGTCCAGCTTTGGTCAAGCCGAAAGTAGTCCGGCAGGTTTGCTAGACCCAGCGAAATAAAACGTTTCTCTTCCCAAAACATTATGTGTTCAAAAGAGTGATATTTTTGCATCCCAAAAACATTGTAGTGGAAAAAGTCACACGTCGTTATCACTTGGTCCTATTTTCTCTCTGTTCGTATCAGTGCGCGCGACACCATGACCTGACAGCTAGGGCCTACCTGTTTGATTCGCGATTGTTTACTACTGGGGAAGATGTCTGACTACAAGAGCGACGAGGAAAACATCGACTTCCACTTAGAGCCAAAGGGATATCTTTATGAACCCGAGTACACTGACGATGAACTTTGACAAATGGAGTTAGATGGGGCAGAAAGAGAGAGGGTGGACAGAGAAGTGATGGAAGCTGAAGCCGGAGCCGCAGGAGCCTCAGCTGGAGCTGCGATATCCAGGGTGGCCGACAAATCATGGTGCACTTGTTTCAAGTGCGAATTAATGCAGACAGAGGTGGATGCTACTGTTGCCACGAGTGGGATTTAGTAATGCCCGAGATACAGAACCTTTCCATTGATGAGGATGTCGGAGTTGCAGCAGCTGCTGTCTGCATTGAAATGAGCTGGAAAAGTTGAGCTCGCTGTCAGAATGACGGCGCGCACTGATACGAACAGCAACAACTGATGGGTGAAGCCCAGGAAACAGGCCCCTAATGCTCCAGCAACAGATCCTCTGCCACCAGGTTAAAAATCCCATTTCAAGGCTAACATCCTATCCAGATCTGTCTGACATCTCTCCTGCCAAGCAAACATAATCTCTGATCTAATAACTAAAAATTCCTCGAAGTGTTAGCACTCTTCATATGAGCAGGTAAGTTTAAAAGGCTAAGGGTAGGGGTATGTTTATCCCTAAAATAAGTTCACCCATCTCTTTAAATCATGTGCAAATACACATATTTCAAGAAAATTTTACTTAATTTTAGTTCAATTTTTTCCGTATTGTTTGTGGTTGCGACAATTCATCTGTTTTCAAGAAACAAAGCAGATCAGAGAATTTGACAAACCTATGATGGCGTATCTTTTGCAGAATCTCCTGAAAGTGTTCTTCTCTACATATGTCAGTCCAGGAGGGTAAATGCGTCTGCTGATGTAGAGCTCCACTGCATTGTACTTGGCAAAAAAAGCCTGAAAAAATATGATAAGAATTTCAAGGCATGGTAAATTGTTTCTTAAAAGTGTTCCTCCATAGCTACATACTTCCTCTGCTGCTGGTGTCGAGGTCAACCCATCTGCTTGTGTCTGTGGAAGCAAAATAACTATTATAGGCCAATCAATGAAGTAGAGGAAGTGAGCCTCAGCCATGCCTCTCTGTGTCTCACCTTTGTGTCACTGTGGACGTTAAGTGTGGGCACTGCGTCTGGAAGGAGGGTGAGTTTCTCCCCGCTGCTGTCGTAGCACTTCTCCGTAAAATGGGCTGAGCAAATGGAGGACCAGAGCCGGGGATGCCAATTCCCACGCCCACAAGCTTTCAGCCACTGAGTCAGCAGGGGCACATTATGAAGCGGAAACCTGGATGCACAGCAGGTAATACACAAAATAAGTTTGCTACATTTTGTCAGGCATCTAAGAAACTATAGATAAAATTTAGTGTAGATAATGGGGAAACTGCTCCATGATGCATGAATAATGAATAAATATTCAGAGATACACATGACTCATTTTATAAAATGTGGGTCATTAATGGCTGATATGTTTAATGCATTTCAAGGGTCAAACAAGCTGGTTTCTAATAAAAGAAAATGGCTGAAAAATAAACAAATAAAAACATTAATGACAGTATTGCAAAAGAGAACAATATTAGAAAAAGTATATTTTGGTTGTCTTGAATGATTTTCAAAGAAATGTTTAAAAACATAAGATTTTCACAAGACAATTGAACTCATACCGATGAAAAATAAGTCCGAGTTTTCTCTCAACTGGACCACAGCGGTTGGTGCACTTGGAGACGCTGCAACGAATCATCTTCCTTTTTGATCTATTGACACATGTTTGGCAGCTAGAGATCCAGCTGGCCAGGTCACGACTCAAGCTCCCCCAATGGTAGTGCTTTGAGATCTGTCTCTGGCAGATCCCCTGTCCAAAGTGGCCCTGGTTGTCATGAAACTGTTGCAGGATGGAATTTACCTGGAAGAAATGTTTTTTTTTTTTTTTTGTTCTGAGTAAAATCATTTATTGTCCTAAGCTTTGCTAATGTTGCATTTTCTCTAAAAATAAATGCTGGATTTTGGCTTTTTGTCTCTGTCTAAAAATGAATACACTGTATCATGGGTAATAAACATCAAGGAAGCTTTACTGAGGGTAATGTGATGCAATACTGACAGATCTGCTATTAGCATTTGAATTTACCTCCTCCCTGCTGCGAGGAACTCTGAGAGGCGGAGAGACTCTGGTGTACATCAGCACTCCATCTGAAACAGAAATGTTTATCTTGTCTTATTTATACTTTATCTAAAAAATTATGTACAAATAAGCGATATTAGAGCCATTGGACCTCATGCACATTGGACCTCACAATATGTTTGTATTCTTGTGTAAATTCTCTTACATTTTCTCCTATATTGAACTATTACGAATGTGCCACCCCAGACTCTACAAACGATCTTAACTTCAGTAAATGGTCGTCATAAACCTGATGCTATGCTTAAGTGAGCTTGCATTCCAGACAAATGCACATTTGTATAATTACCACCTGAATAATGCAGTACAAGTGAGGAGGCATGACTTCCAATGCTTGCCAGAAGGGATTCACTCTTAAAAATGGCATTGAAGACATAGAAGAAAAACTCTACAGGTTCAGAGATCAAGGTTCTACTGACTGAAAACTGAGCAGCAAATCATTGGGGAATAAACCAGAAGAGCTGAAATGATGTGGTCGTACTATTACAAAAAAATAGAAATAAGAATAATTTGATCCAAAATCCATTAAATGAAAACTACTGATGGAGGCAAGACGTGCTCATTCATTGTAAATGCTTAATATCAGTTCACCATCAACCAACATGATCCACACACTTGTACTGTTCATCTACAAACCACGTCTGTCATCCCTTTATCACATTCTCCATCTCTCAAACAACGTATAAACAAAAAGCTAACGGAGAAACTCTAATTGGACAAATTCAGACAGACCTTAACCCAAACATTCCACATTTTATGTAATAAAGCCAAGAAGCTGCAATGGAGTGAAGTGAATGCAAGTTTTGCTGTTAGCAACACGTTTCTGAACCTTCTTTTCTAAACTCTCCATCCATTTTCTGTTTCAGATGTTATTGCAATAGCAGCTTGATCCCTGGATACTTGCCAGCTGCAGGTATAGTCACCAACAATTCTGTCATCAGCAAATAAAACTGCCATTTATGATTGCAGAGTTGCATAACATATCATGAAGTATATGTACTTCAAATAAAATGGACAATTGCTTCTAAGTAACAAAAAATGCTGTCATTTATTGAAAAAATAGGTTTGGATAAAAGCTGACTGATTGCACAAGGCTTCTGGGTCAATTTGAAGATAGGAGAAAAGCAGTGAATGAGGCCTTTTCTCCTAAATCACTCGTATGATTTAAAAACAAATTTGTTCGTACAAAAAGTTCTTGCATGAGGCCCATTGAGCTCTCCACTTACCTATTAGACTAAAGCGCTTGGACATTCGCTTTAAAGCTGATCTGCTTCTTTTACCCTGCATAGGTAGGACCCTGGTACTCAAGTACCTGTGGTACAAATATACAAACATGATACAAAATGAAACTTTGACAGAATTGTTCCCTTGTGTTTATCTGGAGATTGTACCTTGCAATATGGTTGTAAGTAATAAAGCTTGGCTCGACAGTTGTCCTCCGCCTGTTCTCATTCATTGTCAAGGCAGCCCTGGAGTCTGGAGCGGGGCCAGGTAAACAGTACTGATGTTCCTGCAGCTGCAGAGCTTTTTCAGACAGATTGGAGGAATGAGAGCCCTGGTCTGCAACGGCAGCCAAAGGCGTTTCACTAAGCTCATCGTTCCATGTTTTGCAATAGTTGAAGTTTTCATCTGAATCTCCAGGCACCTGAAAATCAAGAAAAATTACCTAATGTAGTCTTGACAAGTATTTGAAGCCCTGCTTCTTATTCAGGTATTTTATGAATAAATCCAGAACGAAATGTTAGCATTTAGTTTACACTTTAATTGTGAAGTCATCAAGACAAGCTTAGAGTGGGCTTCAATCTTATAACCCAAAAAATGTAGCCATCATTGGATTTGTCCTCAAATAACCTGTTCAGCTAGTTCATCATTAACCTCTTAAGCCACAGGTGGTTCTTCAGAAGTTTGTTCTCAAAATAACCCAAAACTCAAAATAGAGTTAAAATTGGGGAATGTTTCACAGCAGCTGCTATTGTTTCAGGGAAAATCAGGGAGGAAGATAGAAAAATTGGAATTTCTATGAGTTATACATATAACCTTTTCAAAAATTATGAAGACGACCCCTTTGCACCCATACGGTCATATGCAAGCACTCCATGCAGACGCATACAGGGCCAGACTCTAAACATATTCCTACAATCCTCATACATACACTATCCTCCCGGGTTTAGGGGCCAATGTTCTTAGGGGAAACAGGCCCACAGACCTAGGAGGAGATCTTTTTCTCTTTCTTCTTAGATTTTTTTTTGGAGTGCCTAAAGTTTCTGATTCCTATGGTTATGTGTTTTTTTTTTTTTTTTTAACCTGTGTTTGTGATAATGTTCACATCAGTTTTTAGCCAAAAGTCTCATATCTCTGGGGACACCATATATGGCTATGTTCAACAAAAAAAAACCTTTGAATGAAGCACCTAGGAAAAAAAATAGAAATTGTTCCCCAAATCCTGAGGGGGGGGGGGGGCAGTTTTCCTAAGCTTTACTTCCTAAAGCTTGGGAAGTAAAGCTGAGCCAGAACGTGTGTATTACCTCATTTCCATGGACTGTAACAGGCCGCTTGGTTGGTTCAGCATCTGGGGAAAGCACCAGCTGACCCTCTTCAGTGATTGAAAAGCATGACATTTCAAAGTGCCTGGAGCAAATATAGGAGTTGGCACGTAGGGAGGCTTCATCCCTCTGAGCCATCTGCAACCACTTCTTGCGCAGTTTCTCATCTTTAGGAAACCTACAGACATAAAGGAGAATCTCTATATGACACATTTAATTTTACCTTAAAAAACAACAACAAAAAATGTGTTTTAGTTTATCACAGTGTAGTTTTTATTTATTTACACATAATACTGCTAAAAATGAGTACACCCAAATAACACATCCTAGATCTGAATAAATGAAATATTCTCATTGAATACTTTGTTCTGTTCAAAGTTAAATGTGATGACAACAAAGCTCATCATTGGAAATCAAATGTATTAAAGAATGGAGGTGTAGAAGGAGGTGGAGTTGATTTTATAGAAGTTGGATTTACCTGAAGTTATATTGTTTTTATACGTGTTCCCTTTATTTCTTTGAGCAGTGTACAAACTACAAATTCAAGTCAACATTTAACATTCCTTTTAAGACAAAGAAAAGGAGTTTGCTTTCTTGCTTTTTTAAATGTCTGACCTGTGAAAGCTGAGCTCAGGGAAAGCGTAACTGGATGCATCACAGCCATAAACCAGGCAGAAGAGAACAGCTGGTTGGGAAGGATGAGAAGGAATACGGCTTTGACAAGCTGGGCAAGCTTTGACCCATTTTTTCACAGCCTCCGTCACTCCAACCCAGTAGTACATCATCTAGAAAACAAAAATGAAGACAAGATCTGTTTATAAAACGCACTACTAGATCAGCAGCTCTATATAACAGACTAATGGTCCAAACTCACCATAATTTCTCTTACAACCCGTTCTCTGCCGGCATGGTTATTATCATTGTGATAGCGTGTCATGATTTCTTGTATTTCCTTGTCACTTCTGACAACACGAAGGAGGCGACCTCTATAAGGGCGCCATAAAAGGCCATCTGAAGAAAGAATCATTGAACAGCTTAGTGATTTTATTTAATTTTTATTTTTTGTATTTAAACAACAGTGTCTTCAGTAAATGGCTTTTCCAGATCAAATTCAAAACAGACCAACACATAAGATCCTTCCTGCCTATAGCTACTGAAACCTACGACATCTCATTGAAAAACTGCCCATGATGCAACATTTCATTTCCCTTTGGTATATTAAAGTATTTTTGAATGGTGTTGAAAAGTGCAAGTCAATGTTGTTTATTAGACGTATAAAAGCAGAATCTTTATCAGTTTGTTACTTTGGAGAATTCAAGAGAGTGTTTAAAGTATGTAGCAGGTGTGGGACGCACAGTTTGGGTTCAATCTTATTGCAAAAGACGGCAACATCTGTAATATTACTTTACAGATATAAAGGCTTGTCTTAGAAAAAACATAAAAATATGATATTCGACTTAGGAAATCCATCTATCCATCCAACTATCCACCAAACCATCCTGCATCCATTCATCCTTCATCATCCATCCATTCTCCATTCATCCATACATAAGTCCACCAAACCATCATCCTGCCATCATCCATCCTCCATCCATCCATTCCTTAAATCCATTCACCAAACTATCATCCATCCAGCACCCATCATAGTTCAATTATCAATAAAAAATAAATAAATAAAAAATGGGGGAGTGGCGGCCTGATGGTTAGGGCATAGAGCTTGAAATCCTGAGGTTCTGAGATTGAGCCCCACTTCCACAGACTGCCACTTAAGGGTCTCTGAGCAAAGACCCTTAACCCCACACTGCTCCCCGAGCGCCGCACAATGTCAGCCCACTGCTCCCCAAGGGGATGAGTTAAATGTAGAGGTAAATAACTCTAATATGAGATCGATAAAGTTAAATTATTATTATCATTATTTTAATCCATCCATTCATTTCCCCATCCATCATCCATCAATTGCTTTATTAAAAAACATATGAAAAACTGAAAGTACTAAAATTAACTGCAAATTATGATTCCCAGATAGATGGATGGCTTCCATTTCATCTGTATCATAGATTATCCTTTTAGAAATAGCAAAATCTAATTAAGTTTTTTTCCACACATATTTTTGACAAAGGCCGAATATTGAAGGTTTTATTTCAAAGCATTGATTGACTGATTTTTACTGTATTGTCTGTGCTTTGAATTTCGCACGTTTCAATCCTAAGTCTCCTGACTGCAAGACTGGCTCCACAGCTGAGCTGGTTGGCACAGCTATTTCTGAGTCTTGCTCATTTACAAAACACAAAAGTGCATTTTTAAATACATGTTTTTTCTTGTAAAATATTTTTGAGATTTTATTGCATGTTGCATATCCCAGTAAATCTCTTTAGTCTTTAATCTGCAGCTGTCCTTGCTTCTGTTGAAATATACATAATATTAAGACGTTGACTAAAATAACGATGCTAGAGAAACTAATATTCAAGTAACCTCTGCATGACTTTAAAATCTGCAATTTGGATCTCTAGAACAGGTAAATTTCTGTTAAATAAGAAAACGATAAATATGAGTTAGTTAGTTGCTACAGTGTGTAATTTTCAGCGACATCTAACGTCCAGACTGCAGACCGCAGCAACATGAACATTTCCCCCCCACCGCTTCTCCCCCCCAACAGTACGGCGAGCGTTACGGGACAAAATGTCTTCCACGACCTCCGCATCACCTACCTTCTCAAGTGATGAGGTTTGTTTACATAGATAATTTTACAGATAGTATTTCATTAGTCTGTGTAGGGTATAGATTTCATGTAGACTTAAGATAATAAATATACCCGTTATTTTTTCTACATCGTTGTGACGTTTTGTTGAGCTGCTTTGCATGGTGATATAAACAGACGAAGTAATTGTAGTCATTAGTTTAACAGCGAGATTGTGTTCGCTGGAAGAATATATATTCCCCGTTTACAGAGTCCAAGTCTTGTTTGTGGCACGGGGGTTACAAGGCGAGGAAAGGGGAGAGGAAGAGGGCAGAGAGGCCGGGGTGGGCGTGCAGCTAGGGCCAGGCGAGAGAGGGGTGCCAGCGGGGTGACTAGAACAGAGGACGAAAGGCTTGAAGATCTCCAAAGGAGCCGGAGAGAAGTAACCGAGGTATATATCCATAAAATTATTTTACAGAAAATTACTGAATCATTACCTGTGAAACGTCAGGGACGTTGCTGAATAAGTATACTGGAGAGTAACAGCATCATCACGTAGCATGTTATTGTAATGGGCAATCTCGCAATCGCTAGTTTGTTGCCTCTGCGCTGCCGTAGCGCAAAGATGTCTGCCTCCATGGCTGCGAGACCCGCTCCTATGTAATTATAACTAACGAATTCTAAGGCAGCACAAATTTTAAGGTTAAGAGGCTGAGCTCGTAGATGATGATAAATAACATAGTTATGTATAATATATTACATTTCTGACTGTATATCCCTGTAATTATTACACACTGTAGCTTTAAACTCTATGTTTTGTCAAATTTATTGTCTTATAATACTATTCTGTTTAGCATAAACACTCCGTTGATGTTGATTTTTTTTTAAAGCCGTGCATGTCTAAAGGCTTTTTCGGTGGCATCTCTTTTTTTTTGTTCTTAACCAACCTGTCTAGTAACTTTTAGTTCAAAATAAAACTCAAAGTAGCTGCCGGTTTAAATTTACTGCTACCATGTAGCAGTAAATTATCTAATAAAATTCATATTATTAGATAATTTTGCAAGCAATTTTACATTATTGAGTCCTTCATTTATTTCCGTATGCATTTTTAATTGTGGCGGGATTGGTCTTCCATAGAGTGGGACAGATATGTGTAATACCACAGGCAAATGTCAGATTTGACAATAATAGAGTGACAGCCAAGTGGAAAAAACTGTTTAGTTATTTAATTATTTTTTGGGGGGGGTGTAAACTCCTAATAAATTGCTCTAAGACAACTTTTGAATGAATCATTTTTCTACTAATTTTATTATATACTAAAAACATAAAGCAATGCTTTATAATTGAATTTATGTCAATTTTTTAAATCGCTATATAGAAATACCTTTGTAGATGAAGCGTTTGCTGGCATTATGGATTCCTCTTTTCAAACTTTTAGAAGTATTTTCTCCAAACTTTCCAGTACGAAAATAATGTTCCAATTCATCCAGAAACCCAAATGATGGCATCTATAAAGAGGGGAGAAAATGGGGTTAGGCATAGAGAGCATAAATGTTTGAACTATAAGGCAGGAAATGTTTCACTGCAGTGTATTCGACCTATTCATTGCAAAAACACATTATTAACCTTTTTTTTTTAATATTTAAGCAAACTTCTTGCCTCAATTAATGACAAAGTAATTTTAAAAATGTACCACAAATAGCTAATAGGCTAAATAAAAATGTATCTGAGCTACTATAACCTATGCTAGCTGATGTTTCACTTTGGATGTTAGTTTAGTGCTTTAAAATAAAAAATAAAATGAAATACTCACATTATCAGCAGAGAAACTAGTCCTACCTTTGAACGTCTTTCGCAGGGTGAACAACAATCTTCATAACACCGAAACCAATTTCAGGCCAAATCCTAGTAAGGATTACATCTTTTTGAAGCCAAATCTTCCTTATCTAGTACGGTTTTCCTTTCCTTCATCGAAAAATACACTTGATGGTCCTAAAGAAAAGTGTATTAGTATTATACAGTGGATACTTTTGTCGTTTGGTTCCGTGAAGACTTTAGGTTAGCAATGGTCATCGGGTAACTTCCGGTTGGATAATTTCCAAAATAAAAGTCGTGACAACACTGTTAGTGTTGTTATATATATATACACTATATTGCCAAAAGTATTTGCTCACCCATCCAAATTATTGGAATCAGGTGTTCCAATCACTTCCATGGCCACAGGTGTATAAATTCAAGCACCTAGGCATGCAGACTGTTTTTACAAACATTTGTGAAAGAATGGGTCGCTCTCAGGAGCTCAGTGAATTCCAGCGTGGAACTGTGATAGGATGCCACCTGTGCAACAAATCCAGTCGTGAAATTTCCTCGCTCCTAAATATTCCACAGTCAACTGTCAGCTGTATTATAAGAAAATGGAAGTGTTTGGGAACGACAGCAACTCAGCCACGAAGTGGTAGGCCACGTAAACTGACGGAGCGGGGTCAGCGGATGCTGACGCGCATAGTGCGAAGAGGTCGCCAACTTTCTGCAGAGTCAATCACTACAGACCTCCAAACTTCATGTGGCCTTCAGATTAGCTCAAGAACAGTGCGCAGAGAGCTTCATGGAATGGGTTTCCATGGTCGAGCAGCTGCATCCAAGCCATACATCACCAAGTGCAATGCAAAGCGTCGGATGCGGTGGTGTAAAGCACGCCGCCACTGGACTCTAGAGCAGTGGAGACGCGTTCTCTGGAGTGACGAATCGCGCTTCTCCATCTGGCAATCTGATGGACGGGTCTGGGTTTGGCGGTTGCCAGGAGAACGGTACTTGTCTGACTGCATTGTGCCAAGTGTAAAGTTTGTTGGAGGGGGGATTATGGTGTGGGGTTGTTTTTCAGGAGCTGGGCTTGGCCCCTTAGTTCCAGTGAAAGGAACTGAATGCTTCAGCATACCAAGACATTTTGGACAATTCCATGCTCCCAACTTTGTGGGAACAGTTTGGAGCTGGCCCCTTCCTCTTCCAACATGACTGTGCACCAGTGCACAAAGCAAGGTCCATAAAGACATGGATGACAGAGTCTGGTGTGGATGAACTTGACTGGCCTGCACAGAGTCCTGACCTCAACCCGATAGAACACCTTTGGGATGAATTAGAGCGGAGACTGAGAGCCAGGCCTTCTCGTCCAACATCAGTGTGCGACCTCACAAATGCGCTTCTGGAAGAATGGTCAAAAATTCCCATAAACACACTCCTAAACCTTGTGGACAGCCTTCCCAGAAGAGTTGAAGCTGTTCTAGCTGCAAAGGGTGGACCGACGTCATATTGAACCCTATGGATTAGGAACGGGATGTCACTTAAGCTCATATGTGAGTCAAGGCAGGTGAGCAAATACTTTTGGCAATATAGTGTATATGTTGGCCAAAAAAAATAAATAAATAATAATAATAATAATAATATATATATATATATATATATATATATATATATATATATATATATATATATATATATATATATATATAAATACATTTTATAATTGTAAATTTATAGTCAAATGTTGATATTACTGTTTTTATATATTTTTACTATTTTTCAAGGCTGCCCTGAAAAAAAATGAAATCGTCCAGAGAGCTTTTTGTTTTACACTTGTATAAACAAAATGAGAAATAAATCTAAATAAAAAAAAAAAAAAAAAAAAAAAAAAATATATATATATATATATATATATATATATTGTATATATTGGGATGTATATTGGGACATCCCAATATATACAATATAATATAATATATAAAAATGTATATGATATATAATTTTTTTTTATCAGTATAATTGCTTTTCAGATTGGATAACACAGGAAGAGAGGAAGAGAGAGAGAGGAGATGATTGTTTGGCCAAATAGCTTTAGGAAAACCCCTAAAGCCAAAAATGTCATAACCGGTTCATTTTATAATTGACATCCCTTTCTTGTCTTTCTCTTTTAAACTACAATAGGCCTATGAGACATACAGCAGATAACACTAAATTACAAAGATTTAAAAAAAGCAGACCATTTGCATACAATTGGGTTTAGAATTATGTAGACCTCTGATTGGAGATAATACATTTTAAGATGCTTTTATTCCTGATTGTAAAAGTATTCTAATTTAGAGGACGGGCAAACTTACTAACTTGGATTGTTAGGATAGGAAGGAATCATAAAGGACATGTATATTTCTTCATAAAAAATTTAAAACAATCCAAAACAGGGGATCAATATCCAGGCTGCTGCAAACTCATGTACAGGTGCTGGTCATAAAATTAGAATATCATGAAAAAGTAGATTGATTTCAGTAATTCCATTTAAAAAGTGAAACTTGTATATTATATTCATACATTACATACAAACTCATATATTTCAGATGTTTATTTTGTTTAATTTTGATGATTACAAATGACAACAAATGAAAATCTCAAATTCATCATATCAGAAAATTAGAATATTACTGAAGACCAATAAAAACAAAGGATTTATAGAAATGTTGGCCAACTGAAAAGTATGAACATGAAAAGTATGAGCATGTACAGCACTCAGTATTTAGTTGGGCCTCCTTTGGCCTGTATTACTGCAGCAATGCGGCGTGGCATGGAGTCGATCAGTCTGTGGCACTGCTCAGGTGTTATGATAGCCCAGGTTGCTCTAATAGTGGCTTTTAGGTCTTCTGAATTGTTGGGTCTGGTGTATTGCATCTTCTTCTTCACAATACCCCATAGATTTTCTATGGGGTTAAGGTCAGGAGAGTTTGCTGGCCAATTAAGAACAGGGATACCATGGTCCTTCAACCAGGTACTGGTAGCTTTGGCACTGTGTGCAGGTGCCAAGTCCTGTTGGAAAATGAAATCTGCATCTCCAAAAAGTTGGTCAGCTGCAGGAAGCATGAAGTGCTCTAAAACTTCCTGGTATGTGGCTGCGTTGACCCTGGACCTCAGAAAACACAATGGACCAGCACCAGCAGATGACATGGCACCCCAAACCATCACTGACTGTGGAAACTTTACACTGGACTTCAAGCAACGTGGATGAAGTGCCTCTCTTCTTTTCCTCCAGACTCTGGGACCTTGATTTCCAAAGGAAATGCAAAATTTACTTTCATCAGAGAACATGACTTTGGACCACTCACCAGCAGTCCAGTCCTGTTTCTCTTTAGCCTAGGCAAGACGCTTCTGACGCTGTCTGTGGTTCAAGAGTGGCTTGACACAAGGAATGCGACAGCAGAAACCCATGTCTTTCATACGTCTGTGTGTGGTGGTTCTTGAAGCACTCACTCCAGCTGCAGTCCACTCTTTGTGAATCTCCCCCACATTTTTGAATGGGTTTTGTTTCACAATCCTCTCCAGGGTGCGGTTATCTCTCTTGCTTGTAGACTTTTTTCGACCACATCTTTTCCTTCCCTTCGCCTCTCTATTAATGTGCTTGGACACTGAGCTCTGTGAACAGCCAGCCTCTTTAGCGATGACATTTTGTGTCTTGCCCTCCTTGTGCAAGGTGTCGATGGTCGTCTTTTGGACAACTGTCAAGTCAGCAGTCTTCCCCATGATTGTGTAGCCTATAGAACTAGACTGAAAGACCATTTAAAGGCTTTTGCAGGTGGTTTGAGTTAATTAGCTGATTAGAGTGTGGCACCAGGGGCCATCAATTTTGAACCTTTTCACAATATTCTAATTTTCTGATATGATGAATTTGAGATTTTCATTTGTTGTCATTTGTAATCATCAAAATTAAACAAAATAAACATCTGAAATATATGAGTTTGTATGTAATGTATGAATATAATATACAAGTTTCACTTTTTAAATGGAATTACTGAAATCAATCTACTTTTTCATGATATTCTAATTTTATGACCAGCACCTGTACAGTAGGCAGGGGTATTCACCTTAAAGCTACTTGCGATCCACCATAATAGAAAAGAAGAATAAGAATTCCTTACTTGAATTTGAGGCTGAATATATATCCATTTTTTTTATTTCACTTAAAGTCATCAATAATATATAAAATATACCAATACACAAACAACTATGCCAGGGGGTATGTCACAATAAACAAGTACAGTCAGGAGGAAAGACAAACTGACCAACATATGTGCTTAGGAGTGTCATATATACGTATGTATGTAAACACATATTCATACATATATTCTACAAACCTTCTACAACATTAAATTGCCCAGAATTTTTGTTTGGAACAGACTGATATGTTTTTTGTGCCTTTTGGTGAGAGTAAGGTTTATAGGTTAGAAAATAATGCTTAAGTTCAATTAAATAAACATTAACGTCTGGCTTTTTTTAAAAATTTAAATTCATGGAAATGAAATTTAGCCAAGATAATTAAGAGATTGATAAGAAAAGGTTCAGAAAACATTTTACTTTGGACACCACCTAAACAAATGTGTAACAGATTCTGGAAGAAGATAACAAAAAGTGCAGTTCACAGTAATATCAGATTTGAACTTTTTAAGGTAGTCTTTGGCTAAATAAATCCTGTGAATGAATTTCAATGAAACTTACTTCACCTTGTTAGTGAGGAGAAAGTGGTTAGGTAAAAGCCAAGTATGTTTCCAGGACACAGCAGCTATAAAACAGTTCCATAATGGTACAACAGTAGGAACAGATGCCACCTCTCTCCAAAAGAGGGACCTGATTGACTTATTGTTAAGGGGAGACATATTTTGCCATCAGGAGTGTCCATGGGAGTCAGAGAAGAAGATGAAGAAGAGCTGAGTCTTGGCCTCTTTCTGAATAACATGCAAATCCCAGTTGAAATAGTACCAAAAACCTTTGTGTATTCTCTAGAGGAATTAGGAAGTTCACCAGATCATACAGTCAAATTGATTCAAAGTAATTTCCCTCTGGGATTATTAAAGTATTTCTGATTCTGATCTGATTCAAAGTGTTCTACCAAAGGAAAACCAGTTGATTGCATGGGCTCATTGACCCGAAGACTCCAGCAGAACCAAACTCATTGCAAACCGTCATCGGCCACACTTTTATTGGTTTGAGAAAACATTTACAGATGTTATTTGAGAATGATGATTCAAGTAAACTCGGGTTGCAACAAAGAGGGGAATAATCAGATTTATATACATTTAATCAGATAATTTACACACATTTATACCACCCCCCTCCCAAAGCCCCTGCAAGATGTTATGTTGCATCCATGTTGCTTCTCCGCTGAGGTTTTTGTAATCTCAGACTGTATCCTGCTAAGGATAAAGTGTGAAAGATGTGTTTTTTTTTATTCCCATTTTTATTACCATAATGATCCCTTTTCTTTTTTTCCCCTTAGTCCTTAGTGTAAGGGCAGCATGGTCTCGGGCATTGGTCCACCCATGTAAAATGTCTGCATTTTGTCTAGTTGGACGGCTGTAAGCGAAACGGACTTTCCCTTTGGGATTAATAAAATATTATTGGATTGAATTATCTGTCATGCCACAGATGCATTTACTTCACCTACAGAGTTGGGTAAATAGAGAAATGCTGGGGCAAAATTATTTTCCTAGCTGGACATACACAAAGTTTCATTAGAAACCAGTTTCTACAGCTTCTTTTTTTTTTTATTGCCAGAAAATAAATTTTTGCCTGCAAAACCGTTTTTTTTTTTTTATCAAATAGATAATGACACCGTACATTCCTTAAAAACAGCTTTTATAATTTGAAAAAAAAATGTGATGCACATTTCTCCTTTAAATAAACTTTCAGATTTTGTGATTTAGTTAAAGTAAGAGAAATATATCCTGAACCGTCTTCATTAACACACCAGTTAAAAAAAGGAAATTCAAATGGTGCTACAAACTCATTAAGTAGTATAGCTTACACAAAACACGGCAGACCTTTCTGCTTTTAGTATTTTGCAACTGATTCCATGACATTAAGTAACTCTTGTGGGAAACTAAACTATATGAATATTGCCACCATAAAATAACTATGAAGTAAGAGGCTCAAAAACATTTTTTATATATATTTCTGTCAGCTTAATTGATTTATTAAAGAAATGATTAACCTGTAAATCAATTACTAGAGTAGGAATTACTTAAAGCCCTGGAGTGAACAAATCTTTGCACAGTCAAATATTTTTTAGTTCATTAATTAATGGAATCACATACATTCATATTTACATGTATCAATCCTGAATGTATATCATTTTATATCTATGAACATTAGTCTTTCTGGTTTTGCTGATAATCAAAACTCTACCATGTGTGTGTAGGGTCCATTAGTGTCCAGCATAAGTACTTGTCTGTTACCATATGTCCCATGCTTCACGGTCACCTCCACTTCTTTCCCTGTTACATCAGCGGCAGCTTTCAATTCTTTCTCACACAGTGAGACAAATGAGCGGTAGAGCTGCAGCCCATCCTCTTTGCTTATGTTATTGTGGTACTGCATGGCTTTGCCTTTCGCTCTTCCACCCAGCGTGGCCTGAGGGACGATTAGCAGGCTTCCAGGAAGTTCCAACACCGAGGCCCGTTTTCCACAAGGCATCTCGCACAGCCGCAGGTTGAGCAGCGTGGACACTTGACCGATGAAAAAAAAAAACATAACATTTACACACAGAAATGTTTATATTTTAAAAGGGTTCAACGTACCCATCTTGGGCAAAATGTCCTCTGTAGCACCTTTGAAGAAACATATGTAGATCACCATTCCTCTGTCAATCTGATATTAAAGAAGAGTACAGATCTTAGCATTTAGAATAAAAAAGAAAAGACGCAATTTCAAAAAAATAAAAAGGAATCCTGGTTACTTTCTATAAACATGAAAATAATTTCAAATTCAATTTAATTGCAACATACACACATCCTATCAGGATATTATATTACTATTAACCCCACTAAGGTTATTCAAATAAATTAAACCATTTGTTTGTTTTCCAGAAAAAACAAAAGCAAACCTGTGGAAATAAGTTCAATATTCTGAGACTTAAAGTTGATTATCTGTATACCGCCCCAAGATGGCGCCACCAGATCACGTCAGCGCCCATATGTGGGGTCTGTGTCAATGGTCTGAGCTCCTGAAGCGGATCTACTGTGAGCTATGAGCCGCCAACTCAGCGGAGTTTGAATATCCAACTTCAAACTAACTACACCGCGGTAATAACGCGGTGGTTCTTCCAGATACAAACACTGCCTTGTGATAAATGGTGATACCTGGACGAACTGAGCTTCAGAGTGCTCATTCGCTTCCTGGACCTGCAGTCGGGCGTGTAAACACTGCTGTAGCACCGTCCGAGCCAGCGGTCCGCGGCTGTTTTCTGCCATTTTCCTGTTCCTTTCAATGGTCTGGTCCAGCAGCAGGCGACCATAGATAGACGACAGCTAAAACACATGCAATCCTTCTTCCTAAGTTTTTGTTTTCTTCTTCTTCTCTTTGTTAACTTCTTCTTCTTCGATCTATTGGCGGTTGGCAACAAACATTGAGTAGCATTACCGCCACCTAATGGTATGGAGTGTGGTTCGTGACGGACTACCTACTAATAAACATAATTTCTAATGAAAAAAAAATATCTACTAAATTAATCTTTTCCTTAATACATTCAAACTCTGTCCTCATATATCTTCTCTCGCTTATGGCATTCCAGTATAACATGTTCAATTGTTTCATATTTCCACAGTAGTGTGCTTTTCAATTTTGAAAAGTGTATAATTAAGTCCTGTATGCCCAAATCTTAACCTTTTTATCACTCTCCTTTCCGTTTTGTCTTCTGTATCTTCTGAATTTTATAAAACCATCTTCCTGTTTTTTCTTCATCCCACCTTTTTTGCCATTTTTCCATAAAATTTTCTTGAATAATACTCTTTCCCTCAGATTTACTTGTTTTAACTGTAAAACTAATAGGATTTTAAATTGCCCTCTTTGCCATTGTATCTGCCCTCTCGTTTTTCTTTGTTTACTGGCTAAAAAAAAAAAAAAAAAACCACCTCTTAAAAGCCACCTAATTTTAAGTAATATTACTTAAAGTTCTTTACGATGTACGATGTACCATTATGTTATGGTATGAAGATGTTATGGTCTCTGCACGGGCTTCACTCAACACTTGTTTCAAAGAATTGACCTCTGTCTGTGGTGGCGTGGAGAGACATACAAAAACACAAATGTAACGTCCGTCAGAGCAGGGGATCCAATAAAATCAATTACAGATTGAGCGGCATTAATCCGCAGATCATTAAATATTTATAGAGAGAGGGTTCTCAGACAGCATATAGATGTCCTTTATATTCAGTTATCTTTGAGCACTAGTTTAACCTCACCATCCATCACATACATCCACGACCTCATCCCTCCCCGCATTTGCAACATTTATTTCTTAAGGTATTAAGTAATTAATATCGGTGTGAAAACATTGATGTGTAGTAACGGCATTATAAAAAAACAACTGCATAGTCAGACGACAAATTATTTACTGTGTAATGGAAGAGTGATATAAAATGAGGAGGAACCCCTTGAGATGATGCACAGGTCCATATATATATATATATATATATATATATATATATATATATATATATATATATATATATATATATATATATATATATATATATATATATATATATATATATATATGTGTATATATGTGTGTGTGTGTGTGTGTGTGTGTGTGTGTGTGTGTGTGTGTGTGTGTGTGTGTGTGTGTGTGTGTGTGTGTGTGTGTGTGTGTATACAGAAATAAAACCAGTAGGACCATCAGAAACTGGCAGGGTGACGATAACTTAAAGATAAATTAGAAATTATTAGGGCAATGTGATTAAGCATTTATTATGTTGGGTTCAGTTAAACAGTTTGGAAAAATGTTTTTTTTTATTTCAATTTATTTATTTATTTCTGGGGTTGAGTCGTTTCCTGTTTCCTTGCTTTACTCCTTATCAGTCGGTGGCGGTAATGCCCTTTGAACTAGTTTACCAACTGCCATAAAACCTCACAAGAAAGAGATGGCAACGTATCAGTAACCACACTCCATACCAGTCGGTGGCAGTAAGCGCACATTCAGGCGCAACAAGAAGAGAATGTTTACATTTTCCGCTTCCGGTGGCGCTCAGCCAGATCCGGGGAAAGGTTTACAAGTATTTAGTTGAGATCTACACTGACAAAGGAAATCTCGATTTCTTTAAAGTATTCATATCTTTTTTTTTTTGTTGTTCGTTAGTCTAGAATAGTTTTTGTTTCCAGCAGGAATGGATTCGTATAGAAAACACATCAAATCAGACTGCGACGCTTTGCTAAATCGGTTCCAACAAACCCAGTCGATCCGCTTCGAGGTTTTCTCTCAAATTTGGAAGGAAATGAAGTTTTCTCTGATCTTCAGGTAATTCTATGTCATATACTTAAATGTATGGTTTGATATTATCTAACGTTCACCTTTTAATGGATCCTGTTTGTATAAAAAACGTCTGCAAACTTATGCCTGTCGTCAAAACGTTATTTTTGATACGTTTAAGCTAAGTTGGTCGGAATTTAGCCATTCTCAAAATATGATTTTGATAAAAATTATTATTTTGGCAGAAAGCTGCCTTTGCCTTTTGTTTCTAGTAGTGAAGGGTCCAGTAACACCGATGCATCTGTGCATGCGTAAAGCCCATAGAGCAAAACGCTTCTTCTTTGTTAGATTGGCGGATTGCAAACAGCTTATATGTGCACACCGCCACCTACTGTACACGAGTGTGTACCTACTGTATTCTATTTTTTATTTTTGTTTTATGTAAAAATAAAAACAATACTTTATTAATAACCAAATTTTCCTCCGTATCTCCATCTGTCCCTACAATTCCTTTAATATTCCATTCTCTCAGTTTTTCCATAATTACTTTCCACATCCTCTCTCTTTCAGATACATATTTAATGCAATCCATCAAAACATGATCCACATTTTCTTTTCTTTCACAACCCTCACATATATCATTATTTATCTTCCCTGGTATAAACAGAGCAAAACACTGTGTAGTTTCAAGAAAGTCATGTGACCAATTCTGATTGAGTCACTAAACTGTGTTTAAAAACGTATCTGTCAACATGATGCATCTGCTAAAAAAATTGTCTCATCTTTTGCGGTTTATCAATAAATTTTGGAGCAGCCAAAAGGGAATAGGAAGGTTTCAACCATTAACTTTATTTAAATTTTCTAGCTGTGTCATATTTTCCTCTTTGTTATCTCTCAGCTTGTCTAATTTCAAATTGAATCTCAGTTTATTTACCGTTTTTACCGTAATTACTGCTTTAAAAATATGACTTAAAATCCTAGTCCACAATCATCCTCATTCATATTTTCACCTAGATTTTCACATATGTTTACATTATTTATTGGCTGAATCCGAATTTAAACATAGGTATGAAATAATATAACCCACAGTAACTGTAATTATATCATTGTACTAGGTCATCAAATCAATTAAGTTTAGTCTGTCCATTCAGCTGCCTGTAGTGTCTCTAAATGTCCAGCAGGTGTCAGTATTTGGCTTCATGATGCCTCATTAACCATCACTAGTTTCTATCATTGGTGGTACTTTATGATTTATGACTCTATGATTTTATTATTTTACAGCGGCACACCAAACCACAAAAAGCGGTTGCTCTTTCGCCTGGCCCTGAACGTTGCATACAGCTACTTCCTGCCGCCGTTTAGTTTCCAGATCCGTGTGGGTGGGCTCTACTTGCTTTACAGCTTTTACCATTGCCAGACTGGCCCCGCTTTTGAACGGGTAAGCACCGGCGTGCACATTCCTACTGTCAGGGTATCACCCGTTTAATGTTTCACATCTCTAACTGCAGATTTGTGTGGCTTTGAAGGACTTCGACGATATAAAGCATTTTGAGAAAGAAGCAGTGGACGCTCAGCACTTTGATGTTGTCTACGTCTTAAAACGGCTAATGAATTGTAAAGCTTTCCACTTCACTGCTATGCCAACTCATGTGAGCCCTGTTATCCAAATCTTTACTGGGGGTTTAAAGGGGTCCAATTTATAATTAGACATCCTGTGCAATTATTGCTCTGACTCTCTTTTTTTTTAAAATCTTTTTGGCTCTATTCAGCTTATATATAGAACAAAGAGGAGTATGGAGAAGTCAGCGTTGTGTGAGCAGTTCATAGAACGAGCATCTCGTCCACAGGAACTAATCCATACTCATCTACTCGAGGTGAGCTAAAAGTAACCAATCATTCATGTCTTCCAAAGACAAACTTTTATTGAATCCGTTTTGATGCTTTTGCAGGAAATGGCAAACGTTGATGAGCTGTACAAAAACATGAAGGCTTCCTGCACAGCTGAGATGTCAACACGAGAAAGTACCTCTGTTAACCTGATCCGACCTGAAATAGTCTCTCAGCTCTTCAGTACTGCGTTGGATTTCTACAACTGGCAACAAGAAAGGGTAAGACGTTTGCTTTAATACTTCTAAATATTCTATATACCTCTGAAATTCAGACTGATTACAGAATTGACAATTTTGACATTTATTCTTTTGATCTCTTTTGCAGATTACTATTACTTTTTAAAAAGTCTGTAAATATATACAAGTAGGCCTGTATATACATATAGTTACATGTTACATATATTTTTATTTTTAGTGTGGAAAGTTGTATTGCATTTGTTAGTCTTGTATTTTATTTCTTTAGATGATGAATGTGTGTAATATGTTATTTGTATACTTGGACCGTGTAATGAAGATAATTTAACCCTGGGATCATTAAAGTATTTCTGATTCTTATTAACTTTTTCTTGCTTATGACTTTCCACATCTTTTAACGTTTACTGTTTGTTTTTGGTTGCCGTTTGTCGTAAAAGGAGACGACTGATGAAGACAAAAACAGCCCAGAGAAGTTTTCGTCTCAACAGGAGGTATGTTTTCCCATTCCTCGTACGCTTTAATTTAATTGCCGGAAGAGCAACAATCTGCACATAAACAAGTAGCAGAACTCTGAGATTTTAAAACTCAATATATTGAGATATTTCACCTCACAGATCAGAGCAACGTTCTACTATATTAAAATGTAAATTGTTTTAGTTAAAAAATTTGACCAAGAAAGCTGAACTGTCTCAAAAGATAAAAGGTTTTATAATACTTTATGTGAATATAGACAAGCTAAATTTTAAGTGCTAAACCAAAGGAATCAGAAATGTATCTCCTTTCACTGTAAAGCTAAGGTTAGGATTATTACAGTTGTGCTGCTGACTGACTGCTTGGTGTCTTCAGTCTTCCAACAGAGCCAGGCTCCTGGCATCCATCAAATCAAAGGCTTTTGGAGAAGCATCAGAGGTGTGTAACACACAGCATTTTCTGGCCTTTAATATTTTGTTAAATACATGTTTTTTTGCCTTGACACTTTTATGCATAATTTTACCTGCATTTTGCTTGCTGTGTTTTTTCATATTTATGATGCCAAAGTCTAATACATCCTTCTTTTTAGACTTCAAAGTCACGCCGCCATCGTCCGGTTGAGAGGGATTTGACTGCTGAAGAGGGGGGATCCTTTTTAAGGCCCCGTAATCCCAGAGTAATTAAACCATCTCTCAGAAAAAGGACTACTGACCAACTCTACGTGACAGGTAAATTCTTTTACTGTCTTACAAAATATAATTAAAGGAAAAGTCCGGGCAGCAAGGAATAATCAATGGATCAACAGCTATGCCTAAAACTAATGTTTGTGGTGATTTAATGAACTTAACGTTAAATCACCCGAAAATAAAAATTATATTTTTCGTTGCGATCACGGAGCCCGGGAGCGGCCATTTTTACTCAAATATAGTAACACCTCACTCCTGACATCTTCCGGCAGTGACGTCACGGTGCGGTAAGCCTAGCGCCATTCTCCCCGCTTTACAAGCAAAATCAATGGGAACTACTAGACACATCTGCAATCAAAAACAATTATTGAAGATTTCCAGAGGACTTCACCACTGAATTTCACCAGAGCTATAGTTAAACTGACCATGTCCTTAGGCATGGCAGTTATCTGTTGGAATACATCTTTTAAAAGAGAAAAAAAAGATGAGTTCTTTCACCTTTCCAATTCCTGATCCTCCACGGACGGGTTCGTCGTTAGATTGCCAACTTGAAGAGGGAGGATTTGCCATCGAACTTTTGGCCAGAGGAAAAAACATGTAATTTGTAGTCAACATTTCGAAGAAGAATGTTTTCAAGATGACTTGGATAATAGCGGGTTGTGACAAACACCAGATACAGCAGTGGGACTTGATCAACAGCTGATACGGCAGTAGTGTTCTTTGACAAACATGGATGCCTTCAGTAAAGCACATTTAAATTAAAATTACTCTTAATTAAAAACACTTATCATTTATCGAACAGTATGTAATAATTTAATATTTAACGTACTTTCAGAAGTTTGAATTCTAAATATGAGCAGACTTTTCCTTTAAATGGGTTCAGTTTTGAATTCAGCTCTTTGTCCAACTTAGGACACTTACGGACTCCAAATAGGCCTCAACAGAAATTCCACCAAGTATACCAACTATAAGCACTGCAGTTTTGTCCCGCAAGAAGTTGTGAACAGTATAATCACTGTAACAATTGATCTGCCATATAGAAATGTTCGTTATAAAACTGTATTTCACAAAGACTTATCTGACTCATATGCATTAGTCTTCCTACATCAAGGTCTACAAGACCAGACTTTCCCTTCTTTGCTGTAAAATCCACACACACTGTTGAAAACTAAGCAATTATTTTTAGAGGCGTGCATTAGTGCATTAGCCACTATTGCAATTTACTCTGAGCTCAAAACAAAAAAAGGTTCACTAATCGTGTGTTCAGACCGAACGACATGTTCGTGGTGATTTGCGGTGAGCTCAAGGACAGTTCACCACTCTGCATTTTAGATGCACAGTCTTTGCAACCTGGACTGCATCATCAAATAGGAGGATCGTCAGCTATGTGAAGCTGACTCCCCATTTCTGTGGAAAAAACTCAAATAGATTGAATTTTTATTGCTTTTTAGTGCAGGTTTTTAAATTTAAAATTCATTTGTAAAAATTAAATAAAAAGATCATGTGTGCTGCTGTTATTTGAGAGATATTAAAGATTATTTTTTGTGTCAATCAGGCCAACTATCCCCCATTAGGCTCCCAATTTAATCCAAATTATCTAGCTTACTTTTTCAGTGCTACTTGAAAAACAGTTCTTCGTGCTGATTTGGTTTTTAAGATTATTTCTAATTTTGGCCGATGACGTCGCCATCCCAGCTAATGTCAGCGCTGCGCTTGTTCCTGATATAACGTTATTGCTTAACATTGCCTGTGATTCCTGTACTGGTAATTAATTAATATAACAGTGGGCATGTTTACCTTACTTAGTGGCTGGAATGATTGTTTAATATTTAGTCAATCACCAGCCTCCCATACCCTCTGCTTTTGAGCTGCTGATACTCCTGTCAAGGTCTCGCTGTCAGCATTTCACAATAAAAGCACAAGTGAAACTTAACATAACAGACAGCTGCAAAATGTTTTTCTATGAACAACTTTTCAAGTTGGGAAAAAGACTCAAATGTTCTGGATGAACTTTCATACATCCAGATGACCGGTTTGTCTGGATGACAGCCAGATTTTGCGGGACTTCCTTGTAAATCTACCCCCGCTGAAAGAACCAATTCTGGGAAGTGAGGGTGATGAGTTTAGGATGACGAATGGTCCCTCTAGGACTAAATTAGAACCTTTTTTTGTATTCCATTTTAAATGAAAAAAGCTTTTCCTACATTCAGTTCAGCTTGTTTCAACTTCAGTGATCACTGCATCTCTCCAGGCGGTGCTGATGTTTGACAACAGCCCAGCTCTATTTAGTAGCACAAGGTGAGGGAGGAGCAGTGAATGTTTCCGCCTCATGGGACTCGCCGCTGGCTGCTTCTCCGTGCGGCTTGTGTAGGAATTCAAGGTCAATCCACCGCACTCGTTGCTGACACCTTGTCCGGTCTGAATGAACCGTTTGAGTACCAAAAGCCCTTCACAGATTCTGAGTGTTTTTTTAGTAGTCTTTGAAATATTTTAGGATGGGAATAAAAAGTATCAACACAGACCAAATTCTCCTCGTCCACAATGGCATGTACACTGTGCCATTGCTAAAGCTATAGTATTCTTAGAGGTCATAACTCAAGCGATACAACTAAGATCCTTGAGCTGTGCATGTGGTAAGGACATGGTTATTCAAAGTTATATAAATGCAAACTATGAAGGACTGTCTTTTGTAAAGGAACAGGAGACATTGAGGGTTAAGGCCCCTGCCCAAAAATGCAAAAAATAGTTTAAGTCCAGTAACAGGGTTCCTACAGCATAAGGCAAGTTAAATTCAAGACTTTTTAAGACTTTTTAAAGCCACCTGAAATAAAAATTTAAGACCAAATTCACAAGAAACACAAGAAAAACCTGCTTGCGACAACTTAACCCAAAGGTTTATCTTAACATAAACCATTGCACTAATGTTTCAAATTTTGAAAAGCTTCCCATACAGGAAGAAAGCTAAAAACACACAAATGACGGATATATTTTAACAATTATTTAACTGAATTCACAAACTTTGTTTTAGCAGGGAACAAAACAAATCAGTTTTAAAGCCACAACATAACCAGTGCTAAGTCTTTTTTGCAGCTATTTTTCTTTGTATTGTTTTCTTAGCATGTTTGATTTGGTGATAAGTGGAGGCGTTGCAGAGACAAGGGTGGAACAAAACTGAGAAATAGCGGCTGTTTCTGGATAACTCGACTTTGACGCTTTGTGTTTCGTGCTTCGCATGTGCGACTCCACTGCCTTAATTCCCATCGTTTTGAGCTTGAATGACTTCTTGCACAAAATAGACTGTGCCTCATGTAAGTTCCCTGGTACTGGTTTTAGACATGGAGAAAACTCTTGACTGGAGCCAATTTTCGTTACATTTACACTTGCTCATATTTTCCAGACAAAAAGTAAATGGTGCATCTCCCAAATGTCCCGGCCGCAACAACGCTTTTATTGGTTCCGCTGTCGGGACGGAACCAATAATGGCGAGCCGTTATTTTATTTTTTTTTTAAATATTAAAAAATGTTTTATTTAGATAACAAAAATAATGCCATTTATGATGTTTTAAAAAATAAGACCTAGGAAAGACTAATTTAAGACATTTTAATACCAATTAAGGCCTTATTTTTATTTTGAAGAATTCAATGCCTTTTAAGACTTAAGGACCTGCGGGAACCCTGAGTAAGACTCATAAGAACTTATGTGATTAAAAGTAAAAAAAAACAGCTTAATGTGACAATATTGAATACTTTCATGACTGAATATTTCATAGCCATCAACTTTCATTTATCAGGGTGGATATTGAAAAGAAAGGACCCTTGATAACTGATCAAAATGTTCTTTTATCCTCTTTGGCTTTTTTCCCCAAGGTGATCTCGCTAGAGAAGTTCAAAGGCCAACTTTCATAAACCAGCTTTGTTCCCTGGACCCCTCCTTTGAAGGTGATTCATCATAATGTTCATGTCCTAAACTTTATTATGTTTATACTGTCTGAATTATTTCTCCTTACTTGTACTTTTTTTTTGTTACAGAAAAACAGAAAAACGACAAAAAAATCAAGTGAACACTTCAAAGTCTTACCAAAGTTTTATTGTTTTGAAAGTTCAGTTATGCTGAATAAATTTTTTGTACATGAAATGGTCAGGATGCTTTTCTTTTATCTCTATTTGGTAGTTAATGTTGTTTACAATCATCTTAACCATTTATCTTTACATTTTCCCACAAAATAAACTTTTTAACAAAGCTTTCTAACAGTCATGTACAACCGTAAAGTAACATTCTTGCATAACTAAATAGAAAGAGTAGCGTGGGGTTAAGGGTCTTGCTCAGGGACCCAGAGTGGTAGTCTGTGGGAGTGGGGCTTGAACTCAGAATCTGGGTCCCAAGCTTTAAGCCCTAACCACTAGGCTGCCACTCCCCCACATCAGATTTATCACTAGTGATTGGTCGAACAACACAGATGCGTCGTTGTGTGGTCTTCATTAAAGTCTCAGTCTACACAATGCCATGTAAATATGAAATTAAAGTTTATTTCATATTTACTCTTAGTTTATTTACTGTTTTTGGTGTACTTATTGTTTTCAAATTATAATTTAAAAACCTAGTCCTCAATCATCCTCATTTTCAATTTCCCCTCAATTTTTATGTACCGTAATGATATATGTTGACATTATTTATTGGCAAATCTAAAACTATCAAAGATATTTTCAAATTAAACATAGATTTGAAATAATATAACCTACAATAACTTAAATTCTATCATTGCACTAGGTCATTAAATAGATTCAGTTTAGTCTGTCCAATAAGCTGCCTGTAATGTCTTTAAATGTCCAGCAGGTGTCAGTATTGTGAGACAGTGTCAACCCAGCATCAATACAGGTTTGCATCGATTGCATTGATTCCTCATTAACCCATCACTATTTATCACTATACTAAATCAAAACTGCCCGTTTGTTGACCACTTCAGGTTCAAAAGGGTTTACTGAATTCGATTTTTGCTATTGGCTCAGCCTGGGTCAGATGTCAGCAGCTCTACCCTAAGCAGCAGGGGTTCACTTAGGGACGGACCAATTAAATGATTTTGATATGAATGAAAATCCGTTATTTTCAATTTTAAAGGTAAATGCAATAAACTAGATGAAAACATTAAGTACTTAGAGATTTACCTGTGTTAACCCCTATTCTCTGAATAGTTCTCAAAAAAACAAATCCCAAACAAAAATTGTTTTATTTTATCCAGTTAGGGTGTTTAGTGTACAACGTAGACTCATGATCACAATCATTAAACCCATATTAACAATCATATTAAACCCCAAACCTAAAAGGATTGCATTCCTCAATAAACTCCTTTTAGGAAAATAGAATAATGTATGTTCCTCTTCTAATTTTAGAACTTTTGAATGGATACTGTAAGCAACATAGAGCATAAATTAAATTCTATTTTCATTTAAACATGTTAAACATATCAAGAGATGGTTTTATCTTGCTAACAAAGGGAATAACTATCTGAAGAAAAACACATCTTTGTGAGTGAAAAAAATTATAGCTTTAAAACATTACCTGTCAGGAGAAATCACTGAACTGTTTTGTGTGCAATAAAACCTAAGGTCCTAATGAGGTCCTTTAATGTTTTTGACTTGGTTAGCTTTGTTAGAATAAGACCTTCCTTAAGGTTGTGTTCCGCAGAAAAAAGTCCAACCTGAAACAATCCAGTGCACTGCTCAAAAAGCACTCTGCCACCACCTTATCGCTTGTTCCCATTTCCACCCAACTGGAACAAAGGAGAACAAATCTGAGAACATTTCCTCCAGTGGGATCTACTTTGGAGTCCAGAGCCGGTTGGGAATGAAAAGACGGTTGAAGGATGCTGCTAGTATCCATCGTCGTATTCTCCATCACAACCATAACCTGGAGGGTGAAAGAGGATTTTTTCTTACTTATCGAGTCTATTTGCACATATGAGGTTAGACCTGACATAAGGACAGTGTTAGACATGCAGTGCCTTTTTTTTCTGGAGGAGCCTGTAGAAACTGGAGAGCAAATATTCCATTCAATTAAATATAAATGTATGAGCTGGCTTTATAAATGCGGTAGGCCAGACAGGCAGTAAGAGCAACTGCTGGGCATCAACCTGGGAATTGTTTGTGACTGAAGAAACTTCTTGTCTTGAAGAGGAAGAGGCATATTAGAAGCACGGTGCAACAACTTCCAGGGTGAGAATCTTTAAGATGAGAGCCAAAAGAAGAACAGTGAGCTGAAGGTATATGACGGTGATAAGGAGAACGTTGTCCGTTCTTCAGACAAAAAGTGATGGCAGACTTATTTATTTATATATTTTTTTCAAATTAGTTAGATAATCTAATTTCAAAAGTGAAAATTTGGAACACGCAACCATCTTGGCTTCAGGTTTATGGAAGATCATGGGTGAGATCAAGTTTGTGCTCAGAATAAATACTGGGTGTTCAGCTCCCTCCAGCCAAAGCTTCCATTCCTTAAGTCCCTATGTTTTAGCTAAGAGCTCATCATTGATAACTTTTTACTTATTGTTGGTGTGAAAAAGACGTGCTCCTTCTCGCACCACTGTATACCGTCACGATGTCACGATGATGTCAATCTATGATTAAAGTTTGCATATTATGTTAAATTTCTATTATAAGCATTTTGTAACCGTCATACATGTCCTAAATCCTAGGTTCACAAATGAAAAAAACATTTCAAGTCTGTCACCTGCTTTTCTACACCTCTTAGCTAAGGCCTGCATGCCCTTTATGATATCATAAGGGAAAATAATCAGTCCCCTAGCTATCTGAGCCCACTTTCTAGCAGGCGCCATCTTTCTATTCAGATACAGAGCATCCAAAGAGACATTGCTTACCTAAGAGCTAAGGTGCTCTGTTAATTTCTGCATCAACCGGGTCAGACTGGAGGATTTTTTTCAGGCCAGGACATGACTGACTGACACTGATTTCTTAGGTAGTAAAATAAAATAGGGCTGGGATCTGTTTTGCTTTCTGAAACATTAAACAAGCTTTTATCAACCAAAAAGTAAGTTTTTCCTTATGTGTTTGAGTTTAAATTTATTTTTGAAACACACTCAAACCAAGCAAAGGAACAGACTAGATGTAGAGAACAGCGTGGGATCGGTGGTTTTTCTCACAGCTAACGGAGCTCATGAAAGCGGCACAGGTGTTTTGATGAAAACCCAAGTAATACAAATTAAGTTAGTCCGACTATAATTTTTGTTCTGCATTTTGTTCCCAATTCTTTAAGTTTAAATGTGATTATAAGGGAGTTACGTAGAGGAGCTGCTGTCCTGAGCTGAATAAATCTGGTATTTTCTGCATTTGGCCATGTCCTCCTCCAGCACCTTTCTGTATTTGGCTCTCTGCCTCTTTGCACCGCCTTTTCTCTTCCTTTTATCACATTCGTAGACCGAGTCCATTACTTCTTATCCTCACTCGCACCGCTTGCTAGCTACACACACCACAGCAGCCACTGTTCTGCCAGATCGGCATACCCCCGTCTGACCAAGTCAATACACATGCACAAGACATTAGATTTGCATTTATCCCTTTAGTTTTGTATGGAAAATAGACTTTAAATTACCTTGACGGGCATGTATCCCTTTAATCGCATACAAATTAAAAATTAAAGGTCAGATCAACATAGGCTGCAAAAAAAACAGCCAAAAGTAAGCAATTAGTTTTTTGTACACGACTAAAGGGATAGATGCCCATTGAGGTGGTTTAAAGTGTATTTCTCGTACAAAATTAAAAGGATAAATTAAAGGGATAAACTAAAGAGATAAAACGGGTATCGACTATGAGTATTTTGGTCTGCACCAGACAAACGTCAGACAGGGCGGGTTTTAATTGAAATAAACCAATTGTCTTTCCCGCCTCACATGCTACTGGCCAAAGTGGCCTGGCCTGCCTCTCTGACAGGAGCATCACAGCTGCACTGGAAGACTTTACAAAAAAAAAAAAAAAAAAGAGCGAGACAGAGAGAGATAGACATATGCCAGCAGGCTAATCCCAGGCCGGCGCCTTGGCAATACTCCCGGTTCTCCCTATGGTCAGCCCAGGTATGGCATCAACAAGACAAAAGTCTTTATAACAGCCTTCAGCTGAGTCCCTACAGACTCAGCTGATGGTAACCTACCTGCAAAACTTTCGAAGGTTTTGAGTGTGTGTGCTGAGCATTTGAAAGACAATTGCCGACACAACATTAGTGCTAACAAATCAGGCTTCATTTAAGAGAGGATTGATACTCTTAGTTACAAGGCTTTAAAGAGCTGGGAGTAACATTGTTGTGTTGAGCTGCTTAGCCTGACAGCCTGTAAACATGTTAGCACTTCAGCTAACGTTTGTGTCCTTGGCTGTCTCCCTAATCTGAGAGGAATTTTCTTGCACAAATTGCAAAAACATGCTCTGGGTGCCTAATTTTTTTATACAATGTTTTTATTTCAAATGTATCATAATGTGAGAAGTTTGATATGAAGTGAAACTGAATGTCAGAGGAATTCTGATGCAGTCTGACCATCTGTTTTACCATTGTGTTGTAAATAAAGTAATGTTTGCAAGTTTGAGGCCACATTCTGCGTATGCGTGCTTTATAAACTACACCCCTCGACATTCAGCTGAATACAACGCACTACTCATTTAATGTTTGAGAATTTTGGTTTGGTTCCATTTGCCTTGAAATGACAGTTTTAGTGGAACGGTTAAATATAAATAAATGTTAAAATAAGAGAGAAGATGTTTGCATGTCACAACTGACCGTCACCACCAAGCAGCTCCATAGCACTAACACAGGGCTCCTCTTCATCCTCCTCTTCTTCAACATCGTCATAGATCACGGGGCCATGTTCCACAACAACTTCGCTGGGATGGGCTACTTCGGTCACTGTTGGGGAGCTGGTGGCTTCAGTCTGAGGAAATATAGAATTAACAATGTTTATGTGCAGGGAAGCTAATTGTGTTACTATTTTTAATTAAGGTTTGTAGCACACCATTAGGGTGATTTTTAAGAATAGACCGAAAAACTGCACCTCCCAGCATTTATTGCAAGTCTGACATTACAGCATGAGGACAGAACATTTCAGGTTTATTTAAAATGGAAAATTCTGACCCTCACTACCCCAAGATACAATTCAAAGATGTGCTCTATCAGCAACATTAGAAAGATGGAATGTCATGAAAAGACTTTTTTAATTATCGTCAAAAAATAAAACTTGTGTATAACATCTAATGACCCCTCCCCCCTGTCCTCAATTTTACAAGGACCCCGACACACTGGGCTGTTCAGCCATTCTTCATGGACATTTTTAACACCTGAGAGGAGACATGCCATGTGCCAGCCTGCGCCAAGACATTCACCATCATCCCTGACTTGGAAAAAAAAAAACAAGGACAACAGATTACCCCTAAGATCATTTGCCCAAACCTCTACTACATACTGCAGTTTCTGGACTTCCCAGGATCCTTTACCATGATCATATTAATGGATTAAAGATCTGCGTTCTGCAGCAGCAGCAGCATCATCACCACAGTCCTGTTGCAGGACAAGCTCTCCGTACTGAACATGCCCCACTTCACCTGCAGGTGGATTTCAGACTTCCTGATGGACAAGAAGCAGCTGGGAAAATGGATCTCTGAGTCCAGGAGCACAAGAACTGGTCCCTGTTCTGCTGCTGTTGGCACACCAATCCATTGGAGCAACACTATGAGACTACATGGCACCAGACACCATCACTGAACAAGGAAACTTCACACTAGACTTCAAGCAACAGAAATCTGTGCCTCTCTGGTCTTCCTCAAGACTCTGGGACCTCGATCTCCAAATAAATTCTGTTTACTCTCAAAGGTCACTGCATGTAAATATTCTACTATGACAGTATGACTTTCCAGAATATCTGTCAAAGAAAATTGTACTTGTCAGCAGTTAAATTTTTTTTTTTTAGAGGAACCTGTATTATTTGTAAAAACAGAAGGCAAACTGTCAATGATGGATCATTCTGTAACCGTGTCTTATTGCAAAACATATTTATCTTAACTCAAAGCATTTTATTTTTTAGAGTGTCCATCATTGTTGTACCGTAATATCAAGAAAAAAATATGGAAAACCTTTTCTACTGAAGAAGAAGGGGAAGGTAAAAGGGATTCACTGTCACTGCAGTTTTTCAGCATAGGTAAAGGAGTTTTTTCCCCCTCACCAACAGGGCTGGGCTTTTTCACTCCACATAATGGGACAAATTGAGCTACACAATCAATCTGGCTCATTCCAGGTGAACAAAGACCCATATTCTGGCAAAAGCTCTGTTGAGGAAATGGGATTGTCCGATCATCAAAATGTGTTCTAGTCCTTCAATTTGTTGTAGGGAAATGGTTTAATAACGAGCTGCCTTGCTAAAGTAAAGCTGAAGAGTAAAAGAACAGTAAACTCACCTTCTCAACAGCCAGTTTCTTGTTGGGCTGTTTGGAAATGAATGGCTGCAATCTGTAACAAAAGCAAATATTTGTTTGCGTTTCTTTAGAACTGCTCATCCAGCTACCTCTCCCTTTATTCTACATTACAGTTGTGTGCACTGACTTCCCACTGTAACACTTAAGACTGAATGAGGATGCCGTGGGTCTAGCTGGTCAGCGTCTCCCATTTTCCGACACTTGGGGCCATGAGTATTGCTCTATGGACTGTAAATCAGCATATTAGACAGTCATTATGGGCAGGAAATCTTTCTGATCACTCTAATTCACCCATTAATAATGTCCTCTTGTAATGCCAGTTCATCTATTCTGCTGCATTATGTACAAGTGGAACAATGGTATCGTATTGTTTAGATTAATCAGTCTGACTGGCTCAGATCATCTCAGGTAAACATCACCCGGATGATCAAGGGGAAGACAAATGTCAATATTCTAAATATTTACAAGATGCCGATGTAAGATTCAAGTCTGCTTATAAGTCTCCTCATATTCTTTAGACAAGCCCTTATGTATAGTTATACTCAGCAGCACAACCATAAATAACTTTGAGGATTATTATACTTTAGACGTCATTCTCTTTAATGTTAACCTGTAGCATAACAATTCTTTACCAAAACCATTTCACACACTAGCTACGTTTACATGGACACAACTAATCGGATTGAAGGCCTGATCAGATCAAAAATGTTTCATGTAAACATGTCAGACTGAAGATTCTAATCCGATTCGGTCCGATCGGATCTAAATTTAATTCCGAATGAGAGAGGTGGTTTTTGCCGATCGCCATTCTGATTGGCGTCCATGTAAACACCCATTCGGATCTTAAGAGTAAAATAATCTTCACTGCGCATGTGTGTGACGTCAGCGTGACGTTTTTCCGCCTTGTCAACAACAGGAAACCACCGGTCGCTCTCGCTCTCGCTGTGAACAACATGGCGGGAGGAGTCTAGGAACGCCGACTTATACACTCAAGTTCATTTAAAGCTGCAGGAAGCAGGAATTTATCCTCTTCCTCTTTTCTCTCTCCACAGCCCACTCGCTCTCCCACGCCGGTTCAATCGCTCATTCTCTACATTTTCTCTCGTACATTTCGCTGCCAAGCGCTTTTTTCCTCCTCTCTCCTTTTTTCTTTCCGCTCGCTCCGAGCGCATCGTTTGTCAGGCCTCCCAAAAACCAGACGCAGACAGAACTGCCAAGTTTGGCAGGAAGTTCTGCGCATGCTTAAAAGATTTAATCTGATCCAACGCTTGTTATACACACGTCATGATCGGATCATTTCATTTAGTGTCCATGTAAACGGAGATTTTGAATTTCCGATCAACCAAGGTTTGGATCGGATCGGGGAAATTTTGCGCATGTAAACGTAGCTACTGAATCAACACACTCATAATTAAAACAGGCAAGTTTGCCAATTATAAAACCCCATTCAATTCTGAGAGGATTTTAACCCCAAGCTCTAACGTCATAACCTGACAACAGCCAGATGCATGTCTCGCTCCGCCCAGCTCCACTCACATACATCTGGGAACCCGCCATAGGAATTGCCTTTACTGAAGGCTGGGCCTTATCAAAACTCCTTGCATATGATTGGATAAGCCACTTGTCTGTCATCTTTATTGACGTGCTATTTAAACCACTCACACCGAAGCTAACCCGTGACGCTGTGAGAGGAGGAGCCATTTGGTAGATCAAGCTCTTGCCAAATCCGGTCGGGAGAAGGGCGAAAACATCGTTTCCACCAACAAAAGCCTTCAAAGCCGTTCTCTGATGTTCTTTTGATGAAACAATATCAGATAGATTGGACAACACAGAAGAAATAGCAGCATCAATGCTAACGCTTGCTTCCTCAATGCGAGCCGCCATTGTTGTTGGAATCTCACGGTCGCTTCTCCACTCCAGGACACACCCACCCTGCGTCCTGATTGGACAGACCATAAATTCGGTTGGGGAAATCACTTTCAATGAGCGGGTTCCCAGATGTATGTGAGTGGAGCTGGGCGGAGCGAGACATGCATCTGGCTGTTGTCAGGTTACTAACGTCAGGGCTCCAACATGGTGGTGATGCAGGGATTGAGGATGTGAACGATGCACTGACCACTCAGTCCTAGATGTGGCCTTTAAGGTTTGAGTTGCAGCCTGTAGACCTTCGCTGCATGTCGTCCCTCTTTCTACAATCCCATTTCCTGTGTCTACCGTCCAACCAAAAAAAAAAAAACATTGATTACCACATCCTACCGTTTTCCAAGAGTGCTTAGTGGCGTGCTAAGGCTCAGTGGGGTTCGGGTGGGAGCAGGCCTTCGGTTGGAGCCAGCTGTTCTGGTGGCTGACTGCTTCAGCTTTGGTGACTCTGCCTCACTAGCTTGGCTGGGGCTAGGCTTTACATTAAGGTCCTTTAACACATCATAGTTGATCTTGGTTGATATTTTCTTCTGCTCCAACATCTTTTCAATGGCCTCATCAGCTGTTTTGGCTCTAATGGTGGTGTTCCTTCTAGATTGACTTCTTGGCTGTTTTAAACATAGAGGATGTACACAATGAAGTAAAACGTCACATCGTGTGAAACGTTATAACAATTAATCAATACTAATGAAAAAAACTTGTCTAAAAGACGTGTAAAGTTAAACAAATAGCAGATATGTGGAAATTAAACATTTTCCCATTTTGATATGTAATATCCACAAACATGTATATATCTTAGAAAGTTTTAAACTTTAAAACAATAATTAATGGTTTTTAGAAGCGTTTACAAACAAAAATATCTTATGGTCCTGTTTTTTTTTTTTTTTCCACTAATCTCGTCTATAGTATTTATCACAAAAAAAAACTAGTGCAACAGACTAGATTAATTCAGTTTCCGTTGTTTTTTTTACAAAAGGTTTGACCTTTAATTTCAAATTTATCCTATTTTTTTTTGCCACTTTGGGACTTTGAATGTTAAATGAAATATAAAAATATAAGAGCAATATTTTTAAATATGTCAAGCATTCATGCCATCCATCTTTTTTTTAATCTTTGGAGCAAAGGCTCCTGTATGCAAGAGCATACAGGTAGCATGTACATTTGGGTAGCAACATCAGAGCAAGGGACTTGGAAAAAAAGTCAACAAGCACTAAAACTAGTTTCTTTGAGACTCTGGAAATTATTGAGTAGAAAAGAATTGTTCATAAAATGAAAGACGATCATCATCACTAGGTAATAAAGCAATGTCTGGATGCTTCTTCAGACTAGAGGTAATACTAACTGCTAAAGGAAGTCATTTCTGCCCACGGCTCTCAGTATCCAGAGCAACTCTTTGAAAATCCGCTACACTATAATACTGGGTTAGTTATGCTGCTATAGGCTTAGACTTCTGGAGGACATGGGGACCCCTTTTACATCATTCTGCTTTATTCAGAATCAAAAGGACGTGTTCTTTGTTTGGCATATCCTTTTACTGAGAGCCTTCGGGATTTATCCCGTTAAAGTGTTTATCAAAATGAGACCTCATTTCTAAAGTACTTTAAACTATTGCATATTTTATCACCATCTTTGTCGCGATGGTTACCTTAAATCAGCAGGCACAATTAAAAGTGTCCTAAAGTGTAAGGATAATTCGTTTGAAGTCATGCAGACCTGTCTTTCAAACTAGAAGACCATAGTGAGCATTTGGGTTTTTGAGATTTGAAAAGAATGTCAAATTTTAAAATGAATCTGAGATTATGTAAAACCAATCACTTTTTCTTGTTTTTTTTCTTCGTCACATTTTCAACCGATCACCTAGTTGTATTTTTCAAAACGCAAACAAGATTTTCCGGTTGACTGCCTTTACCTTTTTTTCTTTATAGATCCCAAGTTCCTTTTCTTTTTGTATCTTGGCTTCTTTTTCTGCAAACAAGAAAAAGATTAAGCATGAAAACCTTTAAACCAGGAATGGCCGACCAGTTCGGCACCAGGAGCCAGAATAAATCTCAGCAGAAGTTCAAAGGGCTGCACAAAAAATAACATATTTATATCAGTTTGTCCTCTTCCTAAACTGCATAAACAGCTTCAGCCACAAAATGTTCTCATGGTAATGAGGTAAGGCAGTTCCTCCATTCTTGATCTCTGACCAATCTTTTTAAGGACGGTGTGCTCTTGTTATTCGAGAACCTGGTGAATCATAAAATCTTTCGTTCACATCATTTCAGATATCAGAAGGTGCCTGTCTTTATTTGGAAAAATGTTCCTTCCTTTCCGTTGCTTGGCCAAGTGACTGGATAAGATGAGAGGCTGGAGGAGGATTTAAATGGAAGAGGAGTGAGCAGATTGTATCAGGATATCCAGATAATCACTTAGCCATACTAGGAAAGCATAGGAGGAGGAATCAGGATTTGTATTGTCGGACATCTCCTGGCAACATGCAGTTAAGAGGATACATTCAATTTTGATAAACATAAGACAGTTTGCTCCAGTTAAGGCTTCATCTGTCTAAAAGCAGGCTTGCCAGAATTTATCCAAATCTCGATCATACTTGCTCCCGATTTTTTCAGGCTCCAGCTACCCTTCATGTAATGGCAGACTTGAAACTTGACAAGTTGAAACACACATGACAGAGATTCTATATGGTCTGGCAGCCATTTCTTAATTATTTTAACTCACAATTCCCTATTGGGAAGACTGGTACATAAGTGCTTCACAGGCTCTGTAACGTTGTATGGAAATTTGCTCTGTCAGTGCTCATGATTTAAAATAACAAAACAGGCCCAAATTCAGTAATAACCTTGAGGCGAGGTTCAATATCTATAAACCAAGATAGTTTGGGGGCATGAATAGCAGAAGATTTAAACAAAAGGAAAGCAAGCAGGTGTAATCTGAGTGTACAAGAAAGTGTTTTCCTACCATTCAAAGGCTATTAATAAATTATCAATTCTGTATTAAATAGTGTTTCAAAAAGTGTTTCAACACAGTTGTTTCTTTGCAAGTTCTTAGATTAATAGTTATTAATTCATCTAGATTTTTATAACACTAAATAAATTATATCCATTTTTAATTTGTGTCACTGTGTGTATTCTCATAAAGATTTGTCCTTATATAACCTGCTGGATATAGTGAGTTCACCTTTCAATGGAACCATCTAAATTCTCCAAAATATGATCCATTACCAGGACTTTCTTCCTGTATCTTCCAGAAGAAATTCAACCTCCGTTGAGTGTGTGTGATTTATTTTAAGAATAATCATGACTTTCACATAAGATGTGAAAACCAAAAGAGCAACAAATACCTTTTTGTTCTTTTAGGTAATCTGAGTTTTCTGCCATCCAGAGCGCAGTCTTGATTTTGACTTCATTGTCACTCAGCAGATACTGAAAAGATCAAGAAGCAAAACAGAACAGGAAATATAACAAGTTAGTAATTATGGTAATAAAACACAAAGATCTTTTTTTTAAATTTAACAGTTTTAAGAGGCCTGGTGATCCGTGTTCTACAGAAACCACTTAATGTGTACAGAGTCATATAAAGGGCCAGCGGTACTGATCTTTAAACTAGAAGAGTCAGAGGGGCTTAATTGCATGGGCCAGATCTTCAAAATATTTTATTATATTAAAGCATGTGGAAAATAATACTAAACTGCACACTGTGTTAACACTAGGTGCAGGATATCAAATGTAAATACTTCCCACCTACAAAAAAAAAAAAAACGGATTTGCAGGCTTAGTTTTTGCATCTAGATTTAGAATATTGCAAACTAAAGTGCAATAATGTCTTTTTGCATCGTGGCTTTAAAGGTTGCATTGGTACAATGACGGAATATAAAGACACAATCATGTGAATATATTTCTGTCAAAGTAACAATAGCAGAATAATAATAGTGGGAAAAATACGCCTCCACAGGGCGGCTCAGATTAACCCATAATTAAACCAAAAAGAAAAAAACCCTGCCATGACTGACATGAAATATTAGGCGGCATATGTGGACATTTTTATTATTTATAGTTAATACTTAATATTTATAACAATTTTCTTATGAATGTAAAGAAGTACAAGTGATTTGATTCCATTTTAGATGGAGCATTGATCTGAACAGAGGTCAGAGGAAGGTACGTACGAAATCTATCTCACTGTCATCTATGCCACTCAGGTCCAGCTCCCCATTGTCAGTGATGTCATCTGTCATGAACACAATTATCACAATTATTAAAGATCAAGATTAGAGAAGACTCAAATAGAGAAAAATAAAATGTAAAATTCTGACAATAAGTGATTTATACCACAATCTGGGTAAATACTTCATTCTGACTGGCAGCTGGATGTGTGTTAAAAAGTGATATGAGACACCTAACAAAGAAGTTCTGGTCCAATCATTATATCAAATTATTGCCCTAGCTCCAAATGATCTCATTGGGCATAATCCCTTACATAATTTCCACTGGATTTTATTTCCAAATAAAAATCCAGAGAACAACTTCTTTGACTTTACTTGCATTTAAAAAAAATAACTTTTTCCTGATAAAATTCTCAACTATTTGATTTGCTGAAACATTTTCAATGTGCACTGAAAACAAATGTCCACACCTTTATCTGTGTAAAGTTGTTATATATTGGATATTGGAAGAGGAAACACTTTGTTATACATGCTGTTTTAGAGCAAACCAAATGTACTTTAGTGGCTGATATGTCAGGTAAGTATGATGGTCAAGCAAGGACTGAGGTGTTTTAAGCTTCATAAAATTGACCAGAAACTAGCAAAACCTTGTAAAATTGGGCCATCAGTGTTAAACAACATGAGGTGATGATGGTTGAAAAAGGTTTGCAGCAATGGGCCGCAGGGTCTCTGTGGATTGAGAATCCGATAAATAAAATTAAAACATGTTAATTGTGAACAATATATGCTTGCCAATACCATAATTACCCCCATCACCACTACGGGCCACTCAATCCACAACAATGATACAAGCAAACTGCTCACCAACACTATGGCATGGTCTATACACTAAAAACAGGGATTTAATAAAAAAAATAACATCTCTCCAAATCCCAGACTGCTTAGAATGTCAATATTTTCCTCCTTATTTACAACAAACTGAAAATCCGGTCAGAGTCCTGATAAGGAGCAAGTGTACAAGCTTTTTTAAGACAAATTCTAACAGTTTGTCCAGAAGTTCTATAGTTATATGACCTTATTGACAGTTATTTTTGTAAAGTGTTTTTACACAACATGTTGTGAATTGGTGCTACATATCTAAACAGAATTGGATTATTCTATTACGCAACTGCAAGACAGGAAAACCAGAAGGACAGATGACAGAAAATAAACCTGGGAAAGTGGAACTTTAAAATCTGAGTAATATTTCCAGGAACTTAGCATAACTACTTAAGAACATTTCCTTGGTTAATATGGATTTTTTCCCCCACATACCTTTCTCCACATCATCTACGGCACAGTTGCTAATGGACTCCGAGAGACCCAGAGTGGCTGATGAGGACATTCTTCCCAGTATGGAAGCCAGTGTGGGGCCTTTTCGCTTTGGAATATTCTCATTCTCCTGTTGGTTCTCATCTTCCTCTGAACCTTCCTTCTCAAGTTTTATTAGAGCTTCCAGGGTGATTTCATGGAGTTCCTTGCCGAAGTGCTTAGCCACAGCCAGGAGCTCATTGCTCTCGGTCATTTCCTCTGTCCCCTTAGATGATGTCGAGTTCAAGGCATCACTTAGACACTCTGAGGAGAGAAAAACATGATGGGTGTTAGGAAGATGAGATGAATTTAAATAAGCTTATCTAATTAACAGTTTATGTAACACCAACTGCTTCAATTCTTGTGCAGATTTTATCTTGAGCTTGGAAGCTTCACTGCGAAAACGATCTAGAATTAAGTAAACATTTCTTAAAGTAAGCGTATTTACCCTTAATCTGAGTAGGTAAATAAGATGTTCTGCCAATGGTATGAGTATTTTTACTCTTAAAATAAGAATTAGATTATATGCACTTGAAATAAGACAATGCTTGTTTTTTCTTATTTTAAATTTGAATTTTCTTGTTCCATTAGCAAGGCCTCTCGCTTACTTCCTCAATACTTTTTCCAATGTTGATATCAGAACTAGAAAAAGATTGAAATTGACTTTGTGGCAAGGCAACACATAGCTGACATAAATACATTTGAAAATAAAGAGAGTGGAATAAACTAATGGTAGTTGTATAGTCAAATAGATGGAAGCCTGGTGCCCGGCAGAAGTGGTTGATGGTTTTCTATTGTTTTTGATCAGCAGCCTTCAAATGGATGTGAAATATATAATAGTGACCTTAGAAGGCAGAACAGATCCCAGCCCTATTTTATTTTATTACCTGAGAAATAAAATATTTTCATAAACCTTTTGCAATGCACTAAAAGGCCACTAGGGGTATGAGTACCCCCGTTAGGATTTACTAATCTAAAAAACAGACAACATGCTGTGGTCGGTGTTTATCTCATACCAGTGATCGATTTGTCTCCATGAGTTATTACCTTCTTTTTGAGTTAACAGCTTAAATACAGAGAAATCCTATGTTTTCTGGTTAATTAGTGGGTGAGCTGTGATTTTAGGAATGGGAGTGTGATTTAAATGAACCACAACTGACTGTGGGCTGTTTGCAGAGTGTCTGGTCTTATGACCAGACAGACAATCGTACCATATGGTTGCTATTTTGAATAAGATTGCAAATACTAGTTTTATCACTCTGAACTTTTATTTTAATTTTTAAATTCACTTTATAATATTTACCAGGTCTAGTAGTGAAAATTGATTAAGTTATAGTAAAATTTCCAAAAAAAAGCAAAAAAAAAAAAAAAAAAGAAAGAAAGAAAATGAACTTTTTGGGAATGAGTATGACCTGGATGACTGAGAATCTTCCCCAGCATATAGTAACGATGCAGTCTTATTTCACCCACCTTCCTTTGTATAAGCAGCATAAACTCCTCTCAGTTTGGGTCTACAGCTCTCCAGCTCTAAATCTATTTCATCCTGGTACCCATGGATTTCATCTGTTTCAGAGGTAAAAGAAGAGGAAAAACAAAAAAAGAAATTATCCCAATAACAAAAGGAAGTACGTTATTTATATAGGACTTTTCTTAGAGAGCAGCAGGCTTCACAGTAAGACTACAGTTAAACAGAATAAAAAAAATACATAAAATCTAAATAAAACAAATTGAAGACATACTAGAAATTACGTTTATGAATAAGATTCATCAGCAGTCTTTGAAAAAGAAGCTGATTAATCAGTCAATTCATTTAATTGATTTCAGATAATAAAGTTAAAAATCTTGATGTTATTTTTGATCAGGACCTGTCATTTAAATCCCATATCCAAGAGATTTCTAGAATTTCCTTCTTTCATCTGTTAAATATTATTCAGGGGTGATGCTGAGAAACTAGTCCATGCATTTGTATTTCAAGGCTGGAATATTGTAATTCTTTACCATCAGGAAGTCCACAAATGTAGTTACAAGCCTTCAGCTGATCCAAAATACTGCAGCCAGAAAATTGTTTTAATGAAAATTAAAAAGAGATATCATATGTCTCCTATCCTAGTTTCTTCATTGGCTTCCTTTTAAATCCAGAATAGAAATAAAATCTTCCTTCTCACATATAAAGCCTTAAATGGCCAAGCTCCATCTTATATCAAAGATATGATTGTTCCTTATGTCCCTAACAGAGCACTTCGCTTTCAATCTGCAGGTTTACTAGTGGTTCCTAGAATTTCTAAAAGTAGAATGGGAGGCAGATCTTTTAGTTTTCAGGCTCCTCTCCTGTGGAACCAACTACCAGTTTTAGTCTGAGGCAGACACCCTGTCTACTTTTATGGATAGGCTTAAAACTTTCCTTTTTGATAAAGCTTATAGTTAGAGTGGATCAGCTTATGCAGCGATATCTTTATAGTTATGCTGCTACATGCTACAAGACATAGGGACCCCTATTTCATCGTTCTGCTTAATTCTATCTCCTACTCTGCAGAATATGTTAGTTCAATCTCTAACGTTCTGCTCTCTCTGCATTTTCTCATAGTACTTTCACATCGTCTGTTTCTGTTTGGCTGTGACTCCATCCTGGAGAGAAATATCAGCTGTGCTGCTTCCATCAACACCCTTGTTTATAAATGCTGGAGATCGGACTGTTTTTCAGTGTAGTCCTATTGTAAATAAATATCCCGATGGGGAAATTCACTCTCTGCATTCACTCTCTCGCTGCCATTGTGTGGCACCAGGGGGGCTGTGTGGGGTTAAGGGTCAGCTCAGGAACCCAGAGTTCAGGCAGTGGGGATTGAACTGGGTACTTGTATATATACTCCAATATAAAGTACAGACCAAAAGTTTGGACACACCTTCTCATTCAAAGAACTATGAACTATGACTATGAAAATTGAAGATTCACACTGAAGGCATCAACACTATGAATTAACACATGTGGAATTATATACTTAACAAAACAATTGTGAAACAACTGAAAATATATCTTATATTCTAGGTTCTTCAAAGTAGCCACCTTTTGCTTTGATGACTGCTTTGTACATGCTTGGCATTATCTTGATGAGCTTCAAGAGGTAGTCAACTGAAATGGTCTTCCAACAGTCTTAAAGGAGTTCCCAGAGATGCTTAGCACTCGTTGGCCCTTTTGCCTTCACTCTGCGGTCCAGCTCACCCCAAAGCATCTCGATTGGGTTCAGGTCCAGTGATTGTGGAGGCCAGTTCATCTGGCGCAGCACCCCATCAATAACATTCTTTGTCAACTAGCCTGTGTTTGGGGTCATTGTCTTGTTGAAAGATAAATGATGGTCCAACTAAACGCAAACCGGATGGAATAGCATGCTGATGCAAGATGCTGTGGTAGCCATGCTGGTTCAGTATGCCTTCAATTTTGAATAAATCCCCAACAATGTCAACAGCAAAGCACCCACACACCATCACACCTCCTCCTCCATGCTTCACGGTGGGAACCAGGCATGTAGAGTCCATCTGATCACCTTTTCTGCGTCGGACAAAGACATGATGGTTGGAACCAACAATCTTAAATTTGGACTCATTAGACCAAAGCACAGATTTCCACAGGTCTAATGTCCGTTCCTGGTGTTATTTAGCCCAATAAAGTCTCTTCTGCTTGTTGCAGGTCCTTAGCAGTGGTTTCCTAGCAGCTACTCTACCATGAAGGCCTGATTCACACAGTCTTCTCTTAACAGTTGTTCTAGAGATATGTCTGCTGCTAGAACTATGTGTGTCATTGACCTGGTCTCTATTCTGAGCTGCTGTTAACCTGCTCTTTCTGAGGCTGGTGACTCACATGAACTTATCCTCCGCAGCAGAGATGTCTCCTTTCCTTGGGCGGTCATCATGTGAGCCAGTTTATCCACCCTACTCCTGCACAACACAACTGATGGTCCCAACCCCATTTATAAGGCAAGAAATCCAACTTATTAAACCTGAAAAGGGACACCTTTGAAGTGAAAACCATTTCAGTTGACGAACTCCTGAAGCCCATCAAGCCAATAGTGTGCGAAGCAATAATCAAAGCAAAAGGTCGCTACTTTGAAGAACCAGGAATATTAGACAAGATATGATGTACAACACAAAGTGCGTGATTTTGAACATTGAACAATTTTGAAATGGGATTTTTTCCTATATCACCCAACTTGTCTGGTGTGTTACGCCTAGCCTGGGTGCCATTCCGAAATTAGTCCCGCCCACAAGGTTTGAGGTCGGGAAGTTCGGTCTGGCATTGCTCCATAGTAGCGCGAGTATGATCACCCACTCTCAGGCGATCCAATCAAATTGTCAGGGCGGGCTTTATACGATGATGGACAGATGATCAACAGTAACGTAATCAACCACGTGACCAAAGCGCGCTTGGGTGACAACAACAATGCCTGCCGCCGGAGAGTTGAGGTGAGTAGATTCTGCTATTAGGTCTGTTCTAGAAGATATCGACAGCAAATTAATTTTAAAAGAGGAACAGAGAAACGCGATCAAGGCTCATCTTCTTATTCTAGGCGTGCAACTGCACGCTTTGATTTTTGTTGACAACTATGCTCGCTTAACATACGTCACGCACTCCGTTCCTCTTATTGGTTGTAGGTCTATCCAATTGAGTGCAGAGGCATTTTTTTTTTCCTTATTCGTTCAAAACACGCCCCATAATCACAGCTCTATGGAGCAGTATCAGACTCATATTCTGACTAGAATTGAGTAGGACTACGTCAGGCTATGCTAAGCCATCCTTACAGTCAGGTTTTCTCTACTTTCTGTACCAAATACAACTGACTAAAGACTGTGGTGAAAAGTTTTGAATGTTGATGAATTGAGTCTCTGTAACACATCTGTTTCTGTAAAAAAGATTAATCTCTCTCAATAAGATTATTTGTTCAAATAAAATAAACTAAGCAAATAAAATGCACTATAGACTATTCAAACAACTTAGTAATGATATAACTGTAGGTTACAAATCAACAAAAAGAGCAAACAAAATTAGTTTGAAAATCAAGATGAATTCAGACAAACGTCAAAATTAAACTCATACCTTCAAAGTCTTCTATCTTTTTCTTCAGCTCCAATTCCAGCTAAAGTGAAAAAGCAAAAAACAATAATATATCAAAATATTTAGCTGATTCTAAACAGCAATAAAGGTTAAGAAACTAATAGTATACCTTCATAAAGAGAGTTTGGAACCAAGTCTTGTGCATTAGGGTAAATATTTTTAAGTTTGCTCATTTAAAGTGCAATTCACCCAAAGTTAATCACATAACCACATCCCCTGACAAATCCTGAAAAAATTCCAACAAAAGTGATCCATCCCAAAAGACCGCGAGGGGCAGGACTAAGTGTGGGAATGAGAGGTGGACGTTTAATGTAGATGGGAGTGGGGGCCTATGGTGGCTATGATGATGAACCTTTGATGGTTCAAAATAAGACAACTGTTTGAGCTAAGAAATCTGTAAACAAGAAAATGTAAAAAAATAAAATGCACAGTAACATTAAAATAGCACCAAATGCTCACGGTTTAGCAGGGAAATGTTGAAAGACACATTATAAAAGCACAAAAAATGTGGTTTTCTTCTTTACAATCGCAATTTTCAAGATTAGTCCGATTCTATATCAGATAAAGATAACAAGGGTCAGTATAAGAAAACTGTTTTTATATGCCACTTTTAATTGGTTTAATTTATTAAGCAAAAGAGCCTTCTGAATGACCCTACTGTGGTTGACAGCATTGTTTAGAAAGTTAAGTTACTGTAAGTAGATTCTGTAAATATAAAGCTTTTAATAATGTAATTCCTTAATATATCATTTATATGATGTTTTAATTTATTTCAACATTCTCTAAAAGTAGGCAGTGAAAATAGGGTGTGTGAGTAAATCAAAAAACTGAACTAATGTGTCACTGTGTGATTATTTACTTGAGTAACATTTTGACAAAATTTCTTTTAGAGTAGTTTTACAGCCTTGTACTTTTTACTTTTACTTGAGTAAAAATATAAAGTATCAACAAAAAAATAAACTGGCTAGTGGCTACTCCATCCATTTAATGAAAACAAGCTTGTTTTAAACAGATACTTTCTTCTTTTTTGTTCTCAGAGCTTATTGGTTAGTCTGCCGTGTCATTTACTGGTTGAGAAAAATACAATAGACAGTATACTGTAGTTAAACCTATTATTAGGGCTGGGTAAAAAAAATGGATTTAATCGATTTTGAATCGATTCCTTTACAATTTTGCAAAATCGATGTCTAGGGAATGGGATCAATTACTTTTATAGTAATGCGTGTGACGTTAACGCTCAAATGAGCAGGAAAGATGCACTCAAGATCACTTCAAGCCAGACATTTGCAAATATAGCCAATAGGTCGACTGAAGACATTAAAAAAAGGGGGCTGACCAGCAAACACCCTGTAGTTGTTACAGACAACGCTGCAAATATGGTTTGTGCAGTGGAGATAATGCAGCTCAAGCATTTTCTGCTGTGTCCCCTCTGTGTCACGTCTGCTTGCTCGAGAGAGGCTTCACTTTTTCACTTTTCACAAACAAGTTTGCACATATGAGACAATTTTGTTCACATCTCAAGTTTAAACTGTCTGATTTACAATTTTGCACTTTGTGTTTAAGGTGACAGGAAAAAATAAAATACATGAGTAATTTGAAACAGTTGAACCACTGTCATTATTGTAAAACAGATCGAATCGAAATTAATCGATTTAGAACTGTATGAATCAAAATCGAATTGATTCAGGACTTTGGCGAAAATATCCAGCCCTACCTATTATACAAACTAAAACTATTGCTTTTGTATGTTTTATAACAAAAAAAAAATCAAATCAGTTCTTATGATCAGATGTAGTCAGATCAGTTACTCATGCCTTTTTACCAAAGACTTTTTACTATTGCTGGAGTAAAAACATGATGAAGTAGTGCTACGTTTACTTAAGTACAATTTCTTGGGTACCCTACCCACCTCTGATTATTAGTCTTTGACTTTGAATTGATGATCTGTTATACAAACTTAGAGCTTCCACATCCAACAATCAGTTTCCATTAATTTGAAGCAGGTCAAATCAGAGTTTTACCGTTAACATATTTATGTTTATGTAGAAAGAGATGGAGAAGGTGATGAAGGAATGGCAGACATGGTCTGGAGATGTACACCATCTACATATGTTTGAGTAATAAAAGGAGATTTTACAGAAGGTTGAGTCATGTTGTTGGACAGCAAACTCATATTAAGCATATGTGACATCATACTGTATGTTGCAGCCCTTGCCTCCATCAGTAGTTTTTATTTAATGGTTTTGGATCAAATTATTTTCATTTTTTACTCTAGTTTTATTTTTACTGCAACCACATCATTTACAGCTCTTGTGATTTAGTCCCCACTGCTTTGCTTTTACGGGTCCTTTAATTTTGCTGCTCAGCTCTCAGTCAGCAGAACTAAGATCTGATAGTCTCTCTTCTTCGCCTTCAAAGCCATGAATTAACGCCTTTTGACAGCATGTAAAGTCTTAGCCTAATAAGGCATTACCGGGGCATAATTTTGCAAATTAGCATTTCTCAGGAATGCAAACCTTTATGCACAGGTGGACTGCATCACTGTTGTTTTTGACAGCCATCTCAGATTTAATCTTTGTGTTCGTCTTCAGGATGAAAATTATTAGTTTTAGTCACATTTTAGACGACTAAAACTTAACAAGTCTAGTTTTAGTCAGTTTTATGTTGCAATTCATAAAACAGCTAATCTTTATAAATTTGAGTAAAAACCAGATTCCTTATCAGACTCACTAGATAATACCAATGCTGGAGACACAAAGCTGCCATGAAGTTCATCACTGCTGTTGGATGGAAACCTTTGATTTATAAAATTGAAATAATTTTTTTTATAAATTAATGCCCTACTTTATTCAAAAGTATCTCACAAAAGATGTGACAATTGCAGATCTAGTTCAACATGTCACATTGGTTATAATGGCAGACATACAAGATAACAGAATTTACAATAATAAAAGATGGTTTTTAGACAGACAAGGTTTCCATCGCCAAGAAAATACTTCCTGATCTGCTAGGAATTATGCATTACACACAGATTGATCAGTCTTAATTTACTGCTTGTTACTGCTAGTCAGAGGTCAAAGTAGATTTTTATCTACTTTCTGATGTAAAAAAAAAAAAAAAAAAGATACAGAAAACGTCTGAATTAAAATATCTGACCAACCAACCATTAATGTTTTTATCCTGTCAACGAAAACTCACAGCCATGACTCGTCATGCTTTCGTCATCTAAGATCCATGTTTCGCTCGTTCGCTCTCATTATTGTTGTGGAGAAAAAGAACCGTCAATAAATTATTTTGTCATCGATCAAAACACTGGACCGCATCAGGTTTACGAGAATCATTTACTGAAGTAAGAATGTTTGTTGTATCTAATGTGGCGAGTCTTTTGTGTGAAAGAACAGAGTACCTGTTGTGATTTTTTCTTCTTCAGCCCAGCTGTAAAGCATGGTGGGTCACACTCTTGGTCTAGATCGACCTTCATAAACTCCTCAATGGTCAGCTGACTTGTTGGCGTGTCCTCAAATTCTGTCAGTCTAATTTGGAGATAAAGAGGGCATCAAGTTATAAAAAAGCTTAATGGCTCACCAAGACTGTATGCAGTTTAATAAAGGGAGGCATCCTCTATGTTGACAAATTTTATAAAGTTATAAGTATTTCTAAAATGAGGATGATGGTGTTAAAAATTTGGCTTAAAGGTATAGTGGAGGATTTTCATGAATTTTTTAAAAGACCCGCGCTCTCCACTGCATATGCACAACCCTGTACCTGCACCCGAGAGGAAAAGCCTATTAAACATGTGCCAGAGCAAGCACAAGCCCATGTGCCAGAGAATGCACAAGCCCATTCTCCTTGTGCACGCTCTGTTTCAAAGTTGCTGCTTGCATCGCTCCTACTAGCTTACTATCCAAAAGAAAATGAGCAATTTTCTACAATGTCAGACTCAACACTGGTAGGTGAAAATGGGGATGAGCACGTAGGACGGCCTTAAATAAACCTATCACCCGAATGATTGACCGTTAGCAGGAACACTTATTTTGATGAGCCACTCCAAACATTGACATCCTCCACTACACCTTTAATAAAAGACTTCTTAACGTACCTCTTCCTTAGTGTCGTCTCACAGACTTTCACTACATTGACTATTTCTTTGATGGTGCGACAAAAGTCGTGCAAACGAGCAGCAACAAGAAGAGCTGGAAGAAGCAAAAAGTAGTTTTTAACCAGAGGGTGTCAATTCATTCTTCCATACTGGAATTTTCACATGTTTTTACATTACAACCAAAAGTATATTTCATGGCATTTTTTATTTATTATATTATTATTATAGTTATTGTAAATTTCAGCTTAGCTGTGACAAATTTCAGATGGCAGCGTGTTTCGCTGAGATACGCTGAAGTGCCAAATAATAGTCAACACCAACAAAAGATCATCGGGTCATTACAATAAATTGAACTATCCTTGTGCAAAGAACAGCCATTGAAGTATTAAGGGGAGAAATTTACAAAAATGTTATTACACTTTTGTCACCTCTCTTACAGTTGTAGCCATTCAAAATTTCCCCACTTTCCTTGATGGGCCTTTGGTTGGTCTTTGGCTGGTCCCCTACAATTCCTTTTTAAACATCAATATTTGCACTAAATTATCTATCATGATTTATGTTAATTAACATTTAAAGATAAGCTTTATTTCCTGGTTAGACCCTGCAATTCAGTGAAAGTGTGGGGTCTGAGTACAAAAAAAATTATGCAACAGGGAGTCACTTCAGTGGCTGGAAGTTGGAGGGGATTTTGCTGGGAGTTGCATGGAAGTGGGCTGCCATTAGGCTGGCGTTTGACTAGGAAGGGCCATTTCGAATGGCTGCCTCTGTTTAAAAAGATTTATTTTTAAAGGGATGACTGTTGACTTGATTTCCCTTGAAGCCACATACATTCAAAGCAGTTTTCCTTTCCTGCTTTGTTCTGTTCCGTTACTCAAAGTTTAATTCCAGTGTTCATTAGCAGGAAAAGATCATCTGTAAAAAAACAGGCAAAGGATGACTTTTCTAATTGAAAATTCATTTTTGCAGAATACTTGGAAGCAAACTATGACTCCTCTGGACTGAGTGTTTCTCCCTTAATAATTCATGGTCACCAATTAAATATTTAAGTCTGGCAGACAAAAAACTAAACAAAACAGAAAAGGCATAAGATTTCAAAGTTGCTTGTAAATATGGGGAGTGGAAGAAGCGAATAATATGATCTTAATATATCAAAGATAAGGAAACATTTACACTGACAGAAAGCTGTGAGCACAGCAGAAATGCATAGTAGCACAAAACTTAGACTGAGGAGAAGAGACCTAGTCCATCATCTGCATCAAGTCAACTTAAACATGGAGTAAAAAAAGGGCCTGCCGCAGCATTCATACAAAGGTTCATTGTATTTGCTTTCTCCAAGCCAGTACCTCCGTAAGGAAAAAAAAGAAAAGCTTGATTAAAAAATAAAAATAACAAAAATAAAAAAACAGAAAAGGCAGAGGGGTGAGCGCAGACTCTATACTTCAATCCCATAGAGCAGGTTGGGGATGAACTGGACTGAGAGCAAAACAACCTCCAAGAGCTGCACATTTACGGGGTTTTCTACACATTTGGGAAGAACCTGCTACAGAATATTTTATTTCTTTCAATTTGTAGAAAGAATGCCATGAGTATGTTCAGTTGCTTTATCTAAGTTTAAACAAAAATGTTTGTCTTTAATTTGATTCTATGATTCCTCAACTCCAGCTCCTTATCTGGAAAAACTTGAAATATTAGGTTGTTCTAAAAACCTTTAACCTGCAGTATTTTTTCAGTTTTTCTGTTTTTTTTATCATGTCCTTCTGAAAACATTTATGGCACATGGATAAAAATCAGCAGAAAAACAATTTTTAATAAATATATGACTAATAAATCCGTTCTACAACGTTCTATCATCTTAAACTGTTCAGAAAAAGTTGTGTTCACACAGCAACAATGAAGATGCTGCAGGTCAAATGTTTGGTTCATAGATAGATAGATAGATAGATAGCATTTATTGTCACTGAACAGAATTCAACGAAATTTCCATTGCAGCTCCCGTGCAAAAGGTCAAATATATACAGTACAGACAAGCAAACACACAACAATAATAATAACAACATACACTACTAAATCAACTAAAGGCACTCAGCCATGCCAAAGAAGCAGCAGCAGGTCCAATCATGGCAAACCACAGAAAATGTGACAGTGCAAGGTGCAGAACAATATGGCTGTGTGTGTGTGTGGGGGGGGTGGGGGGTGGGGGGTGGGGGGGGGGGGGGGGGGGGGGGGGGGTTGTTATGATATGTGTGGGGGGCCCGGGTGGCTGGAATCCATCGCTATGGATCCAGCTCTCTTCTTGACCCGGTCTGTGTAAATGGAGTCCAGGTCTGGGAGGGGACATCCCACAATGCCTTGTGCTGTTCTCACCACCCGTGTCAGTTGTTTCCTCTCCAGTGCTGTGCAGCTACCATACCACACAGTCATGTTGAGGCAGAGGATGCTCTCGATCATCGCCCTGTAAAAGTTCACGAGCAGCCGTGAGGAAAGTCCAGCCCGTCTCAGTTTCCTGAGGAAGAAAAGCCTTTGTTGTGTTTTCTTCACCAGGTGGGAGGTGTTTGTATTCCAGGAGAAGTCAGACGTGATGTGGAGGCCCAGGAACTTGATGTTGTCCACCCGTTCCACCACTTCTCCATCTATGAGAAGGGGAGTGTGAGCCGACCTCCTGGACCTTCTGTAGTCCACAATGACCTCCTTGGTCTTCCCTGTGTTCAGCACCAAGTTGTTGGCTGAACACCACTGAGTGAGCTGCAGAATCTCCTCTCTGTAGTGGGTCTCGTTGTTGTCTGAAATGAGACCCACTACTGTTGTGTCGTCCGCGTACTTCACGACTGTGTTGGTGGGGTGGATGGCCACGCAGTCGTGTGTAAACAGGGTGAAGAGAGCTGGACTGAGCACACAGCCCTGCGGCGTGCCTGTGTTGAGGACCAGTGGGGACGATGTTAAGCCACTTATTCTCACCACCTGATGCCTGTTGGTGAGGAAATCTCTGATCCATTGGCACAGTGAAGCGGGCAGCCCCACCTCAAGTAGCTTCAGCACCAGCTTGTCTGGAATGACGGTGTTAAATGCTGAGCTGAAGTCTACAAATAGCATCCTGACGTAGGTGTTGGGATGCTGCAGATGGGACAGGGCTCTGTGCAGAGTGATGGAGACAGCATCCTCTGTTGACCGGTTCGCTCTGTAGGCGAACTGAAGGCTGTCCAGGTTTGTGGGGATGAAGTCTCTGATGTACCTCAGAAGAATCCTCTCAAAGCACTTCATGATCACCGGGGTCAGAGCGACGGGCCGGTAATCGTTCAGGCTGGTGATGGAACTCTTCTTCGGTACAGGGATGATGGTGGAAGACTTGAGGCACTCAGGAACCATGGCGAGCTGCAGGGACAGATTGAAAATGTCCAGAAACACTCCTGCCAGCTGGTCGGCGCAGGTTTTCAGCGTCTGGCCTGACACCTTGTCCGGTCCTGGAGCTTTGTGAGTGTTGATCCTCCTCAAGGTGGACGTCACCTGATACTTCTGTAAAACGAGGGGCTGGTGCTGCTCTTCCAGTTGGGGTAGATGTACAGCTTCTCTGCTGCCCGCCGTGTCAAAGCGGGCAAAGAAACTATTTAAGGTGTCAGGCAGGGTGGGGTCGCAGCTGGTCAGCTGAGTGCTGTGTTTGTAGTCTGTCATGGTTTTAATGCCTCTCCACATGCTTCGGGGGTTATTGTTGATGAAATATTCCTCAATCTTCTGTTTATACTGGAGCTTGGCCTGCTTAATACCTTTTTTCAGTTCCGACCGGGCCCTGTTATAAGCCAACCTGTCTCCAGACCTGTAGGCAGCATCCCGGGCTTTCAGCAGGGCCCGTACTGTGCTGTCCAGCCATGGTTTCTGGTTTGGAAACACTTTTATGGTCTTAACAGGGAGGACAGTGTCGGTGCAGAACTGAACGTAGCACAGAACGGACGATGTGTATTCCTCCAAATCTGCACCGTCCCTGAACACACTCCAGTCTGTATGCTCAAAGCAGTCCTGGAGTGCAGAGGAGGCCTCCTCAGTCCAGACCTGAACTCTTCTGATGGTCGGCTTAGTTCTGCAGGCCAGAGGCTTGTAGACAGGAATCAGCTCCGCTGAGATGTGGTCAGACATGCCCAGATGTGGAGCTGCTACAGCCTTGTAGGCTCCGGGGATATTGCAGTAGACCTGGTCCAAAATGTTATTGTCTCTGGTGGGAAAGTTTATGGATTTGTGGAATTTTGGAAACACAGCCTTCAGTTCTACGTGATTAAAGTCCCCCGCCACAATCACGGCCGCCTCCGGGTTGGAGTTCATCTGCACGCTGATCAGGCAGTATAGCTCCTCTAATGCTAACTTAGCTTTAGCCCTCGGTGGTATGTAGACGGCCACGATCACAATGGACGTGAGTTCTCTCACCAACTTGAAGGGTCTGCATTTCACCGCCAGATATTCCAAGTCAGGAGAGCAGAATGTTCCGACAGGGTGTGTGGCTGTACACCAGGCATTGTGTACATACAATGCTAAACCTCCGCCTCTACTCTTACCCGAAGCTGCAGTCCGATCCGCCCGGAACAGAGCGCGCCCCGTTATCTCCACCGCTGCGTCCGGGATATTATCCTCCAGCCAGGTCTCTGAGACAATAGTCACACAGCTGTTCATCCGGCGAGAAGTAATCCGGAGTCGCATCTCGTCGATTTTGTTGACGAGGGACCTTGCATTGGCGAGGAAGAGGCTGGGGAGGGCCGGTTTGTGAGGGCTAGCTTGTAGCCTAGCCCGCACTCCGGCTCTCTTACCCCTTTTTTGTTTACGCTGCCTCCTCCGTCGCCTTAGCAGTATGGGGGGAATGATCATAGTCCCAGGTGTTCGTAGCAGCTCTGGAGGAATAAAGTCCAGCTTGGTGGGTGCGTGAAGTCCAAACTGTCTTCCTATGTCCCATAGTTCTAATCTGCTGTAAGTTGTAACGGCTTCCAGTAGTGTGTTGAGCGAAAACATCCATAAAAACAGGCTAAAAAAAACGAAAACACGGGAGCTCCGAGCCGCAGCGTCTACACGCGCCGCCATAGCATGGGTGGCGCCCTGACACTGCCACAGAATATCACACACAAACCACCAAAAACACTGGATATGTGATTTGTAACAGCAAAAACAGTGGGGCACATGCAGGTTACAAAGGCAGTTTGACCAACAGCATCTTCGTAAAAAAAGATGTTGCCCACACGGTTACACTAAAATATTAGACCAGCATTCTGAGTTTTCAACACTGGGACTGATTATTTACACTCTTCCAAAACACTGGAAGCATTTGGATACAAACAAATAGGTTTAGGTTACACCTAATCTGATCTCTGTGGTGATGGGGCCTTAGATATGATCAACACTTCTAGTCGCCAGCAGATTTGACTGGTCATCCATTTTAAAGCCAACTTAGTGGATGCAAAGCAGATATTAGGACAGTAATTCCTTTCCTTGCCTAAACTGCATAGCTCTAGCTGTCCTAAACTTTCAGACCACTACAAGGTGTTATCTGTTGGAAAAATAAAGAAGGATCTCTACAGCAAAGATTAAACTTATCTTGTGCAGTGTTGTGTTGCGGTTACCTGCTCCACAGAGTCCAGAAGGGCGTCTTCCTGTGTGCATCCAGTCTCTCTTCATCCTTTGAACCAGCCGCAGAGCCGTCATGGAGACCTCTCGACTCTTCTCACCAAATTCCAGCATTTGGGTGAAACGGGGAATATACAGACATGGGTCTGTAAAGAAGAAAAATTTAAATGTCCATAAGAGACATAGAGGCAAGATTCTATTACAACTTGAGAATCGCTTGTTTTGATTACTATCTCCAGGTCACATTTATAGGTTTAGGACCATCAAAGCACGACTCACATCTAGATTGACCTTTTTGCTAATAAGCTGTTCCTGATTATGTAGGAGTGGGAGGAGATTATGTGTTAACCATGTAGAGGTTGTAAATCTGTGATATGACAGGTGTGGGGCACTCAAATTACAATGTTTATGATCAATCATGAAAAAAAACTAAAACCAGAGCAAGTAAGTTAACAACTTGAGTTTGATACATCTGCCTATTAGGGCATTTATTTTTTGTCCCTTAAGGTTCATGGCAAGAAAAAAATGACAATTTATTTTAAAAATCTAGATATTACATCAACCACCCCCTCTTAATGACCTTAATTTAAAGTGCAACAAAATCCAAGTTATGAAAGATTAATGCAAAGCTATAAACAAGTAAAATATAACCGAGTAGCCATTTAAGAACATAAATTAATGAACTGATTTCACTGTTAGCTTTAGAACCCCCGAGTACCATCATAAAAGTTTTAAATAATCAAGATTTTCCATAACTTGAATGTTCGATAATAATTCAATTAATAGCATTGATTTATTTGCAAAAATATTTTTTTGTTATTTCATTGCATATCTGAAATTAATTAATAACCTGTATTTCTAGACATCACATAGTACAGATTTTAGGGTGAAGGGGGATAATTTACATTTTAAAAAGTATTACCAGTGCATTTCATTCATGTAACCTTTAGCACAACTTAGTCAGCTGAAATCACAGCCAACACAATTTTACAACAACAAAATTGTAGCAAGTGACTTTGGAGAATCGCTAGCCACATCAGCTGGTGAGTTCATGTTAATGGGTATTAGGAAACACCAGAGCAGGCAGCACCCTCTGTCTGGGGAAAAAGTAGAAAAGTAGGAACATGCCAACAAAAACTTATAAAGCAGCATTTGAGACTGGCACTAGCAGATATGTGCAGCTGCACAAATCTTTAAATGAGTGAGTGAGTGAGTGAGTGAGTGAGTGAGTGAGTGAGTGAGTGAGTGAGTGAGTGAGTGAGTGAGTGAGTGAGTGAGTGAGTGAGTGAGTGAGTGAGTGAGTGAGTGAGTGAGTGAGTGAGTGAGTGATTGAGTGAGTGAGTGAGTTTCTCGTAAATTATTTTCCCCCTGTGTGCATCAAAAGTTTTGAAATGGCCGAAGCAGAAATCCGTATTCTTCATAATGCTGATGAAGGTTCTCAGTCATCCAGGTCATAGTCATTCATCGGCTACCATCGCATGTTTCCAAGCGATACAAGGCGTTGTCTATATAAGACTCAACTCACTGCGGATCCAGACATTTGAATTGAGAAGGCTTCCTGGAGAGGTGGCGAAACGTCTTCAAATCTTGAAAACCAAAAATATTTTTCATAATGCAACATGAGCAACACATTCTATTATTTTGCCCTGTGTGCATCAATAGTTTTAAGTAGGCTCCGACTCCTAGTGACAGTGGCTTGAAATCTTTGCTGAAGTCGATGAGCATCCTATTCCTAGCCATGCTTTGAATGATATATTTACTGGTGAAATGAACTCGACTCCTTCTCTCTTTCTTTTCCCTTGACCTGTTGGCTTCCCAGAGCTGAGTTTAGTTTGTTTCAGCCTAGATTTCTTCATCTTGCCTCCATTTCCCAGATTCCACTACTGAAAACTGCTAGCCTATTCTATCTTGTGGAGTTCAGAGCGCGGCGGCTGACTTTCGCCGACAGAGCAGCATAATATAATAGAATGCAATGTTGCATGCAATTTATGCTCAGTTGTAAAGTAACGTGATTTTATAAGGTGATTGTGGACTTTTTTTTTTTTTTTAAGAAATGAGAAAACAAGTTGATCTTTACACCAATCAAAGTCAGAACAGTTTTCATCATATACTTTGACATTTCTCTGAATTAAAAATAATATAATTTCTTCCTGACTGTACTTCTTTATTATGATTATAGTTTTTTTTACCCCCTGACATATTTGTTTATCTATATGTTATTGTTGACTTTAAATGAAATAACTGGGCAGCCGGAAGAGGAGGAGGAGTTTTTACGGAAGCTTCAATATGATTGGTTCTCTGCCAGCTTTGAGCGTCAGAAGGGATCAGGAGGAGAAAATAAAGAAAAGCGAGAGCAGAGCTTAAAAAAAGCAGGACCAGAAACATTTTAAAGAGAAGCCGGATAACGCTGCGGCTTGGTGTTCGGTTACACGGAGGAGGAAAAACACAACAGGCAGAGTAAAGGAGGACTAGTGTTCGGATTAGTGGAGGATTAGGATAAATGAGGGGAAAGTCGGGATGAGCAGAACACTGGGAAAATGTTTTATGAAACCGAATGGGAAACATTAAACCGGATCTGGGTGGATTTATATATCCCTGCCTGTCGACCTGCCGCGGATGAGTTTTAAAGGAAGAAAGTAATCCAGTACATCAGACATCAACACGAAGATTGTTTGTGCCGATGCCAACGGCTCACTGTGGCTTCTTCCATCATGGCCGGATCATGAGGTGTTTAACTTATTTGTTACTGCTTCCAGAAACACTGAAAAAACCAAAGAAGCTCCAAGAGTCCTGCGAGATTCTCACTTTATCCTCTTCGAGCGCCCAGAAGGGAAACAAGACGACGAAGATGGCCGCGGAGTTGTTCTCCGCCGCCAATCCCGATAACACCGCCTCCGCCAATGGCACCGCGGTTCCGGTGGTGGAGAAAACCAACGCCGCGGTTTGTCCTGCCAGGAGCGGCGGCGCCGCCTTCAGCAGCACCGGCGGCTCCAGCAGCGCAGCCAGAGACCCGAGCAGCCCGCTGAACATCAGCAACAACAAGACGGATCCAGCCAGCAGCAGCGGCCACCCCACACTCAGAGAGAGGTAGCCCCTCCATTCATGTTAGACCATCAGGACATCCAGTTATATATGGAAAAACTATAGCTGTCACCCATGTTTAAAAATAAGCATTACTGGTTGATATTTAAGAACTGTTAAATATAAAGACCATAACTCTCATTTATTTGAATTAACTATGTTTAATTATGCATGTATAAGTATACTCCGGAAAAAGGAAGTGCCAAATATGGTCAACACTAAGCAGACAGTGAAGCCAACTAGTATTTGAGCCTTTTATATGTTCCACAATCCCAGGAGCATTTGTTAAACTTGCTTTTTTTTTTTTTTTAGGAATGCCTTGATGTTCAACAATGAGCTGATGGCTGATGTTCACTTTATTGTTGGGCCCCTGGGGGAATCCCAGAAAATACCAGCTCATAAGGTACAAATAATGGTGAAAGTTGCATCAAATTTTGTTGTTGGGATCAATATTTGCAGCCAATTTTCTGCCCTTTAATAAACAAAAGCCTGATCTGTTTGTCTCCTGCTTGTCCCAGTATGTTCTGGCTGTGGGAAGCTCCGTCTTCTGTGCCATGTTTTATGGCGATTTGGCCGGGGAAGAGTCTGAAATCTATATCCCAGATGTGGAACCTGCTGCTTTTCTAATTCTTCTAAAGTAAGCCAAACACCAACTCTCCTTACACGCCCAACCAGAGGCCCACATCACAAAGCTCAGTCAGTGTCACTTCAAACAGCATCATTACTCATCCGAAGCAAAGCGGAGGCAAAAGCCAGAGGGGTGGGAGTATAATTGCTATAATTGCTGGGTTTCTCTTTACTTCTAGTAAGTCCTAATTTTTCCCCTAAGCTTTAGCCCATTGCAGATATTAACTGCACTGATTACATCATATAATGTCAGATTGTGCATATTTAGTTTGGTAGTTTTAAATAGGACCGTATCACTGAGTACTGGTGACTTTTTCTATTATGCTTACAGAAATCAACACTTTCCTTTAGGATAAAATATTTTTTAATTACGTTGTAATACACTCTGGTGGACTTTCCTGAAGGAAAGGTAGAAAGTTATTTATTAGTCTTCAATTGTAATTGTCTTACGCTTGTTTTTGTGAAGTCGTTTTTTAACAATATAAGCTTGTTAGACACATAATTATGCATTTCAAAGATTTTTTTATGTGCATTCTGATTATTTTAACTTCTAGATGGGAAATTGAAGTCTTCTATTGTTTCTGTAAGCCGTTTAGCCTTTAATTCTGTTAATAAATGTTCATGTCAAAGATGACTAACAATCTAAGCAAAGCATTTTGATGGACATCTAAAGCTTAGTTTACACACTTGGAGCTTCTCTGCTCGACATGCAAACAGGGCAAAGTGACATTTCTGAGATTGCAATAAAGTCTAGGAAGCTTTGACAGCAGCTTTTAACTCCTCTTGTGTTTTTGGCTTCAGTCTCATCTTCCTGTAGTTTCTCTTTAATATTTAGGTCCAGTCACATTTTTTTAGCAACTTGTTTTCATCTAAGCCTTTCATTAAGGGACTTGGATAAAGGACTCAGCTTTTAGCAATGATCGTTTCTGGTCTACCTCTATGGAGGGGGATGAATGCTGAACAGCATCAGTCTTCCCCATGATAGACTATAGTATATATTATGTAATATACCTTAATAATGTACACTGCAATTCTGTATAATCAGAAGAATTTTTTTTGTTTAATATTTTGAATTTCTGGACATGTGCTACAGAGGAGATGGAAACATTTGTGAAACAGGCTCTGACGTGGCAAACATTGGCCTCCCATGACTGATCAGCTGCTTTCCCTGCCATTGGCCCACATCCAAACATTAGAAACTCTTTCTTGATGTCTCTGGGTGGCACGTACCATCACTAATACTAGCTTACATGATAAAGAAAATATAACTTCCTGGATTGAAAATATTCATAAAACTTTGCTCTATTATACATCCATGGTCCGAGCTAGTTTGAGTCCTTTACTTCCCGTTTTTGGCAGAAAAGCATAACCTAAATGTATAAATGCATCATCTTTCTGAATTTCTCCGTTAGATGCAAACATGCATAAATTTATGTTTTTTTCAATGTTTTTAAAAAAGTTTGCCCAAAATTAGATGAAAACACATCTGCTCTCAACAGTTCCCAACAGTGTAGCATAGCATCTTCTACTCTTTTAGCAGATCAAGTTGGCGCTCTGTTTGGCATACACGCCTAAAAATTATGGTGCAGAGTACGTCTGTCAACCATACTTTTCCTGAAGATTTTAGACATGCAGGCCAATATAATCAGATCTCAATAATGAATCAGCATTTTCAGTAGCTATAAGGTTTCTTTGTGTGATGAATAGGGGCGAGTATTGGCATGGGTGTTGTAATACGATACGCATCACAATACTTGGGTCATGATGCGATATTGCAAAGTCCCTATATATTGTGATATTTTTCCCAGCTTTGAAAATTAAATGCACAGATAAAAAAGAAAGTGCTACATAGGTTCATCAATTTGATCATTTAATTATTTTGGTATCCATGTTGTTTAGGGTTTGAGTCAGCCCACGTCTTCCACTGTGATTTGCCTTAAATACAGATAAGGGGGACTAAGGGGCTCCTCAGCCCTACCTGCCAGAGGGGCAGTGCAGTAGTAGCCCATTTCCCCCTCATTGTCAAATGTTTTATTTTTTAAAGTAGATATTATGAACTGAAAGATTGATATTATATTGGGCAGCCAAAAATCACGATATATAGCCAAAACGCCTTTTTCTCCAAACCCCTAGTGACGAGTTAAAAAAATCTAACACAAGTATTGAAAAATTGTTAAATTATTAAAATGTACCTTTTTTAATCCTATTTCTATGGCATTTCTTTATACAGATACCTGTACAGTGATGAGATTGATCTGGATGCGGACACGGTGCTGGCCACTCTGTACGCTGCCAAGAAGTACATCGTCCCAGCACTAGCCAAGGCCTGTGTCACCTTCCTGGAGACGAGCCTAGAGGCCAAGAATGCCTGTGTACTGCTCTCCCAAAGCTGCCTGTTCGAGGAGCCTGAGCTGACACAGCGCTGCTGGGAGGTTATCGATGCTCAGGCTGAGATGGCGCTGCGCTCAGATGGTTTCTGTGACATTGACCGACAGACACTGGAGCTCATCCTGCAGAGGGAAACACTCAACACAGAGGAGGTGGTTGTGTTTGAGGCAGTGATGAACTGGGCTGCGGCAGAATGCAGAAGAAGAGGTTTGGGGCCCAGCACCCACAACAAAAGAGACGTACTGGGCAGAGCGCTGTTTTTGGTCCGTATTCCCACCCTGAGTGTGGAAGAGTTTGCTAATACAGTGGCACAATCTGACATCCTGACTCTGAAAGAGACGCACAATGTCTTCCTGTGGTACACAGCATCCAAAAAGCCTGTGCTGGACTTCCCCTTGACGCCGAGGCAGGGCCTGTCCCCTCAGAGATGTCACCGCTTTCAGTCCTCTGCTTACCGCAGCAATCAGTGGCGCTACCGTGGCCGTTGTGACAGCATTCAGTTTGCAGTTGACAAGAGGATCTTCATCGCCGGTCTTGGAATGTACGGGTCAAGTGGTGGCAGGGCTGAATACAATGTTAAGATTGAGCTCAAGAGACAAGGCGCGGTCCTGGCGCAGAGCATCTCCAAGTTTGTGTCAGACGGCTCAAGTAGCACGTTCCCCGTGTGGTTTGACCATCCAGTGCAGGTAGAGCAGGACACGTTCTACACGGTGAGCGCTGTGCTGGACGGAAACGAGCTGAGCTACTTCGGTCAGGAGGGCATGACTGAGGTGCAGTGTGGGAAGGTGACATTTCAGTTTCAGTGCTCCTCGGATAGTACTAATGGGACAGGCGTGCAGGGAGGACAGATCCCAGAGCTGGTCTTCTATGCCTAAGCTGCTCCTTACTGCTGTTGTGGCCTTTTACCCTTCAAGCTAATGTAGCATTGAACCACTTTGTTAAAGTCACACTGAATGACGAGATTATCCTAAAAGCTACAGAAATGTTCTATTTAATTTAAGGTTATTTTTATTTAAGTGCTGATTTAAGGTTATTTGCTCTGCTTCTTGTGTCAACGGGCTGCATCTGCTGTGGAGATAAAGCTCATACTGTGCCTATATAATCGAGCTCAAGTCCAAACCTGGAAAGATTAAAGACGAAGTTTGAGGCTGGATGCAATGTTGTTCCTGTAGTTAAAGCATCAATACAAATAAGTTCTAATTAAAACTACAAAAAGATAAAAAAATAAATTGGTTTCCCATTCAGAGAACTACTTCAAGCATCTTTTCTTTTTGTAAAATAGATGCCAACTTAATGTGTTCTGTCGAAAAAAGGCTCATGGCCTGATGAAATAAAAGTTGACATGCGAACATCTTTGTACAGAAAGTGAAATGAGTTGGTTAGAATTGGATGAAGTGTTAATTCAGTATTTTATTTAAGGGGTTATAAAATCATTTTTTGAAGGATATGACTGTACACAATGCACGAGGCAGCAAACATGTAGAGATGTCGTGTCTCAAACCCTGAAGCATCAACTCTTTCCTGTGCTTTTTGCCTAGTTGGGAAAGTTGAGGTTAATTCTGTGTGGCTGTTACACAGAATTAACTAGACAGAAATAGGCATTTATGGTGACCATGGTATTAAAATATCTGAAACGTGAAATGTGGACATGTCCCCACCAACTTTGGCATGGAAGGGACAGTCCCCACCAATAATTTCCGCTTTTTTTTCCCCCTTGCCGCTGATTTACTTTACTTTGTTTTTTCCCTCGCTCTGCCTCTGCTCTCAAGTCCCTCCTCTTGAAATATCATGGGATCTGCCGCTTTGGGACATAATATTATTTGGGGTCGCTATTCACTGCGTACATGGAGGAGGAGAGACAGCAGCATTCAGTGAATTTTAACCAGCAGCTACTTCAATATATGTTTCAGTAAAAGTTAGGAGACGGGTTCGTTAAAAAAATTAGAGATGCCACCGAAAAATCAGTTTCTTACACATGTAGAGCTTTTTCAGTTAAAAAATGGCAACAGAGTTTACATTTATTTAAGTTAAAAAAGCTGGGCTTCTTAAAAGACCATTACTCAGAGTTACAGAAGATTAAAATTAACACATATCTGTTTTCTTTTTGAACAAAGAATCAGACTGCAGAGCTTCTAGAGATCCTGAAAATGTTTTTCTCTTGCATCATTATATTGGTAGACAGGTTCATAAATCTGTTTTTAAGACACAATTAGGGACAGCTGCAGATTTAAAGGTGAAACAGATTTACTGGCATATGCATCATGCAATAAAATACGTCCCCACATTTACAAGAAAAAATAAGCTATACTATAATAACCTTCAACATATCTTTTTGTCTTTTGTAGCTCAATGAGACTCAGAAATATCTGTGCAGCAACCCAGAGACAGACTCACAGGACACAGACTTCAAATTAAAATAGAACAAACCTACAAGAATAAAAGCATAAATAATAAAATATAAGTCTCTTAGAATGTACATATTAAAATTGTAGATTGTTGCATTCTTTGTAAGTAGGCAAACCTGCAAAATCAGCAAGGGGTCAAATGCTTATTTCCCCCACTTTATACATCATGTTATTGGTTCTTAGTATGATTCTTTCTTTTATTACATAGTAAAAACACTTAGTAGTTATCAGGGGTTGGCTGCTGCTTCGGATGTTATCGCATTAAGAGGTCGTTTTTTGCAGTTATCAGTCCCATTGAATAGTTTCAGATTGTGCCAGTAAGCTCAGTAGGTTGTTAACACAGAGTATATACTAACCTAAGGTAGTTCTTCCTCCCCCCCCTCCACTTAAAAGCCCTCTCCACTTAGAAAAATATGCACATGCACAACCCTGTACCCGTGTCCCTACCCAATCCATCCCAGAAGCACGATCAGTTCTGAACATGCGCCATCAGGTATTTTACACATGCGCATTCAGATATACATCCGGGTCGTCCTCGATTTTTTGATAAAAAGACCTAAATTACGTTTTCCCTCCCCAAAAATAGTGAGCGTACTAAAATATAATGTGTTAAAGGTTAATAATATATTTGCTGTGAAAATAAATGCCTTAAAATCCTGTTTTATCAGCCTTTAAATCTAGTCTTTTTGAGTTTTCGTTTTAATGTTATGCTATATAGTGCGGAATCTAAAGAAAGAAACAGCTGAAATGCAGATAAACATGGTTTAATCATATTTTGCCAGACTGCTCTGAGCATGTCTGATGATGTCAGAGAAGCAGTTTAACGAAGAAAATGTAAAAAGCATCAAATTTGTCTCAGATGTGTATTAGCATTCTTTAGTTAGTTAAGGATAGAATCATGATTACATTATTTATGGACACCTGGATGTGTATCTGTTCGCGCATGCGCAGGACTGATCGGGTAGTGAAAACCCGCTCCCAAGAGGGAATGCGTGTCAGAGCATGCACAAGCTCATTTCTCCACATGCACGCTGTTCAAAAGTTGCCTGAACGTCCGCCTTAACCCCTTAACCACTAGTGGGGACTATATAGTGGACCCTATAGCGAACTCAGTTAACCGACTATTCAGACAGATGATCACTGCTTTTTGCTCCCCGTCGGTCATGTAACACCTCCTCCTTCACTGCGTGGTGTCTGCGCCATCTTTGTTATTAGATGCCACTGTCGGGTCACATCGGTCCACTGTGACAGGAAATCTAATAATGCTTTGGGAGGAGAGCTCTCCGCACAAAGCATTCCGGGATATATCTGCCTCTTCTGAGACCTTTCTTTTTTTCCTCATACTCTTAGATCCATAGACACTTTTTCTTACGACGCTCGGGCATTTTCCAAGAACTACAGGGAGAAAGGTCTTCAATGATTGACTGAAACCCTAGCTCACCATATATATGCACCTGTGTGCATACTCAGAAAAAGACAGCTAACGGGACGAGCAGGTAGGACGGCCTTATGTAAACATATCCCTAGAATGATTGACACTTAGGAGGACCACTTATTTAGATGATCCACCTGGAAATAAAAGATAGTCCTCCATACCTTTAAAGTAATTTCAGTAGTTCTTCATGTACGTAAAAACAAATAAATAAAAATAAAATGATCTGCATGACAGAAAAAATAACTAAACCAAAAAAGAATAATAAAAAATCTCATATGCTGTCAACTGAGTTGTATAATCCTCTCCCTATATATATTGGGCTAGAAACAAGCCCACCCAACATCTGGACGAGAAACTCTGGTAGATTTGTATATTTTCGTCAAAAAACAGCTGTATGTCATTTTTTTGCACACTTAACATTTCTATAAGGAAAACAGAGAGAAAAAACAAATATCTTTCCCTCCAGATAACATTTTAGTAGCACTGAACAACACTGTTTCAGAGAAGGAGAAAGTAGAAAATAAGGTAAAAATCAATACCTATAGCTGGAGCATTGATGCAAAGCTCTCTGGACAGCAGGAGAAAGGTTTTTCCCAGCACCCAGACATTCACCTGTAAACAGAGACATTAAAAAGTTTTGATACCTGTTAGAGGAATGTGAACTTCCTTCTGCCAGATCCGTCTACCTGTCACAGAAGGTTGTACAAAACCAAGTCTAATAATTATTATAATTGGCTTTCAAAACACTCAAGGTCACTTTACAAAATTAAAATAAAATCCAATAAAATTCAAATCTTGTATTCTAGCCCTAAATAACCTCCAACTTCTCTCTCAATCTGCAGGATAATGATCCCTAGAATCTCAAAATAGAATGGGAGGCAGATCTTTTCGCCATCAGGCTCCTCTCCTATGGAACCAACTGCCAGTTTCAGTCCGTGAGGCAGACACCCTGTACTCTTTTAAGGCATTGTTTAAAACTTTCATTTTTTTAATAAAGCTTATAGTTAGAGTGGTTCATGTTATGCTGAGATATCTCTATTATTATGCTGCTATAGGCTTACACTGCTGGAGGACATAGAGACAATTTTTCATCATTTCGCCTCATTCCATCACTGCTCTTTAGTTCTGAATTATGTAATAGTTCAACTCCTGACTTTATGTTCTTATTTTTCTCATAGCAGCTACATCTGGCCCAGTAATGTTTAGCCATAACCCCATCCTGACGTGAGGCATATATAGGCTCAGCTTTTCTGTAACTGTACTATATGTACTCTTTCACCCCTCATGGTGCGTTCACACCAAATGCGTTTTCAGCCTCAAAAGCGTTTTAACACCGACATTTTGGACCCTGGTTCAAACTGTGGTCAAGTTGCTTTGACTCTTCAACGCTCTGCTTTCTGGTTGTTTATCGGCTGTGTTCTGTAGCTGCAAGCTAGAAAGCAGCTTGGCTTTATTTATTTCATGAGTTGGCAAAATACTTTTGACACGTTTTTAGTGAGAAAGACAACCTCCAAACATCATCTGTTCATCAGGATTATGATCCCAATAAAATATGTAGTTCTATCTAAGAGTGCCAGACCTCCAGCGTACCGCCGGTCAGCAGAGCTGGAAATCCCCGCTGGAAGCTCTCTGCAGCTGCCAGCTTGTTTGGGATTTTTCACTGCCTTTGGTAGTGGCTGGAGATGAAAATGAAGAATTTCTAGTTTTTTTATAAAAACTACAAGTTCCAGAATATACAGCTGAATATTTTTCATCAGCAGGTTTAACATTTTTAGTTAATTTGGGTATTTATAAACTGTTTCGCCATGGTTCATGAAAAATGTTTTAGTGCAGTAATAATGACCAGAGCTCTCCCTCTTTTCCTTGTACATAATACATTCTTTCAGCTTTTTTTTTTAAACCTTTGTAGTTTAACCCCTTTACATTGATTTATTTTTTATATGCAGACAGCTCTGCAGAAACAATAACAGCTTGCATGTAGTGTCTGTCTCCCCCCCAAAAAACTCAGCTTTTTTGATTGTTTTCTGAACTCCAGCATAGAACGGTCTGACGCTCAAATGCCAGAACATTGGAACTTTGGTTTTGGTCAAAGTGCCTTGTTAATGCATGCATGCTCGGTGTGAGAGATTGCTGTAGAGTCAAAGACACAATGATAGCAAATGTCCACTGTTGCCACATGCACATCCAGGAGGAGAGAGTGCTGTAAAGGCAATGGTTGTATGTTATCAGCTGTTTCCTTAGAAAACTTTTGACTAATCCCACTGCATGATGTGATTGAAACATCTCTGTGTATGGCCTTGAGAAAGCATGTGTTCTGAATTAGTGCTGTATAAACAAATTGAACTGAATTATAAATGACACAGTGCCATCAGAAGGAGAAAATGTTTTTTAACAGGAGGGTTTCAAGTCTGGATTTAAACAGGCATAGGTGTCAGTGTTCGGGATATCTAGCAGTCTAGAGTTCTACATTGCAAAAACGATCTAAAATTAGGTTTAAAAAAAAATCTTCATTGCATTTAGCCTCAATTTGAGCAGGTAAATAAGATTATTTGCCAATGGAATGAGTATTTTACTCTTGAAATAAGATAATTATATAATATGCACTTGAACTAAGATGATGCAGTTGTTTTCTTTTATTTTAAATGCCAATTGTCTTGATCCATTGGCAAAGTGTCTCACTTTTCTCTCCAATTCAAGAAAAAAAACTGACTTATTTTAAGAAAAAATTACTAATTGAGATTTCTTTTTTTGCAGTGTAGAGCTTAGAAACAGAGCAGGAGAAAGCTCTGCCTCCCCTAGAGATGAGAAAAAGGGGTAATGGTGGGCTCCATCAGCTATACTTAACAAATATTTTAAACTTTTTTTAAAAACTATTTGAACTCAAAACATTTTGAAACCGACAATTAAACAGAAGCCCACACTGTTTTAAAGCAATCTCTTCCAACCAAGCAAATGTATTCATAACATTAAGGAAAATTTGAAACTTTTTCCACTATAAATAGTATTTGAAACTTTCCACAGCAAAATCTGACAAGCATCATAACATAGGAGATTGTGAGTGGAGACGGGTTAAAATGGTCTACATTGGAACCTCCCATCACAGATGTTCCATTGTGTTTTAGGCTGCTGCCCGACCAGAAGGCTCTGCAGAAAATTCAACCCCCAACCCACCCACTTTTTATCTTAAGGGGCATTCTGATAGATGCTGTTGAATAGCAAAGGCATGGAACCGCACAAGTGTTACTTCCAGTATTGAACCCAAAATTAAGACTTGGGTTGGGGGTGTTGGCTAAAGCAGAAGGCAGCAAACGCTAGAGAGTCAGGTCATGACCTTAAGTAAAAGCTCTTCCATTCCTGGAAATACACCCTGCCCAGAGCTGAAGGAGGGCCAGGCACCCGAGAGGACTTAGCTGGGATGGACCCCCCCTCCCCAGTTAGGAATCTACACTTAAACTAAAAATATGGAAGAGAAAGCAGAACAAGAGAGAAGTTGAAATAACTAACTATAGAGTAGAAATCCAAAAAAATATAAGGTTCATTTTTCTTGTCTAACTTTTTTTGGCCTTTCCTCAAGTGAACAAACAGACTAGTTAATTTATAGAAATATTCACATTTGCCCTTTAAAAAACTGATGATTTATGTTATCGTCAGTAAACCCTGGTAGGACAAGTTATGTGCAGTTTGTTCTTGTGCTTTCATAAAGCAAATCGTACCAGTGGACTTCTAAAATACAAAGATGACTGGGTCTGGGTGTTTTTTTGTTTTGTTTTTTTTTTAAATCGATGAAAGCTGTTTAAATAGAACAGGTAAAACCGCAAATTTAAAGCACACAACAAACAGCAAAACCACGGATTTAAAAAGTGAAATACGTTTGATGCGACTGAAAGTGAGCGATCATGCCCACACAGCCTTCTGCAGCTAGCATAGGTACATATTGCCATTTTAATTCTCTCCCTGGAGACACTTGTTGTGGTTCTTCTTAGCAGCACAAGTGAAGAAGCTAATCGTATGTGACCCAACCTTGTGAACCGTGTCCACATTAGTGGGCATCTTCAAAAAGACTGAGAGCTGTCCGAGTGCTGGGGGAAGGTTGTTCTGGCATTAGCTCCTTTTCTTTTACTGGGGGATTGGGCCATTCAGGGGAGGCAGCACAGCAGAGGTAGCAGCTGGTTGGTGGTTTATACAATAGAAGTGTGACCACTCAGCTCATCTCTGACCTCAGGTTTTGTTAAAAAAGAGGTCCTGCAGTGACTTTTAGCCATTATTCTGCAGCAGCATATGTGATCATCTAAACATTAACAAGCAGATTCTAAACTCAGCATACTCTGCCCTATTCCTGGTATCTAGTAAAATCTCCCTTTTGGACAATGTGCATGCAACTCAACCCTAGGTGAGAGATAGACTTTGATGGGCAAGAGTGGAGGATAAAACAAAAAATGGCATTGTGGCACACGCTTCAACTCCAGAAAATACCACCACCTCCTCCTTAGGCTGAGTCTGGATGAGAGTCGCTTTCAGCAGTACTTCCAACTATCCCTGACCTGGCTCAGCATCCCGCTTTCCTGCATTGGGGGACGAATCACCTGAACAACAGAGGGTTAGGTGAGGCGGCATTCTGGTGCTCAGAGAGGAGCAGCATGGAATCAGTGCAAGAACACTAGCAGAGAAAAGAACATAACAGAGGACAGACTGCCTAACGTCTTGCACTAGGTAACTACAGCGGGAGATCAGGAGATCCCTCAGAGGAATCAGCGCTCTAATAGACAGATCATTGGCCAAGTAAGCCAAAATTGTGCAGTTTGCCTTGCTTAAATCGCCATCATTGCCTCGCCCAGCTTAAATTCACTCCAGATCCACCCTCTACATAGAGATAACATGGGAATCCTTCGCTCATACTGCGAAAATCGCATTCAGTATGAACACAACTTCAAAGAACATATGCTACTATTTTATGACATGTGCCCAGTTTGGTTGTTGAGCAGGCTTTTAGCTCACATCTCACGAATCGCAAGAGTTGCATCCTATGGGTCATATATGCCGTGACACAGCACAGACAATTAGAAGGAACATTATTTTGATGATCCACCCGGAAAAAGAACATCCTCTGCTCCACTATACCTTTAAGCAAATGTCCACACATGTGGGGACATTTTCTCAAATGAAGAACACACCTCAAAAAAAAGACTCAGTGGAGGTTGATATCAGCTGATATCTGAAAGGCATTTCTGATGCAGGCCAGTCATTTACATAAAGAAAGAATTATCAAGTGGCTTGGGTGTGGATCCACTGGCCCACAGCTGCCCAAACATCCAAGCCTGGCCACAAAAAAAAAAATAAAAAATCTACCACCAGTCTCCAAATACCAGGGTGTGCAGTCTGGGGGAGGGGTAGCCAGCTACTGCAGGACAGCTGGGAGCATAAAATAAAAGCCCCTGACCAGCTGTGACTCAAAGCAATGTTTCATTATGACCACACCACACCACCCACTCACTGCAATTCAGCTGCCATAAAACATGTAGACTAATGGGGGATTCTATATTTATCACGCAGAGGACTCTGGTTTAATTATACAGAACAGATGTGAGGCCAAGGGGTGAGAAAAATCTGCTTTTATATAAGCTATATTTAGGGATCAGGAGCAGCTTTGATTTAGTTTCTGAGCCATGGTTGGCCTTCAAAGTAAAAGGGGGCAACAGGTTTTAAAATGCAATTCATTAATAGAATGGATTGTTATAGAGTATATGTGCAGCATTATCAGTTTAAAAATAGTTTAGACTGAAAGAAAAAAGTTTGACATTTTAACCTCAGTAAGAAAATGTCCCACACAGCATTCAGTGTCACCAAAAATATTTTCAGATTAAAAAATGATTTTTAAAGCTAACTTCATCTCCTGATCTTAGACTGTACACAATTAACTATAGCCAATTACTGAGCCTAGCTCAGTATTAACAGTCACGACCAGTTCTTCTAAATAAATGCGTCTGTCAAAGTTGGCAAAAAGATCTCCAAATGAAAATCATGTCCCCGTCTATAGCAAGGGCCATTTTGCATAAACCAAGACTCTTATGAAGTTTATTTGGCTCTCTGCCAAATTAATTACAATGAAAACATTTTAACAGAACCTGCCAGTTCAATCATCATGAGGAGACAGAAGAATATATTTCTTCTCTTCAGCAAAATTCTTTCAGGAAGTGCTTACCTAAAAAGCTTAGGATCACCAGGGATATGCAGGATGACAACAAGCTGAAGCACAACAGCAGGTTCACAAATAAATGGTAATGAAGGCCTAACCAAAGCCCAGTCCTGTTCCGCGATGCTGTGGCATGCCCGGATATGCCAGTTATAGTCGTGCTTTGGTGGTGCCTGAGCAAGAACTGCAGATATTTATAGTTAAGCCATAAGATGGTCCAATATTTTGCAAAAAAACAGGTGACAGTGCACCACAAAACCAGTGGAGAGAAGAAACTCTTCACACACACACCAAAAATGGATGTTACCAATCTGAAACATTATACCTCAACTTAATCATGCTTCTTACAAAGTTTTAGACTCAGTCAAACCACGAACAGGGAACCATATTGACAGCTGTGTAAAAATCAAAAGTCTGTAAAACTTCAGATACTAAATAAAGCGTGTAATCTAACTTTATAAGTCACATTGTCTATTCTCTCTCACCATTTTTTTCCCCTCCAAGTCTTCATTTCGTTCTCAAAGTAATGATTTATATTTGTGAAAACTGTCTAATTCATAAAGAATGGAGCAGGAAGTCCACACAGTTACAGACCAATAGTTCTAAGGCTGAGGACACAGCAACGGCGTCATGGCAAGAAGAAACAGTATACTCGCACAGAGTTCAATCTGTTGGGTATAAACCAGGCATAAAAGAAACCAGTTTCTTTTGAAAAGTGTCCAATACAGCTAAATTACAATTAGCTTCAGTTCTATTTGCCAAGTTTGTGAGCACAAACTCTTTGGACATCATCCCTGCAAAAAAAAAAAAAAGCTGGGATCTGTCGAACCAAAACCATGATCAAAACCATTCGGGTTTGGACTAAAGAGGACAGGAACACTGAACACACAGACTGGGGAGTGTTCAAAGGGTGCAGCTCTGGAGGAATACACAACGTCTGTTATTCTATATATTCACTTTTGCAGTAGTGCAGTTCTGAGAGGTGGATCATCCAGGATTAGAAAGTAAGAATCCTGTGCAGAGAATAGTTCTATTTACATTTCCACAACACAACCTAGGTGCAAATCACCTGGCTAAGTGATAAAGATGAAGAAAAACTGAAAGAGGGTATCTGGCCTTTAGTTCTTCCATATACGCTGGCACTAAAGCTCCACCACCTTGCCTTATCTGCACTCATTTGCTACTGGAACAGTGTTCTTGTTGCCAACGGGCCCACGTGGTGAGGAAGGGACAATTATTACCTGCCTTAACTCATATTTGTAGTCACAGAGGACTACAGGGGAACTAAACAAGCTCCTCAGTAGATACATAGAGAGAAGTTGGAGTGTGTGAACAGTATCAGGTTCCTTGGCATTCAGAGGTCCTCCAACCTCTCCTGGACTGAGAGCACCTTCAACCTGTAGAATAAGGGCCAACAGCAGCTCTTTTCCTCTGAGAACTGAATTGGACTGGACACTACTCACCTCCTTGCAAGCTTTTACTAAAAACATCCTGTGTAGACAAAATGACAAAGTGTGTCTAGTCTAAGTAAGCATGATTGTGCGTCAAGGCTGAAAAATACTCGCATGTTGGGTTTTCTTGCTGGTTTTGCAAACCTTTTTACTCAGACACCCCACATTGACTGAATTACAGGCTCTGACCAGGAGATGATGCTTCTCTTTGGATCTTAATGTCCACAATTCTTGACAGAAAGAATATTTTAGTACAAATATTGATGTTTAAAAAGGAATTTTGGGGACCAGCCAAGGGCGAATCAAGGAAAGTGGGGAAATTTTTAATGGCTACAACTGGCTCCCTTGGGGAGCAGTGGGCTGCCATTGTACAGTGCCTGGGAAGTAGTGTGGGGTTAAAGGTCTTGCTCAGAAACCATGAGTGGAGGATGTGGGGATCGAACCAGATACTTGCAACCTTCTCAGAGCACAGGCGCACTGCTCTAACCCACTAGGCCAGCACTCCCCAACGGGCAGTTATTTCAGACTTTATGTTGTATGTGATGGAAGTCCAATAACCTCACCCCTGTTTGCTGTTTTCAGTCAATTAATGAACAGTAACAACACTGCATTTAAACACACTGTTCCACTGGAAACTTCTGCACCATTTGATGTGGGTAAAGACAATCTTGTTCATACTCCAAAATTAGGCTGGCACACACTGTAAGGGCCAATTCAGAGGCGTGCGACTTTGCAGCGAGGCTGCACGAAAGTGGCAAAGCATACGGGCGATCACAGACTACAACACACCCTCCATCCGGTGGGTGTACCTGATGCGGACTTCCTAAATGGACTAAACAGCTTCTTAGGAAGGTTTGAGGCACTAAACAGCATTTAGACAGTAAAAGCTGTTCCCCATCAGGGAGTGGAGGCACTTGACACAGCGGACACGTGGAATGACCAAGGCCCCGATAAAATACCTGGGCGGATGTTCAAGGAGTGTGCGGTCAGCTGGTTGGCGTCCTCACAGACACCTTTAACACATAGCCAAACCAAGACATAGTGCCAACATGCTTTAAGTCTGCCTCCATCATTCCGGTCCCAAAGAAGCCTCAAATCACCTTATTTAATGACAACTGATCTGTTGCACTGACTCCAATCATGACGAAGTGCTTCAAAAGGAAGGTAAAAGAACACATCTCCAGACTATCCCCAGATTTCGTCCTGTGCCAGTTTATCTACCGATGGTGCTGCTCTGAGGACGCCATCTCCTCCGTTCTTCACCTGAGCCTATCACACCTGGAGAAGAAGAATGCCCACGTGCAGATGATGTTCCTTGACTTCAGTTCAGCTTTCAACACCATCATCCCACAGCATCTGATCTGTTGCCTTGGTGAGCCAAGGACTTGTTCCACTAATTAAAAAGGTTCATAAGCCAGCTTAAATTCTTAATAAAAGTCTGAACTATTTAAATGTTTTTTAACATCATATTCCTCTCCCCAATGACCAATAGGGTAAGTCATACCACAGATGATATTGTATGGCTATATTTTTACATGCTTATTGGTTTTATAAAGCTGAACTTTGTAGGTGTACCAAACCAACAAAGTTTGGATATTTTTGGATATTTTGTGTTATACATTTTTAGTATGGATCCCAGGCATTACTTATTGTAAATTAAAGCCCTGATGAAAATGCTGAATTTTTCAAAAGACGGACAGAAAGTTGCCCAAAATCCCAGCCACCCAGGCAATGCATCATCAGTCTAACTGTTATCAAGATAATGATTGAAGAACAAAGCTGTGAGGGCAAGAGTCAGACATGGTCATTTCATCATTAAGCTGCCTGGGGGACAGTGTGATAGGCTTCCCTTAAGATTGTGTAGCACCTCCATTGTGTTTGTGTCTGGCTGGATGCTTGATATGATGTCTGTACATTGCAAGTTTATTAAAGCAGGGTTGTTGGAGTTTATTTTTTTACCACGATCCTCGGACCCACTGTACTGCACATTTAAGGTGTTCCCCTGCTTTACACACCTGACTTATATCAATTTGTGATTCACAGACTTCTGCGGCACTTAATTGCTGCTGAGGAGTAAATACAATCCTTTTAATGAGGTGTGCTGAAGCATAGCAATTCCAATTAAATAAATTTTAAATTTGTTTAAAAGAAGTTTCAGACTGATTGCCAGCTGTCGCAATATTGAGTGGCGAGTCTGGTGAGACAACAGATCTATCAGGGAATTTAGTTCTTCCAATAAGAAAAGTCGTTTAAAGGTAGCCAGGATCTTTTTAATTTCATGGATGAATTCAGAAATATAAGTATAGTTATTGTTTATTTAATTGAACAATCTTTTTCCAATATAAATCTTGTGATTTTAACCAAATGACAGAAATATCAAAAACTGATAGGAAGGTAAATAATTTGTGTTTATAACATACCTGAACAATGTCACTGAGATCCAGCAGCATGTCTCAGAAAAAAAAGTCAAGGAAAACAAAGTGAAACATAGAAGAGAAGAACTGATGTGCCATTTTAAACATTCATATTTCTTTTACAAATATTTTAGGTAATTTTCAGATGCATAACTTTCATTTGTTGTATATATGCTGTGCTCCCAACATGCTAAAATTCTTCATGTTCAGGATATAAACGATAATTGTTATATAACAAAGATGTAACCACAATAAAAAAAAAATAAAAAGGTTAGAAAATATAAAAGGTGGTATTGGAGCAGGGTCTTATACCTTCCCTAATAAGGTCTATCATCCTCAAGGAAAAGCCCATATATGATAGGAAAAAAATATTCCCAGGTCCCAAATAGAGGCGTTTCAAACTTGTGGAACAAGGAGTATTAAGCTTCCCTAGATTAAGAGCTTTATGTATGGAATACTTCCTGCACATCTTCCATGCTAAATTAATGATAAATTAGTGCCTTATCCTTTTACACTCAACGAGAACTTTCCAAATATGTGTAACAAGAACAAGTTTGACAAAATAAGGGTTCAACCAAGTGTATTTCTTTTCCCTAGGGTCTCTGTCTTGTAAAACCCAATTTGAGCTTTTACCCATATTATAACACTACATTAAAAATTATGCAAAAAGTGGTATTTTTTTATTTTTTTTTTCATGCATGTAATTTAACTGCATCCTCTGAGCATGAGCCAGTCCCTTTACTTTAAAATTAGTTCAAAAAGAAATGCAGCCGCCTTTTCCCTTGTCTCCCTACAAGAACCCACTACTTTGACTGTGCTGCACCTGCCCAGTAAACAAACGAACACATTCTCCCATCAGCAAGTGGTGATATGAAGCACAACTCGATCATTTCTGCTCAAATTTGAGACGAAGTGGCTTTTTTTTAGCAGCTACTCTGCACAGTGACAGCAACTGTTACTTTGAGATGACAACTAATGAAGTGGGAGACAGCAACAGGTTTAATAATCTGAGCTAAAAATGTTACTTTAAATACACATCAGACTGTCTACACCTCAGTTAAAATGTTAAATGTCAACATTGCCAAAGACAAAAAGACAAGTAACACCTTTTTAGAAGGGTTATACTTAAGCAATTTTTCTAATTATTTGAAAATAATTGTGTTCTTTTTAATTGGATTTAAATGAACCAAAAGGAAAATTTCCAGTGACTGGAGCAGATCAAAGATTTAAAACTTCAGCTTGAAAAAAAAAAAAAAAACAGCAATTTAGCATAAACCCCTCTGCCTTTGCATGCTAGTAGGAGGGCTGTGCTTTGGACTCATATCTGCAACTAGAAGACCTGGGTTCTCTAGTTGCAAACATTAAATTGGACAGACATCTTTTTGTAAACCCGGAAATTTACAGGTAAAATATGGCAATTTCTTTGAAATAACCTAAAGACCAACTCAAAAAAAATTGAGAAAGGTTGTGATCAGACCATATAGGACCTTAGAGTGTAATTAAATGACCCCAAAATATTGTTTGAAGATGAATATAGGGAACAGCTTCACAAAGTTACTAAACTTCGTTCTATCTGCAATAATATCTGATTGCTTTGTACAAGCCTTAAAGCTTTAAATATTTTATGAATATATAATGAATCTAATTGTGTTTTGGAGTAATATTTTTTGCCATGAGCCTCTGGACATCTCATCTCATGAGGGCTCATCTGGCTCAGACATTTGGTTGCCACGGTTACATTGTCTCGGTGCACCTGTCTCCAGGGTTTCAGGCTAGATTAACGAGGCTCCTCTTAACAGGGCCTCACAAAAGAGGTGGCAGCAGTGCAGATGAAACAGAAAAGATAATCCTGACAGATGCCATCTGGAGATCGACAAGTTGTAGGGAAAACAAAAAAGAAAGAAGATCCTTTAGTCTTTGTCTATTGGACAAAAAAAAAAAAAAAAAAAAACAGTGGCTGGAATTTAAGACAATATATTGGGCGGTGAATTTACAGATGTTTTTCCATGGCGTCAACCTGTCCAATAATAGATTTGGATTTTTTCTTTCGGCAATCAAAATGGAAAAAAAGCAATCCTTCAAAATAAGTATTTAATGACCATTAAAAAAGACAATAAAGGGTTCACCAACCAAAGACGATTCTATTATTATAAAGCAATGCATTCCAGGTTTGAAGAGTATGAGTGTTGCAGTTTCTGAGCTAAACCAGCTGGGATGCGATCAAAAAAAAAAAATGCATTAAAATCGTCATTTACTGACCTTTTAAAATATCATATAATACGTACACACAAAAAACAGAGGTCAAATCCTACAAATCCTGTGAAAACACTGAACTGCTGCAAAGAGTTAAGGATAAGCAGCAAAGAATAGCTTCACTAAAGCCTCTTTTCCACTTAAAATAGCATTTTAACGCATATTTTTCAAACATGGGTCAACCTCCTAACAATCGGCATTTGGTTCCCTTCCCACTGGCAAAAAAAGCTGGGTCTAACTCCAAGCTGGCAAGGTGAATGGCCTCCGTCCCCCTGCCGCTGCATGTTTGGTAATGCCATCATCGCGCAGGGTAAGCGTTGATGATGTCCCCAGGGTGTAGTCAGTGTGCTTTATAGTTTCGCTCCATTATCTGTACCAATCCCTCTTACTAGCGCCACGCCATGTTTATCGAATGGAAACAGAGTTCTTTCGGCTTGCACACAGCTCACAGTGAAGGCAATAGAAGGCATTTCTGCGAGCCCCGCAGGTAACTCACCACTCCGCATTTCAGATGCAGTGTTTACACCCAGGACCGCATCATCAAATAGGAGGAGCTTCAGCTGCGTGAAGCTGAAACCCCAGTGACAAAGAAAAACAGCATCTCCATAGTGTGACTGCTTTATAGCATTTAAAGCACTTTGCTTGAGCCCAAATAACTTTCACTGCAGTGAGAAAATTTAAATAATTTTTACGCTGAGGTTTTGAAAAATGAAGTCATATGAAACATTTATTTTGTCCATCCAATTCATCCATTTTCTTCCACCTATCTGGTGCCGGGTCACTGAGGCAGCAGTCTAAGCAAAAATGCCCAGACTTCCCGGGCCACACACACTCCCTCCAGCTGCTCTGGGGGGACCCTGTGGCGACACCAGGCCAGCTCAGAGACACCCCTTCAGAATGTCCTGGGCCTTCCACCAGGCCTCCTCCCAATGGGACATGCCTGGAACACCTCCTGAGGGAGGCAACCAGGAGGCATCTGAAACAGTTGCCCGAGCCACCTCAGTGGGCTCCTTTGGACGTGGAGGAGCAACGACTCTACTCCGAGCTCCTCCCGGGTAACTGAGCTCCTCACTCAATCTCGCAGGTGTAGTGACCAATAGCACTGTAATCAGTGAAAAATAATCATTTTCTAAACAAAGTTGCATAATATATTTAGTGAAAACCTAGGTTTGGATAACAGCTGACTGACTGAACAAGACTCCTACCTAAAGTCTGGAGCACTTGTACAATTAGTTTGTACCCCAAAGAATATTAGACATAGGAGAAAAGTAGTGAATGCAGCATTCCCCCCCACCCCCCCACCCCCCCCACCCCCCACCCTCCCCCACCCCTGAATCACTCGTACTAATGATTCAAGAACCAATTTGTTCCTACGAAGACTTCTTGCATGCGACCCATTAATTATAATGGCCGGGCATCTGCTGCTGGTTACAGAACAAACTCCTGCATCCTGCGCCACAGTCGCCCCATTACTGATCTACTACTTTCTGGTGGCTTTGTTAGACTTCCTGCATTTATAAAATGATTGAAAACATACAGGTGCATTGCCGCTGCAGAACTATCCCGGTGGGATCAACCTTGAAATGAACGTTTGGATTGCAAAATGTCCATTCTCTCCACTAAGCCCTTGTCATCCCAAAAATGACAGCCACCTATATAGAAAAGACTGTTCCTCAGACTGCTCTCATTAAATTTCAGCTGTATCAAGTGTTTTAGCGGGAAGAGCTGCAGAACATAAATGCTCCAGAAAGTGTTGGGGGGTTTTATTTGGCTGTTTGTAGTCATTAAATCTGATTCCAGGTGAGACCCATGCCTCCTTCCCCTTTGTCCTGATAATCTCTATGGCAACGTTACCCGGCTTTGAAAAAAAAGCAAGATATTGCAGCTATTTTTACCTGAAGCACTACCCCCCCAAACATGCATGGACAGATAGGCTTGTGGAAACATACCCATACAAACACACCACCACAAACAGAAGCTGAGACAACAGTGCAGCAGGAAAGGCATAAAACAGCATGTCTGCCTCCCTTTCATTAGACGGGGAAAAAAACTGTGCTTTGCAGTCATCCTCACAGGCAAGGGATGTTAGGAGTAAAAATAAACAGAAGTGAAGCAGGTCCAATTCACTAAAAGATTTGCTTTAAAAAAAATAGAGTCCAAAAATATCAGGAGCTTGAAGGAGCTTGAGTGATAACCATGACCAACATCATAGATCCATCAAACTGTAAAACAATCTGTCTGTCATCAAAAAGCCAGGCTGCATATTCTCATTAAAATCACATCAAACTAAAGTAAGAGTCTGATAACCAATGAGCAGATATACACTGCGCAGCTCCTAAAGATGCACTCAAAGATCTCATTCCAAAAAAGTAAAAAAAAAAAAAAAAAAAACACAATCCACAGGACTTTTTTTCCAAGTTTGAGGAACGTTTTGCTTCTTTTTCAATTCAAAATTTCAGAAATGGCGTCGAGTTTGAGACTTTATACCAGGCATCCCGAAAGTCGGTCCTTGAGAGCTGCTGTCCTGCAGGTTTTAGAGGTCTCCCTGCTTTGGCACAGCTGATTATGATGATTGGATTGAAGTGAAGCAGCAGCCTGTTAATCAGCTTTCAATTAAAATTAGCTGTGTTGGAGCAGGGAAACTTTGAGGACCGACTTTGGGGATGCCTGCTTTATACAGTAGCCAAAAAAATCCTAGTTTGTATAAAGCCTCGAACATTTAGAATTGAAAACGCTTCCTGGATGGGAAGCAAAACATGTTCAAACTTGGAAACAAAGGCCAGTGGATTATTTTTTTTAACTTTTTTGGAAATGACTTTGACCTGGATGACCGAGAATCTTCACCAGCATCCAAGATCTCTGTTTGACCTACAGAGATATTTGATCAGTTAGTCACAAACTAAACACGTGAAGTTGTCCCTGCTCGCTGTACTGAACACAAACAGATATTACTGTGGGCAAAAAGAGCACTTTTTAAATCGAGGTGATGATAAATACAGGACATTAGCTCAATGAAACCAATTATCTTCCATCAATTAAAAAAATTTTTTTTTTTTTGGTATGTTTTTTATAAGAACCATTTAGGTGAAAGTTTCTTTGCTTTTACAGCAATAGTCTGATGTTTAGTTAATATTAATCCTCCTAATTCTTGCATACATTACTGTATGCAGCTTGTAATTTCTCCTTCCCCAACTTCCTTACCCTGAGATGGAAGGAAATGCAATGCTGCAGCCATTAAACATCAACTACAACCTTATATGCTAATTGTTACGCAGAATATACTCGCCTAACCCACTTGAATTAAAGAGATAACAAAAAAAGAGCCAGAGATCATAGTAGAAAGGATACGGGGGGTTCCCTCTGTGCGGCAGACCAGGTAGATACAGGCAGCAATGACATGGATGGCCTTGCGACCACGGGTCAAGCTTTTATTGAGGGCAATCTTGTAGAAGTTGAAGGCCGTGTCCAAGCAGTGCTGGTTCATCTGTAGCTGGTGACCGAGGGTGTAAATGTGGTGTTTTGCTGAAACAACAAAAGAACAGACTCATCACTCAGGAAGTACTTCAGATCAGATCCACAATACTGAGAAAGGGCTGAATAATTTCACTATAAGGTTGCAAATACTTTCCCTTTTTTTTTCAAAATAAGAGCGTTCACAATCAGTTGGTGATGATTTATATTTCAACTGCCAATGTAATATTTATCTAGTTGAACAGTCTCACAATAGCAGATTCTCACATCAGAGAGATTGTTCAAAATGCTACCAGTCTGAGTGATGGAAGCACAGAGGAGATAAAGTGTAATAAAGAAACATCACAGCTAGTGCAATATTTATTTACTAGTATCCTGATTGCAAGATTATTTTGATACTGTGCACCCATACTACAGCCAGGGGTGGATTTAGGTAATTTAGGGACCTAGGCAAAATTAGGCAGGGGGGCCTTTGAATTGAGACAACACTTAAAACAGACCCATTATATAAACACAGAAATTTTAATAAAATAGACATACATTATTTGTTCTATGTTTTGTTACTCTTTTCTTGTCGCTTTTATTGTTTTCCTCTCTATGTTTTGTACTCCGCTGACTTTTCATGCTGTCTCAAAAGGAGTGAAAGAGTTTTTCCAAGCACAAAGCTCACTTAGCTGATTGCTCCTTCATGTGTTTCCAAAAAGGGAACAGAAAAAGTAAATAACAGTCCTTATTTTCACTGTAGATAAGCCATGATCTTCTCTTCTGTTCTCCATTTTTCACTTGTATGAAATAACAGCTGCATGAATCACAGGATAGAGGAGAGCAGGAGGCGGGGTTACCAATCCACTTGCTCTAGATAGCAGAGTTCGCTGCTTTTATAGGTTGTCGCCAAAATCTCCAGTAGCAGTAAAAAGTCAGATTTGGCAATAGACACCAAATGGAGCGACAAAAGCACTAAGTGGGCAACACTGCTCTTTGCATCGTGTTCAAATGTTTTGTTGCTGTCTGTTTGGACCTTTCTGAACATCTGCAGCAAATGGACTGATCCAATGTGGTTGTAATGGCATTTTAGCGAAATAATTTTTATCCCAAACATAATGTGCACAAATAAGGTATAGCTGTATTAACCATAAATGCAAACAGTTTTATGGGGTTCCCAGGAACTTGGGGGCCCCAGCAACCGTCTAGTATTGCCTAATGGTAAATCCCCCCGTGGAAATACTATAGCGATGCCACACCAGGCTTATTTATTAGTAATGTCAACTGACCACCTCTGAAACAAAGTGCTGCAAACTAAAAACTAGAGGTGGACAAATGCATAGGCGAGCAGCTGTGACGTGTGAACAACAACTAGCAACTTCCTCTTCACTTGCTGCCCATTGCAGTCGCCGCAACATTAAACTGGGGGTGCTATGAGGCATCCTGTGTTCCTAAACAAGATGCCTCTTTTTTTATGTACATAGATGCAAAGAAAAACAAAGGCATCCTCACTACTTTTAAATCTGCAAAATTGAACGATAAGATGGAAGATGGAATGGTCTGTTCTACTATTGAATTAACACAAAAACATTAAATTCATAATGAATTCACCAGTGACATCTGTTGAAGTATCAATAATAAATATTAATTAGCAGACCCAAATTATTTTTACTCATATTTGTTCTTGTATCGAGTATCCTAGATACTCCTAGATGAATCCTACAAATCATTCATTGAATATGAAAGCATAAATATGACCAATTAAGGACGTGTATGTATAATGGAAAGCTCTCTGTATGGTTGCACCAGATGACTTTCAGTATGCTGATAGCCCGCTGGTAGTACGGGGTGGAGTGAAGCCACCGGAGGCCATATTGGTACTCCCTAGCTAGACCGGTCGCCATGTAAAAACTATGTGCGCTACAGCATCGCACAATGATGATGTCCTCATTTATCTGGGGGATTTAAGACTTTTAAAATAAATAAAAAAATCATCACTTTAACACACAACTGGGGTTTCATAGAATAAGTTGATTACTGTAACTTACAGTTAAAACTAGGCACATCTCATTGCAGAGTCATTATGAAGTCAATAAATCATGTAATCTTACATATTTTACAAATCCATCACAATAAAAATAATCTGTAAATGGAGCATAATAATACAGATGTGCCAAACGTGCCAAATTGATGATGTACATGTAATAAACATGTACTGATGACATTGTTGTGGTAATTTCATATAATTTCAAGATCACACATCAAGACTGAATTACAAGTACATGTCTGCAAATATGAAAATACTATTGCATTAACATTTTTTCCATGCATGATGCCACATACTTTTATACTGCGTCTGTGCATTAGCCTTTAAAAATGCTTGAGTTGCTTTTTTTTTTTCCTCATTAATATAATGTGCAATATATTTCAGTATCCCCGTGACCGGACCCCAGATAAGCAGAAGAAGATGGATGGATAGATAGATATTTCAGCACGTGACTTTTTCCAGATGAAAAATACGACAAATACCATAAAAACGACATCCACTTAAGAATTACTACATTGCCATTTCAAAGTAAATTACTTTCCATTTACTAAAACTTTCCATTTTCTGGCGTTAGACAGTATGTCACTGGCTAAGTCACTCAATGCCTTTGAGTCAGTGCGAGATAGCCAGACTAATGTTACGCAGACAGACTATAGGATGGGATACTTCAGCATATACCGTATTTTCACGACTATAAGGCGCACTTAAACGTCTTTTTTTTCCCTCAAAATGTGCGGTGCGCCCTATGGTGCGGTGCGCCTTATGTGTGTTGTAACTGCGACTTTTGAGACCACCTCATTGAGGAGATGATGAAAGAGTGGCTGAATGTAAGGAGACCAGGTGTTTTTTTTCCACCCCTCACCATCGCTGTTAATATGTAACTCCATGCGTGCCCATCTCACAGCTGATGTGAAAAACATGGGGAAACAAATTAACGCTGCTCGACATCGGTGTGAACCGGACCCAGCAGGTGCAGCAGAAGCAGCGAGTTTACATGCAAAGTCAATGGTTGACGCGGGTATAGGCACAGCAAAAGGTCCCGCAGCGCGTTTTGGTGCAGCACGTCGGGAGCGTTTAAGCGCTGCTGCAGCTCAGATGGAAAAATTGAAGTTTTGCTGCTGGACGCGCCGCATCAACCAATCAGAGAAGCTGATCTGGGAGCTGCCAGCGAGACAGACAGCGCTCTGATGACATATGATATTAACGCAAATGGAAAAGGCTGGATGGATGCGTGGCTGAGGCAGGTGTATGTGAGAAGACTAGGTGGTTTTTTCCACGCATCACCATCGCTGCGTGCCCATCTCACAGCCGATGTGAAAAAAAGGTGAATCAAATGAACGCTGTGCTCGCCGTTATCCCGGGGGTCTGACAAAGGAGCTTCAACCGCTCGACATCGGTGTGAAGCAGCCGTTCGAAGTAAGGCTGCGAGCGGCGTGGGAGCGATGGATGACCGACGGAGACCACAGTTTCAGGATAAGAAGGCAGCGCCGGGCAGATTACGCCACAGTTTGCGGATGGATTGTAGATGCTTGGACTAAAGTGTCTGCTGGCTCTGTTGTTCAAGCTTTCGCAAAAGCCGGCATTATTTCTGAGGAGCTGCGCTGCACGGAAAGTGACTGACAGCGAAGAAGGGGAAACTGGCATGTCGGATTTAGCGCAGCTGTTTAATTCAGAAACAGAGGATGAGGACTTTGAGGGGTTTGATTAATACTTTGTAATAAATACATGAATAAAGCACAATCATACTCAGTTTTGCTCCCGCTGTATTTTTCTCCCTGAAAACTTAATTCAACAGCATCCCCGGCGCGTCTCCTCCTCTTCATCGCGGTGGCTGGCAGGTGTTTTTTCATCTAAATAATCTAAATCTTGCAGCTATATTTGCTGTGATCAGTGGGAATAAAGTAGTTTTAATATGTTTTTAAGTGAGAAAGTCCACCTGAAAACTTAATAATTGCAGTCAGTTCATCCAGATTATCTATTTCTGTCGGAGGCGCTCAGACCCCCACATACCAGCGGTGCGCTGACAGCAGAAATCTCTTCATCAGCAGCCTGTAGGCGGGGCAGCCTGGGGTTCACCGCGGCTGCTGGCAGGTGTTTTTCATCTAAATAATTTTAGCTGCAGGCACCAGGATACCGGCAATAAAAGCGAACATATTCCGTCAGCAGGTTTCAGGATTTTAAGTTAATTTAGGAGTGACCACAGCGCTGTGTCATCTGCGATGTCTCTGTCTCACGGCCAGCTGCCAGGTTTGATTAATACTTTGTAATAAATACATGAATAAAGCACAGTCATACTCAGTTTTGCCCCCGCTGTATTTTTAAATACGCAGTAGAGGTATTTAAAGGTAGTAGAGGACTTGTACCTGTATATAAAAAACGCGCCCTATAGTCCGGTGCGCCTTATGTGTGTGTTAAATACAGAAATGGGACACATAACTGAGAGTGCGCCTTTTAGTCCAGTGCGCCTTATGGTCGTGAAAATACGGTATATGGATTTTCTTGGTAAGTACGTCCACTGACTGAAATTACATCAGAAAGTCTTCAAATGCTAGCAGCCAAATGCTACACACAGGCATTTTTATGGCGCATCTCAGTGGGAGTGGGGAGTACCAATATGGCAGCCGGTGGCTTCACTTTTTTCGGGCTATCAGCAATCCTGAGAATAAATAGAGATCAGTGGTCTCCAAGCATCACCTGCAGCCTTTATCATGAAACAGGATTACTGGCTTAGCCAGCTAACTTCAGGTTTAATTCCTGATCAATTAACATTAGCCAATAGTTCGGCTAACGTTAGCAATGCCACCCCGTTAAAGTTAACCCCAACGTCGATGTCCGCTCTGCCCCCCAATCTCCCTCGGACAAGATGCTGTCAGTGAAGAGGAAGGTGCCTCATCTTTACAGTTTATCTGATTGGTTTTGATGTGTTTTATTTTTATTTTAAGCTGGAATATGAACAAGGATGTGAAATTTACATTTACATTTTTTTATTTAATATAAAATAAATGTTTAAAATATAATGAAT